TGTGATCAGATGTTCTCTGTAAACAACATCTGTCGATCATGTTTGACCTGGTTGTAGAATCTGGTGTTTAATTACTTGAACACATCAGTTTTGTTATCAAGGTTGAATAAGTAATGATGAATCGTTTGGTAGTCTGTTAGAGATAGTAGCCCTGTATATGGTTGTTGGAATTTGCATGCTGTTTATGCCATACCTTTGCTGTGGGATGTACGCCATAGTGCTCCATCTCTGGGATATCTATTTGGTAGACCAACTACCGTATTTGACGTAATAAGCGCCCCGCTCCCAATAAGCGCCCACAGCAATATTTGCTAATATATTTGCAAGTGAACAATCCAAATTAGCCCCCCTTCCAACTGATCAGTGTACACAAGACTTATTTATTCATGTATAATACACACTCATGTGTTATATGCACTCTTAATTATGGGCAATTTAATTCTGGAAAAATATATCTGTCGTACATAAACATTTCAGGCTGTCAGCATAAACCACAAAATTTATCTTTAAACTCTGTTTTTTTCACCAAAATAATATTCTAATAAGAGACCCCTATTCCTAATTTTGAATTTTATTTTAATTCGTAATTTTATCACGTCTGATACGGTATATTACAAACCCACTGCTTATGCCAAACTTCAAGGTCAATCACCGAATGTTATTATTAAGCTACAACAAATTATTAGATCGTCATCTAAATATTTGTATACCGCGCTGAGAGGCAGTTTAGCTTATTTTTTAAACAAATTCAAGGAATGATACATGATTGTTTAATAGGACAATATATAAAGTATATTTTGAGAAGCTAAGAAATATGAGAACACACATAGTAATTTATCTTCACCTGTAAGTGCTAGCATGGGAACCAAAAAATGAAGTGAGGTGGTTGGTAGGTTAGGGGGACAGTGATGACAGTGTTAATATTAATTTATTTTGGACTATAGAAGCAGCATTTGTCAAAGGGAATGTTGTAAACAGTATATATCAACTTTGCACAACATTTTGCATAACTTTATCATGTTTGCAATATTCTTCTGCAAAGGAGACTTAAAATTCTAAAACTTTGATTGCCAACATTTGGATTATGACAATGACCCTTGACTTCCTGTCCCACGTTTTTACTGATGTCTGCAATACCACTCTACGAGCGGCCATTACAGTCACTAGCGTACCATCCTCTATAGAAAGTGAATGTCTGATGCATGTAATGCTGGTTAATTTTGACGTAGATAATCCCCGAAGATTGCCCCCCTTGGCATGGCTGTGCCGTCCAACATTCTGATCGTGCTGTCATGATTAATATCACAATATGTTCATCTTGCCAGACTCACAATCTACTGAACGTTGGTCAGAGGGCCTTTTTCCTGGCGATTCACATAAATGCTTCTCTTTGCCGGAGCTGTTGTTTCAGTTGTGTGATGATGAGCGTTTCCGTGACAGGGTGGGGATGGCTGGAAACACACACTGCTTTGTGCCATGTTCTGTCTGTCTGACATCAGGATTATCTCGTGTCTGGGAAAACTTATGAAACGTAATCAGTTTGAGACTATGCAAATGCTTGGCACTTTCATATATTGATAGTGTGTCTCATGTTGCTGATCTGTCATAAATCGAAGTGAGAAGTCCACTTATGTTCATCCTTCTTGAAATTTTATTCATCCATTTATTGGTTCACTTTTTTGTTTATGTTTCTGTATGCATACAGATCCTTTGTATGATCTGTATAGTGTGTCTTCAATACAATCTAGCTATCTAGGGTATTGTCTTTGATAATTATTTTCCCATTCGATCACACTCAACGAACTTTGTGTTTGGAGTGGTGTTTGTAGGTTTCAAACCCTTCCAAATATTTCTCCCTCCACATTACCACCCAAAACCTTTCCCAAATCACCTCACTCCATCACTCACTCACTCACTCAACCCCCACCCACTCTCTCACTCCCAGTCACTAATTCTCTCACTCCGAGTAACTCACTCACTCAAATCCCCATGCATCCACCTTCTCACTCACTCACTCACTCACTCACTCACTCACTCACTCTTCCTGGCTGACTGGCTTGCATCTCATCTTATTATTGATGTTGAGGTAGCTGTCATCTTCAGTTTATCAGCTCATGTCAAACTTAATGTGAAAAATGGCGGGTTCCCGAAAAGTTTTGACAACAACCAACATCCCTTAGTCTCTCAGAGCATGGGCGGTTGGGTAACCTAGTGGTTAAAGTGTTCGATTCCCACCATGGGTACAATGTGTGAAGCCCATTTCTGGTGTCCCCCCCCCCCCCCCCATGATATTGCTAGAATATTGCTTAAAGCAGCGTAAAACCAAACTCACTCACTCTCTCGGAGCATGTCAGCCATCTAACAAGTCTGTATGTGCTCCTGGTGAGGTGATCAGCACTTGTTGAAGCAATCTTCTGGAATGAATGGCCCCCTTGTCTGGAGGTGGCGGCCGGTATCAGAAACATGAGCAGTTAAATGTGTAATCACATGTCCCAGACTGTGGTCCTGATGACCAGCATCCTCACTGGTCAGTCAGGTGTGATGAAAGGCCAGATGGTCACTCTTCACCATTAACTAGGGCCTAGGTCTTTCATGTGATAAAAAACAACTTTCCCAAACCCCCCTCCCTCCCATATTTCTTTTATAAACTATGGAAAAAAATCCTTACATAATGTGAATCCAAACCAATTTTAAAAGCATTTGGTAACCTGAAACATCACGACAAATAACAACACTGATATTCACTAAAGATTTACTTCATTGTCAAAGCTCCTTTTGAAAAATCATTGGTTGTCATACAGATTTATTTGTTGTCTTCTAGGGTGAAAGAATACATGTCATGAATATATTTTACTTCTGACTTTTGACACTTTACGCCAATATGTTGAAATGATATTCAGCTTTAATTGAAATACTGAAATTATGATAATAAGGTAATTTAACTTTGATTCAGCGGACATAATAAGAAGCACGTCAAAGCATTACTCATCAAAACAAATGTACAATGAAAATATGGTGTCTGATGTTTTGATTGAAAATGTCTAAATTTCTTATTTCTAGGAGGTTCAATTTGAATTCTGAAGTGGATAAGAAATGACACAGTTCTAAAAATATGATGTGTTGAAATTCATCAAATATTATTTTATCGAAGGTAACATAAATATTCACAAAAGTAAAAAATTCATAAAAACAGCTGTTTCTGTTTTTGGAGGGAAAGAATAATATGAAATTGTTTATGTGTATTCAAGGAAGAATTATATCTGTAGGTGTATATGAGGAATAATACTGTAGGTGTATATGAGGAATAATACTGTAGGTGTATATGAGGAATAAACTGTAGGTGCATATGAGGAATAATACTGTAGGTGCATATGAGGAATAATACTGTAGGTGTATAGGAGGAATAATACTGTGTGTATACGAGGAGTAATACTGTAAGTGCATATGAGAAATAATACTGTTGGTGTATATGAGGAATAATACTGTAGGTGCATATGAGAAATAATACTGTAGGTGTATAGGAAGAATAATACTGTATGTGTATATGAGGAATAATACTGTAGGTGTATAGGAAGAATAATATTGTCGGGGTATACAAGGAATAATACTGTAGGTGTATCAGGAATAATACTGCAGGTGTATCCAAGGAATATTACTGTAGGTGTGTATGAAGATTAATACTGTAGGTGTATACACGGAATGATACTGCAGGGGTTTACAAGGAAAAATACTGTAGGTGTACATGGCTCGATTTAGCTATGTAAACCATGCACCAGTGCAACCTATAATTGAACAATGCAACCTTATGTCCAAGTAAAAACACTCAGTATCTCTGAGCATTATTTACCATACTACATTTCTAATTGCTGTGTTATGTGCAATTCATGGCACATGACACAGTCATCAGCTGCAACCTGGTTTTGTCTGGTGCAACTAGCTTTTCATGACAACATGCATGATGATAGCGATGATAATGATGATGATGATTAGATGATCATAAAATGTTCACACCCAAAATGTTTTGTATTTTTAAATCTCCAGGATTTGTCCATGATGATTGATGATGGTGATTATGATTATTTAGGTGTGGTAGTAGCAAACCAAATATGAACATGGATTTATTACTGCAAATTAGCTCTGAGGTGATACAGGTGTCACACCATATGATACATTTCTCAATACAGAAGCCATGATGCGATAGGTATCTCGATACTGCATATACAATATTTTTTGTTAAAAACCCAGTCATTAGTTTGTAACTGCTTATTTATATTGATGCAAGATCAACATGGACAATCGATGAAATGTGAATTGATACCAAACTAAATGTATCGGGTATTGTATCGTGCAATGTTTGCCTACGATGCACCAATGAATCGTGACATCACTACTGCAAATATGTAATGATGGTGTCCTCCCAACCCCTCAAGGTAAAAAGAAAAATATGACTTACATTTTCTACTAAACATTTGATAGTGATACCCTGAGTGTCCAGATGGCGGATAAATCTGACTGGATGTTTCGAGATGTTGGCGTACCAATAGGATGGTATTTGGGGCATCTGAAACTCATTTAATAATTTTTCTTGTGTTTTCTAAGATTGTCTTTATATATCTTCTTACTTGGCTGGGAACTGCCCTGGGTGCCTGGTTTTATCAGTAACATGGGCTCAGAAATAAAATCTATTTAAGAAAATTCTTTCTCACTCAACTGCTCCATGTTAGTTATTGGAAGCCAACGCAGCACTATGCAAAGATCATGTAGTGGGTAAAGCATTTGTTTGTTATACCAAAACCAAAACCTTGATATTGCTGGAATCATACAAAACAAACAAAATCATACTCCCTCACTCGATGGAGAAGCTGTATTCTTGAATTATAATGCAAAACTCATTGCGTCATGCTCATCTTTCTGTAAAATACCAGTTTTACGAGTTGGCTATGTCATGGTTGGTAGATGTCTTTTGACTCAAACTCAAACTTTCTCTATTGATGTTTCAGGCACGTCTCAAGACGGCACCGGCAGTCAACAGCAAACATCTGACTCAGGGGGAGACGACTCTGAGCTGACTTCAGATGAAGAAGGTGAGGAGGATGAACCCATGAATAGTCCTGACAGCAACAATCAAGCCACTGCTGAATCGCGAGATTCAGACGCTGATCCTCCCCCACCGAGCACCACTGATCCCACTGAGGAGTGCAGTAACTCACCAACCAGCATGACACGTGCAGACACCCATCGCAAAGAGAAAATGGATGTCAGTGATTCTGATCTTGTACGCCCAACCAACCACTCTAAGAGTCCCACAACATCCCCTTCTGTGATCGTGTCCACAGCAGCATTTGTGTCAAAGACTGAAAATAACCATTTTTCGCAAACAAACAAAAGCATGACAAAATCTTTTCTCCAAGCTTCCAATTTTTCTGATTTTATGGATCAAGATACTGATCAACCTCTTGATCTTTCGAAAAAGGCAGACAAAGAGAAAGCCAAAGTAAAGCGAGCTGTGTCAAATGGCCACTCAACTTTCTCTCCTTCAGTTTTCCCATCAAGTCTGCAAAGTCTCCAGCAGAGATTCGGAGGAGATTTTCCGATTGAACCTCCACGCCGACCAAGCAACAGTATCCCACTCCAGTCCACAATGATCCAAGGCAAACCTCTGCTACGATCGCCACTGGTCATTCCTTCCCCGAACCACTCCAGGACCTCCCCAACACTGGACAGCCATAAACCACGACCATCGCCCAAACTCGAGAAGGTAGCAAATCTTGGAGGTTCTCCAGCCAAAAAGATGAATCGTCCTAGTTCAGCTGAAGACGAATTTGATGAGAAGAGTAACAAGTACACAATGCACAAATGTTCTTGCCAGAAAAACTTCACTACTTTATATTCTCTAAGTGTGCACCTCCAGGAAACAGGCCATGTTCCAGGAACAGCTAAGGCAACAAATCTCATGGACTACCCCAAGTTAGTCCGCGGTCAAGACATGTGGCTGAACCAGGAATCCGAGCAGACACGGAGGATTCTGCGATGCATGCAGTGTGGCGAGTCCTTCAAATCATTGCCTATGCTAACAGTTCATATGATGCAGACACAACACTATACAAAGATTGTCAGCTCAGATCATGGACGCAGATCACACAAATGTTCAGCTTATTGTGAAAAAGAACTTGATCGAGAATGCATTTTCAAGTGTAAGGTGTGTCATGAGCCTTTCACTGACATGGAAGGACTCTGCAATCATATGATTATGTCTGGTCATCATAAAAAACAGGTGTTAAGAACTCAGAATTATCCGGATTTGGGTATGCGTTCTCGGCGAAAGCGGTATTACAGTGAGGAAAGTAGTGCATGTGGAACACCCACAGTCGCGTCACTGCTGGAGTATAAAAGGAAGTGCATATCCCATGGCTCAAATGGCTTCAGCCCCATTTCTGAGTCTTCAGGTTTTGGCATAGAAAGCGCAATATCATGTGAAAACTGTGGACACAAAATTGAAATGCATAATTTTGTTGAGCATGTTCGGTTATGCCTGAGACAGAAATCTAATGTCATCGGTGCACTTAAACACAAACTGACAATGGACGACAGTTCGCGGCATCGTAGAGATAGTTCCTCATCTGTGTCCTCCCCAAAACATTTTGACGAGGCTAGGAAACACTCAAGAGTTGCCTCCCCTTCTAAGAACTCTCCATCACCACCTTCTACTCCCTGCTCCATCAGTCCAACTGTCCATGAAGCTGATATGGAGGACAAACCACAAAAACTTAATCAACCAAAACAACATCAAAACGTGGATGATGTTAATTCAAATAAATTGAACTTACATGATGGAACTGACTGTATCAGTCACAGTGTGTCAGAATCCTCTGACTTTCCCCTTGATATTGAAATAAAAAAGGAAGTTGATGCTCCTAGTCCAGACCTAGCTGAATCTGCACTTTCTCCATGCTCAGTCAAACAAGAGAGGAGTCCTTCTGTTTCACCCACCAAGGAGCTAAATGCATCATCTTGTCTACAAGATCGATCGGAAGCATGCTCACCACAAAAGAATGATGAAAATCGCTCTGAATCCCGAGTAAGCCTTGACATTATAGATCCTAATAGTAGTGAAACCAATGGCCGAGGGGATTCAGCCTTGAAGGCCATGGAGTCCTTCATTCAGAGGAGCTTCAGTTCCAAGTTTGACCACCATCGAAGCAACATGGTCCATATGATGAACCCACTCAACAAATCAACTCTGCACCTGCCTGGAACAGCTCAAGCAGAGGCTGACTCAGCTTTTAATTATTTTGGAAAGCTGAGAAAATTTTTCAATTCATTTCAACCTTTTGACAGCGAGGTAGCTCCAAAGAAAACTTCCCTACCTGCAGGGACAGTTGCACATCCTGAGAAATCCACAAAAGACACTGACAAGAAAACTGCTCAGACAGAACGGCTAGCAGCTCATCCTGCTTCTGCCACAGATACCAAAGATGCTGAGAAGCGAAAGACAAGTACACCAAAGTCTGAAATGAGTAATGACGATGCCAAATCACCAGCCAAAGAAAGCCAACCTGATGAACCCTCCGAACCCCTTGTGAATAAATACCTCAATGTAGCTGAAGGGGAACCGGTACCTAAACGAGGCTCTGCGCTTGATTCACTAAGCAGCTTCGTGTACGGGCAACCGATGACCAGTGAGCACCCTCTGGACAGCCTGCAGAGGCTGTTGACAAAGACTGACATTCCCAGGATGCTTCAGCAGCAGATGGATCCAATTGCGTGTCGACATCTTATGTCTCCCTCGGAAATGATGGCAGTCCCGTTAAATCTTTCACTGAAACATTCAAAGTCTGATGACGAGGATGACGACCATCTGGATGAACAAGCTGAGGAACTGGCAAGTCTTCGGGACAGTGGAAGCCCCTTGATAGGTTGTGATGGCGAGCTGCTGGAATATAAATGTGCGGCTTGCAGTAGACAGTTTGCATCAAAAGGCTCATACCGTTATCATCTGAGTCGGTGCCATCTATCGAGTGTCAAGAAGTACGGCATTAAAGAGGCCTTCAACATGAGTCCATACGTTTACCTACCTCTTGATCACACTGCCAAGTTCACTAAGTATTATGAGATGGCACATGAGCTCGCGAATAAGGGAAAGTAAAGTGCTAGAAAATTATGAGTGTTTCCCAAGTAGTGAGTGGAAAATCATATCAAGTAAAAAATGCATCCGTAGAAAGAGTTAGTGTTTGTAGCTTTTAATTGGAACTGAAAAAGATATATGTTCCAGCTAGTTAAGTTGAATTATTCACAGCGCTACATTTTCTGCCCTTAAAGGAGAACTCTTCACATGAGGTCATAATAGAAAAATAATACTCACCCTTCATTTTGTGAAAATACCTCTAACCATGATTGTTGTTCATAACAAAATTCATTCAGCCTGCAAGAGGCATCTTGAACAATGCATGCTCAGTTTCAATGCCTAAGATAATATTTGAGCTACCTCACTTTTGGAAAACAAGATGACAAATTACCTAACCCTTACTCATGGCATGTCCATTGATCCTGTTGAGCTTCAACTCATGGCGTGTCCATTGATCCTGTTGAGCTTCAACTCATGGCATGTCCATTGATCCTGTTGAGCTTCAACTCATGGCATGTCCATTGATCCTGTTGAGCTTCAACTCATGGCATGTCCATTGATCCTGTTGAGCTTCATTACCTAAACTGTTTGTTCTTCATTATCAAATCAATTGAGCAATACTAGCCTATTTGCAGAGATGAGTTAATATTTAGCTTGATTAAGACAGGTTGTCATTGCTTGGGAAACATTAAATTAATTTTTGGAATAGTCTCTTGTTTGTGGGGGGAAAAGTTACTAAACTTGTGTCATAGTGTGTGATGACCGTTGATGTAGAAAAGGGAGGTAACTGGCGTATGGTGAACGTTGTTGAAGCCCATAGCTTGTCCGACTGGGTTCAACCAGTGGATGTTGTGCTGATTAGAAGCCTGCCCATTTGTTCATAATATCATGACCACGTGATGTGACTTCTACCAAATATTGCATTTTATCTTGTCCAAACGGCATTTATCTGATATTTTCTTTTTTATCTCAACATCTGTTCATGTGTTCTTGCATTTCAAGTGCTGTAATGCTTTAAATATATATATCCACATCTACCATATCAGTTTTGATTTTTGACATTACATATGCAATTTTGTGATTGAGACTTGACCTTTCATTTATAGACACTGATTTTCAACATCATTGTAAATATCAAGACTTTTTGATGTGAGTTTTGTTATGATTAAGTTGAAAACATCTTTATTGCACAAATTTCATAATTTTGAATTTGCATAATACTTACATGCATAAAATACTTCCTCTGAGGAAGTAAGTAATTTGAGCTGGAAGACACAGATATTTGTAATCTTGCCAATATGATGGTGTTTTTTGCTTTTACATGATATTCAATTTCAGCTTTTTAGTGCTATTTTACAATTTATGTGACTGATTATTTCAAGAGCAGCTGTTCATCTTTGATCTTAATTGACTTTACTTACGCAGATCATGTCTCGTACTTAAAAATGAATCCACCATAATAAGTCTGTGACCCAAGTAATGAATTCTTATGGTAATTTCACCTTTTGAATGAACAATTTGAATCCAAACATGACATAAAAATTTTAGTCGTTAAAAAAATGAAATGTTGATATATTGTTTAAAAACAACACAAATTTTACTTTTGTTTGATTAAGGTTATAGCGTATATATTGTTCCTTCATAAGAACATGATTTGAAAATGGAAATCTTTTGGAAATTTGTGAATGGTGGAGACAAATCTCATGTAAAAGCGAGAAAATTCTACATATCAATGAATCTCTTTTCACCAAATATAGGCAGTTATTTTCTACCTTGATTGACACTGTGCTGACTCAAAGGTTTTGTCCCAAGTTGATTCAATTTGATATTTAAAGTTATCAAGTAAATGTAGTAAATACTTCAACAGTTTTTTGTCAAATGAACAAATTTAGATTTTATGTCAACTTTTCAATTTTTTTAATAAGTTAGTTTTAATAAGAAGTTAAATCTGAGTTCATCTGTGCCATTCAGGGTTCACAATATGTAGACAAGCATGGTTTGTTTTCTTCAAAATTTCCTCAAGGCTCACACTATTGCCTACATTGGTAGTAAAACTTCTGGCATCATGTGAATTCTTTTTGAATATGTCAGACAAAATATTTTGATTCATAGAAGGATTCAAATCAAAAGTTACGCTCCCTATCAAATATGACAGACATATGATACATAACTGTGGTACCATCATCCTGTGTCAGTACTCCGGGCTTATTGGACTCCATCCAGCTGCAGACCATGGCCACTGGTCACTTCGCATGAGCAGAATGCAATCAACACAGTATTTCCCTACTCACAGTTTGAGAATTGTCATCATGTTTGCTGTAGCTAATATTTTGTGTGTCACATGAGTTTCAAATTGTGTATCCCATAGTGTACCACAGTTTGGATCACATAGTGTGTACCTCAGTGTATATCAGATAGGGTGTACCACAGTGTATATCACATAGTGTGTACCACAGTTTGGATCACATAGTGTGTACCACAGTGTATATCACATAGTGTGCACCATAGTGTATATCACATAGTGTGCACCATAGTGTATATCACATAGTGTGTACCACAGTGTATATCACATGGTGTGTACCACAGTGTATATCACATAGTGTACCACAGTTTGGATCACATAGTGTGTACCACAGTGTATATCACATAGTGTGTACCAATGTGTATCACATAGTGTGTACCAGTGTATATAGCATAGTGTGTACCACAGTTTGGATCACATAGTGTGTACCATAGTGTGTACCACAGTGTATATCACATAGTGTACCACAGTGTATATCACATAGTGTGTACCACAGTGTATATCAAATAGTGTGTACCAGTGTGTATCACATAGTGTGTATCACATAGTGTGTACCAAAGTGTATATCACATAGTGTGTATCACATAGTGTGTACCACAGTGTACATCACATAGTGTGTACCACAGTGTATATCACAAAGTGCATACCACAGTGTATATCACATAGTACGTACCACAGTGTTTATCACATAATGTGTGCAACAGTCAATCTGACATTCACAAACGGAAACAAGCTATTTTTAATCAAATTTTATCTGATATTGAAAATGTTTATCATCCAAACACATTTGGTTCAGTTGTCCATTCTCAAATCCCAATATTGTGTCAAGTGGCCGATACATGGTGGAGATGGAATAACCCTGGAAACAAGAGGATGGATCCCATTGTGTACTTGACCATTTCTTTGCATACCCAACCATATCAACTTATATACCAAAGCTGTTCTACATCTTCCTATTTAATTTGTATGCATGTTTTATTTTCTTTGACCACAATATACTCTTTGTGATAATTTTCATCTTGGTGCAAGCTTGCAAACATTCTATGAAATCCCATGGCTCTTACGAGCATTTTCATCTGTGTCAATCAAATGTACTGTAAATACATATGCAATGAACATGTTGAATCAAAGTGGTTCTGATGTGGATGGGCTTTAAATCATGTATATATGGTTACCTTTTTAAGTGTTTGAAATCCGTTGATTCAAGGTTTATTCAAGTTTATGATGTAGATAATTATAGACTCAGTTTGACAATCTGTCAAATCACTTGCAGATGATGTTTAACTGACAACTTGTTTTTTATCATGTAAATAGGTAAACAGCTTTAAATGATAAACAGTATGTGGGTTTTAAAAAATATTAATAATGTGACATGTATAGCAATTTAATTCTCTTTTACGTAGGAATCAGAGTAAGTTTACTGATTTTAAGGCTGATTTGACCAAGTGCTATTTGTCTGTTGTATGGAAACTGTTTGTGTTTTGAAACTATTTACCCACCAACTCTTCATGTTTCTGATGAACCTTATACGACTCTATGTTGTGCCCCCAAGGGGATGTTCGACCTGGCCTGTAGCAATGTTACATATGTGCTTTAACTTGTGTCTTGCAGTCACTCAGATGTCTGGCAGTGTATATTTACGACAGTTGTTATAAACATAACTGCTCATATTCTCTTGTTGAAATATGATTTTATCTTCTTAACATGCCCAAATTGATTGTTGTTTTCACTGTTTTATAAGTTTAAGTCTAAGTCTAAGGTAAAAAGAACTGTTTTCCTAAATTCAAATTCAATTAACTTAATTTTATATTTTTATGCTTTTCATATTTTCATTTGGCAGAATTTTTTACTTCTGTTATTTCAGTCACAATTGGAAGGCTGAGTTGCAATACCAGCCAGCCATGACAGATTAACTAAAGTCATATGAAAAAAATCAGGTGTTTTTTAACTTGTTTTGAGTAGGAAATATAAAACTGAAGTTTTGTTCTTACAAGGACTATGACACAGTAAGTCTCCCAAATAATTTGTCCATCTAGCATCCCACTGAATGAAAGAACTGTACACTTGAGTATGATGGGAGTAGGCACTGAGAACACACTTCCTACACAGTCCCTGATAATGAATGGTTCCAGCAACTGAAACTGTCTTCACAGCAAGAAGTCCAAATGCATTATTTCACCTGGAAGTATGTAGATTACTTTGTGTAAGGCCTTTATTTTTTATTGGTTGGTTCACAACATGTTTTGCCCAAAATTCAATGTAGGTCGAAAAAGAAATTTTAGGAAAGTCTTAACTGGACAGGACATTAAGTTTAGTGTTGGTTGTCAAGGGTGTGACATTAGTTTCCCCAGATGCCCTCATTATCGATACACCAACACTTATTTGCAGCCCAAGTTTGGGAGAACATCGAGAGTTTTGAATGTCAAAATTAAAAGTAGTTTCTGGAGCCATCAGCTTTTACATGTACCTGGTAGTGATTTTGTCCATCAAAATAATTATGTTACTTTATTTTGTTAAGAGTCATTTCATTTATTTTTATTTAAGTTTTTCTTGGCAAAACAACTTTTTAAACAATAATAGGCGTAAGGTATCTGTATAAAAATTAAAAAATAAAGCCAATAGATAGCCAATCATTAGCATGCCCACCCATCTCCAATCTCATTAAAATCAGATCTAAGACTACCGCTTATCAAAGATCTGAGGACATCCCATCACGTGTCATGTCATAACGATCTTTCGCAAACTTTGACCGACCAATGAAATGACTTACAAGAAATTGTCATTAGCCAATCATAAGGAAGCCTTCTCGAGCTTTATGACACTGGTTTCAAACTGGTGACTCCGCTTCGAAACATATTTTGATGTATTCGCGATTACAATTTTTAAAACTGATAAAAAGAACATTCTAGAATTGCTTATAGATAGCCTAGATTGTATGGGTATAATTATAAAACCCGTAAATGTCATTTGGAAAACCCTCTGTTAAATATTTCGAGGTTGCATGATTAGAAAACACATTCCGACTGTCACTTTTGTGATCTGATAAGCGACTCTCTGATTGGTTGGATGAAAGGTCGTTCTGACGTGACCCGTAATGGGATGTCCTCAGATCTATGTTTAGCGATAGTGAGAACTAAGATCTGATTTTAATGAGATTGACCCATTGCTCTCTGAAAGCTTTCTTACTCACCTCAGGTTTGTTTGGTTGTTTCAGCAACTGTAAATTTTGTCGTGCTTTTAGAAATAATAAATAATAAAATTCCTCGCTCCACACTTTTCAGGAAGAGAAAATTGATCAATGATTAATGTATACTGGCCAAGACTCTTCGAATCCAATATTAAGTATACAGTTTATATTGACCACAGAAGCAAGACTGTCATTTCATTACACACGCCTATAAAGAAATATATATCTGCTATCAGAGAATGAAGTTGAATAGTAGTTAAATCAAAACATGTTTTAGTTTTGTCAGAATGTCAAATAGCCCCATTGTAGCTACCTAATAACCACACATTCCCAGATACCAGTATTATCAGAAGTGCTATGAAATGTACATAATTGAACCATTTTTGTTTTATTGATTTATTGTGTTCTATGTTATTGATCGGTTGTTGATATTGTGAAATTGACGCTTTTTGAGAGAGCTGTTAGAACTGCTATTCATCAGTATTAAGATTGACAACCCTGTTTCCGATCAGCTGATTACCTTTCAACCAATTGTTCTTGGAATCAGTGAAACTGATCAGAGCACAAATTGTTCTTGTTTTGATAAAAAGACTAGGAATTTGTTTAAGGCATTATACGAACTAGAATAATTATCATGAATAGTAATGCACTACCATCATTAATAGTAATTTAGTTATCAACATGAATTATGATGCATAATTATCATGAATATTCTTGCATAAACATGAATATCAATGCATTATTAACATGAATAACAATGCTCTATAATTAGTGATGCATTATTATCATGAATAATATTTGAAGCATTTGTAGAGATAGTGGTATTTAAATTAATATTAAAAAATCAACTGATTTTGATCTGTAATTGTTTAAGTACTCCTGAAATATTGAACACCAGTGCAGTAATATATTATTATTGTGAGAAGTTTGCAAATTTTGTATCAGGAATATTTATAATGAATTAATATGAGTATTAGGAATCTGAATATTTAGATGACTCACCACCTCTGTGTTCTTCTACTTAAGTTTTCATCCATGTATCCATGTAATAACACGTTTATGATTGATATATTGATCTGACGGGATGACACACGTCCTTCCTTGCTGATGCCCTATGGGTCACTTTTGGTCATTTATTAAGATCTGTTTCATTTGAGATCTGAAAACTTTGCTATTAAAGAAATGTTTTATCATTTGCAATGGTTTGATTTTATATTCTCTATAACACATCCTTAATCATGGTACGAGTTTGTTTACAGACTTGGAGAAGTTTCAAGAAGTTTGAAAAAAATAATACATGCAGCTTGTAGAACAGACTAGGTGATTCCTTCTGACAGTGTATGGAGCTAATAGGACCATTACTTACAGTATTACATTTATTTCCCATACCTGGTGAGTTCTGAGTGACTGTGTCAAAACTCGCAGCAGCTTTAGTCTGGCATCTTGCCAACCTCTTTCTCTCCACCAAATTATCATGTTATTCTTTTATTTCAAAGCAAATAAAATATATTTATACCTCAAATGTATAATGTTTTTTATTTGATTTAATCAAATTCATTTTCACCCGACATTTTACAACCAGCACATTTGCCATATCAGACAAATATCCTGCCTGCTTGATAAAAGGGAGAGAACTCTGTTGGCATGATATTTGCTTCAGTAACTGAGGAATCTTTTGGCCAAAACAGTTTGATGAGTTTCATTTACCAAATCCCATGAACTGTGGAGGTGACCCAGTAATATACCTTGTATGGTAAATTTTATTCAAAAGTAGCAAAATTATTTTCTTCTGATGTCTGCGAGTTACAAGTCTGCTGCTATTGTGTACAGATCAATATTGTCCTCTTCTTCTGAGCAAGGCTGTAAAAACTATCCAACAAATTCAAATGTAATGAAAAGGAGCTGCTCAACACTGTAGCTTACCTTGTCACATGCATGTTCTCCACAGAGCTGCAACACTCTCGAAAACCACTGGATAACGGAAACCAAAACTTGGCATTCTTGTTCCCACTTAGCTGACAAAAGTCTGCAGAGTGAGTGAGTGAATATTGTATAACACAGTCAGCATTATAACAGTGACCTGTAAGTAATGGAATCTGGATCATGCAGACCAAAGACCGGGAGCACAATGACAATTACAATGTCACCGAGGTCTACCACCTGATCTAAGCTCTTTGACTTGTACAACCAGCAGTGAGTTGCTGATTCCTCCTGTTGGTAAATTGCATATATAATTACACAAAATGAAGCAAAAATATTCAAACTAATACTAGTAGTGGTTCAAAACTTTTCATTTCATAATTATTATAATTACTTTGGGAAAGGAGGGGGGCTGTCATCGGCTGTTTGTAAATTTATTTCATGTGAACTGACAACAACCTTCAATGTCATTCATATGCCAGAACAGTTCTCCATGCATATCGAGGTATTGAATAAAGTATGTGCTGGAAACAAATCTAACACACACCCTAACACACATATTTAATGAAGAGCTCTATACTTCATTTATGAGAAACATCACCTAACATTCAAAATATTATTTGTGAGGGGAAAAGATTGTTGTGAAGGCTGTATAACTTCATTAAAATGAGCTGCTGCAGTGGCCATTTGAAGTAAGTGTTACAGCGCTATTGGATTCATCCCAGTTCAGTGCTATTCGACTCATCCAAGTTTGGTGGTTGGATTAATAGAAGTTCAATGCTATTGGATTCATCCAAGTTTGTAGGATGGACTCATTGAAGTTCAATGCTATTGGACTCATCCAAGTTTGTAGGATGGACTCATTCAAGTTCAATGCTGTTGGACTCATCCAAGTTCAGTGCTATTCGACTCATCCAAGTTCGGTGGTTGGATTCATCCAAGTTCAGTGCTGTTGAACTCATCCAAATTTAGGGGGCACAGGTGGCCCAGTCGTCTAAGGCACCGCAGTTCGCTGTGCAGAGTTGCGTCCCTTGGACCCGCCAGAAACCTATGATTGTGGGTTCGAATCCCGGTTCGCCCCGATTATGTTTCTAGGTTTGTCAGCACCATACCCGTGCTCGTGGGTTTCACCGAAGTGGTAAACGTCTGAGACCTGCATCACTTCGGGCTTTCCTCCCACATTAAGCTGACACACCGTGATATAACTGGAATACTGTTAAAAGCGGCGTTAAACCCAACTCACTCACTCACTCACTCATCCAAATTTGGTTTTATGGGACTCATCCCAGTTTGGTACTAATGTACTCATTCAGGTATCCACTCAGTCTAAGAATAAACATATTACTACACCATAACTAATTCACATCTTTATATGTTTTCAACACAAGATACCCACCAAATGCCGTGTTAAGGTGAGCTAAAATGTCAAGAACATATTTGTCTATGAATGACTGTCTCCATGATGGGGAATTTTTTTTTTCCCAATAGGACAGCTGGGTAGTACATTCCTGTTCAATATCTTGAAATTTAACCCAGAACTAGAAGTACAGAAGCTCACCTTTATTCAGTGACAGAAAATTTGGACGTTGTGTGTCTCAGAACCATTACACAATACTTAGACATAACTAGTTGACCAGTCACCTTTGCTGGTGTTTATATTACACATGTAACTGGTATTAATATTAAATCTGCAATGCCATTATGTAAAATGTATGCTTCATCTGCATCTCTCTTGTAATTATGTTAAGTGAGTGAGTGAGTGAGTTAGGTTTAATACCGCTTTTAACAGTATTCCAGTTATATCACGGCGTGTCAGCTTAATGTGGGAAGAAAGCCCGAAGTGATGCAGGTCTCAGATGTTTACCACTTCGGTGAAACCCACATAATCGAGGCGAAAACCAAGATTTGAACCCACATTCATAGGTTTCAGGCATGCCCAAGGGACGCAACTCGTGCCACCCGTGCCCCCAATTATGTTAAGTGAAACATTATGAAAGTAACACCGCCCCAAAAAATCATAATTAAATGCCAAAAAACGTAATAGCATGTTTTCTGTAATACTCATTATTTCAAGTTTAAATAGCAAAGAAAACAAACTTGCTCATCCTACTGGTATTATTTATCGACAATTCGGTAGGTAAGGCATATGTTCTGACACTAGGATACCTACATAATGTGTCAAGTCATCCACCACAAAGTTTGACTTTGCTTCAGTGTTAAACATAATTATAGTTCAAATACTCATAAATGTGGAATAAATTCAAATAAAAGCAATACATCAAGCAATTGCCCTTAAAAAATGGTATAGTCATACAAATTATTCCTGTATTTGTACGAACATGGGGAAACTCATCTTCCCGAGGCAAGAGGTTACCTGACTATAAAAGTCCAGGATTTGCAAAACATGTGCACCACCAACTCATTGTCAGAAGATATTTTCCAAATCGTTTCATTTTTTAAGGTGCTCACATGATATGATGCATTTCGTGATGTACCAGTAAGACCCGTTTTATCACAATATATATCTTGATTATCAATCAGATCGTCCTGACCGGGCACTACCATTTTGTGTGAAGCAAATGCAAGTGATACGAGAGGTGGAAGCTGATTGGTCCATAGGAGAGGCTATGGACTTTTAAAGTCAGTTAACTCTCTTGCCTCGGGAAGATGGGGGAAACTTCAAAATCGTAAACTCTTGATTTTTTCATTCATTCAAAAACATCATTATTGAGTTTTTTTTACTTATTTAAATTTTACATCAAATTATATTTAATACTTATACTATCTCACACTATGTATTTCTCCTTCTTCTTTTGATCCTATGTGGAAAAGTGCTTGAACAAAGTTTCCAGCTTATAAAAATACATTCACCTGACCACATCCCAGCATCACCATGGTCACTACCCAAACAAATGGGTCACACTCTATAACCCCATGCATAGCTACCAACACGACCTGATCACATGACTATCTCTGCCACATCATTCTCTTTCTTAGTGCTGACAGGCAAGAGGAGCTGTGATGTGGGGATGGTTGGGAGGGCATATAGCATGTGAAACAGGATAGATATTATTAGTATACAATTTATTGTAAAATTTACAAAATTTTAAACATATCCTATCTCACACTATGCCTTTATCCCACGGTCAGACATATGGGGTGCAGATCACCTAGCCTAAGTAGACTACAACCGTGAGACGTACACAAGGAAGCTGGTGTTGGACCGTGACACAAGCATAAGTCGTAATAATGTCGCATGTCGTAAAGACAAGAACTCGAGAGTGGTACAGCACCATATTATGCGATGTAACCCCTTTACGCTAGTCATCCATAACAACATGAGATCAGGTATAACATGCGACATTGATACATGATTGACCGCACAGCTATGAATAGAGATCTATTGCGACTCATAACCAATCCGGAAGGGGTCTCCAGCCAATCAGGTCTACAAGACATACCACACATCTATCTCGGATGGGCAATACAGTAAGCCAGCTTGGCATCTCTTGTAACGCTTCATCAAAGCTACCAATCATGCCAATCATGCCTGCAGGACTGAAGTATGCTAAGACGATAAGAGGAACGATCGACAATATCCACAAGAGGATCTTCAAAACAGTTATGAAGCACGTGCCTAACAAAGGTGGGCAGGTAAATGTTTTTTTTATACCATTGAAAGGGTAGTGCCTTGCGGCAACTCCTGTTGTAGACCGGAGTCGATTATCCTCCACTGGCTACTCAGTCTGGGAATCCGAATAATAATGACAACAAACAAAGGAGCAATGATTCCAATATTTATTCTGTATATACAGGACACGGAGTACTGACACACAGGTGCCGGTATAGTATCGTCTATCTGTGTTGATGGGCAGTCGTCAGCTGTAGTGTTAGGACCAAAGGACCATTGGTGAGGACCCTGAATGTCGGTGACTGAGATGTCACGAAGATAGTGAGAAGCGAAGAATGTATCTAACTTCCAAAAGCAACCCTCCATGATGGAGGACAGGGTCTGGTTCGGATGTCACAGAAGGTGGCAATCCAGCGATGATCTTCCCACAGAGGAAGATGGTGAAACTCTCTTTATGCAATCTTTACCAATGCTATGAACCAACTTTGAGCTTTTGAATACCTTCAGGTAGAAGGCCGGTTAGGGTAAAGGCATAGGAGTTGAGGTTCTCCCATGAGATGGCCAGAGCGTCTTGGTCCCATGCCCAAGGATCTGGGATGGGACAGACACTAAATGCTGTATCTTCGACCACCCATGCCCTGTTTGGTGTCGAAGAGAGCCCCGATGAACTGTAGACGTTGAGTGGGAGTTGTTTCAGACTTTACAACGTTGATGAGCTGCTGTGTAAACTCTAGATGCTGTACGAGGATGTCTGAATCAGCATGGTCTTGAATACAATCGTCGATGTACGCCTCAAAGATTATTCCTTGGATGTGCAAGAACTTTGGGAGATCGGGAGCACCTTCCTTTGGTAGTGGAGGCTTTGGAAAATTAACCGGACACAATGGCATTCCTCCCGGTGGATTGGAACATGTAAGTACACGTCCTGCAGTTCAAGACTGACCATGTGGTCTCCTGGCTGGCTGACTGATTGAAGAAGCGTGATAGACGTCATGTGAAAATGCGGCGGATATTCGATGTATATAATGCATTGAATGTCTTCATGTTGAAGATCATCCTGAGCTTCATGCCGTCTTTCTTCTGGAACGGAAAAATCTGGATTTGGACCTAGAAAATCTAGAGCTAATTTGGAAACCAAAGTACCGATTGGTTCCTGTAGAGCCAGAGCTGGATACTCTGACTGGAGGTTGTCGGAGGTGTCCCCCCAACAGCAGCTTCATTTTGAAGGAAATGTGTGATGAAGGAGTCGGACAGGATGAACCAGTTCTCTGCAAAGTAACCTTCCATCTGGATGGGTTGACTGTAGGGACTGTCAAGGCTGATGTAGTCAAGCTGTCCTTCAACATGACTGTACGAACGTCCGATGCGACATATTGTTCCAGTGTAGACATAGTGGCGGACACACTGAGGACAGATGGCTGGTTCATTTTGGCAGGAACGTCATTATGAAAACTGTCAGATACACCATCAACAAACAAAAGGCTTCCTCTGAAAGGTGGGAACATTGGAAAGGTGGGAACATTGGGAACACTTTTGCTCGGGAAGACAACGGCCACAACAGTCACAACATCGATCATGAGGATCAGCAGTGAAGAAAATACATCTGCAATCTTTGCACGAACGGTGATTATTTCATTCTGTTCCCAATTCTCTTCAATCCAGTTAATTGTGTTATAGATGTTATTACGAGGAGGAGGAGGAACCTAAATAAAAGAAGAAAATGGGATAAATGGATTCTCTTAAGACTCAATACACGTCTCCTCAGGGTGGCGATGTGAAAGAGAATGATGTGACAGAGATAGTCCTGTGATCAATTTGTGTAGGTCATTATGCACAGGATTATAGTGCGTGACCCATTTGTTTGGGTAGTGACCATAGTGATGGTGGGATTGGTTCGGGAAAATGTTTTTTCAGAAGCTGGAAACTTTTGTGCAAGCACATTTCCAAATAGTATCGAAAGAAGGAGGCATAGTGTAAGATAGATTAAGTTTAAAATATATATATTTATGTTTTCATAAGTTCTAAACGCCTGTTTTTTCCACATTTTTCAAACATAAATACTGATCTGTAATTTGGCATTCTTTTGACCTTGACCTTTCAGAAAAGTCAATGAAACTAACTCGAGATTTTTTCTAAGACTAAGAGGTCATGTATGCCTAGTTTGAGGATTCTCCTGCAATAATGTATTTATTGGGGTCATAAGCTGTTTGTACACTCATTTCAAAAGCAGTCACCTTGTCCTTCAAAGTCAATCCTGAAGATCCTCTTAACATCTACATATAAAATAGACATTTCTAAAAAATTTATCCCGTATTAATTTTCAGATTAAATACAATTGTCTACAAAGTGACAAAGTGTAATGCAGACACCAAAATCTTGCCGTTTCAACTGTTTAATTACCATGTTAATAAGGTACAATACTTTCACTTTCAGTTTACTAAATTTGCAAAAACTACGTAGTTTGTAATAGCTGTTGACAGTTTCATCTGTGGATTATGTTAAGATGGTGGTGTTTAATGAAGATCGATAAACCTTACCATTTGCTGCAAACAGTGAACTTTGTGATTTATTAATAGCATTATGCATAAAATATTTAATGAAAACATTTAAGAAATAAACGATGAGTGGGGGTTGCTTATCATGACTCCCTCAATAGAATCCGACCTCAGCAATGTTGAACAAGTCCATTTCATGCACAGGTAGGTATTTCCTGCATATTCTCATAATCTTCATGTCGATTTCCTGTAACTTTTCTCCCAACACTGATTGTCATATCTCTCCCGGTTTTGGATGCGATCGTTCGGCCATCGCATTTATCTGTGTTGCCCAGTTACATCTATAGGGAACAACTCAAGAGACACTCCCCTCTCAAACATAACATGATGTCATCAAGTTGTGAGCACATGATCGAATCTCCAGAAATGACGTCATGAAAGAACAATGTTTTATCGTGAAATAAACCACACTTCATTTTTCATTGTTCTTTGTGATTTATCGCGTAGCTATCTTATATTACCTTCTGTATAATATGCATTTTATTGATCCTTTATAAGAGTAATGGTTGTACTTGTAGGAAACTTTCACACAGTTGTAATTTTTCTTCTGGTGACGTTTCTGACAGATTGCAATCAGGAAAAATAGTTTCATGAATGTCATCTTTCTACAAACATCCAGCTTATCCACAGTCATTCACCTGTTTTGGAACAGTTTTTTGACAACACTTATATTCACATCATCTTCTTCATGATATGAATTAGTACTTGTTACTATCTGACAAACATACAGTTCTTGTACTAATGTTTCAGCAGGTGTCTGTGGTACCTGAGACATGTTTCAAAATGAAAGAAGTGTCACTTGTATAGATATTTCCAAAAGATACATGGTGGTAAGAGATATCTGAAGCTACAGAAGGGGTGGTGTTTAACTTTTTTCCAGGTGTATAACACGGACATGTTTTGAGCATCTGGTAGTCACAATTGGACCTTTAACTAATTACACACACCCTATTTACCTGCCATGGTGATTGATTACCCAATCTACAAAATCACGACTTACAACCAGCATAGGTTGCTGGGATCCTATTCTCACTTAGAATGAGGTGAGGTGAAATTGGGTTTAACGTCGCGTCCAAGATTATTGCACTTATATAGCGACGTGCATGTACATGTGTTTGTGTGGCTGCTTGTACTAGTCGCCGATTTATAGTGCTAGCTCACTGAGATACCATGCCGCAGTTTAACATCAATACCCCACTCAGACACAGTTTATTGACCCCTAGCCGACCAGTCCTTGTTTTAGCCCCTTAATTCCGAGCGCCAGACAGGGTAACAACAAGTACCATCTTTTAACGTCTTTTGGTATGATGCGGTCGGGGATCGAACCCCGGACCTTCCGCTCTCCAGGCGGACGCTCTACCACTAGACCACAGAGGCGGTCACCACTTAGAATGACCACAGGGGGCCTGTTTAGTAAGTGAAATAAGAACACAACACAAACTTCATAACAAATGGCCAACAACAGATTTAATCTGTATGAAAACAACTGCTTCAGACAGACATTGATGTGAATTCAAATAAATAAAAGACTTTCAAAATTCCATCCATTCTTTGAACATGCATTGGTCAGTTAACAAGCATGGAATCCCAATTGAGTTACAACAGCAACAAGTTCAAATTGCAGAATCAACAACAATACCTGGGGTGTGGATGTAGCTGCCGTGATTCCCAGTTCAGTAGTTGGATGTTCTGTTGAATGTCATAATGCTGATGTCCAGGCATAGCTCACTCTATACAAAATATGTACTTGACATTTCATGACAGTTCAAATAACAGATTTAATCCCTCTGATGCTTCAACTGACATCAGAGGAAAGTAAAACTTCACAAGATTACAATGACCAGAGATGAACAACTATGCTGTTCGTATCAAATAGAAGATTGCACAATATGTCTACTGTATATTATTGGGTATTTGCTGACCCCAAATTTGAATCTTGAAATCCAAATCTAATTCATATGCCTCACCTTGCCAAACCTATAATCATCACTTTTCTTCAGCTCTACTGGCAACGACCCCATTCATCGATGCTGGTGGTGAATACTTATTTCTTAATACCACACATCTAAGATGACCCTCCTTTCTAACTCCTGAGAGTTGTATCTAAAAAATGCGCACATACCCCAAAATACATAGTAAGTGGAATTAGAAGACATGCGCTTGTGAAATATATTACAGATATTGTTGCTGTAGATTTATAAATTTCTTCTAAGAGAGGTACACACAAAGACATATTTCTCAGCTGACAAGATTCAGATTCAATTTTAAAGAAGATACATGACATTGAGAATATTTGAATGTTCACTTACAAATAGAAATCATGATGACAAAGTACAACATAACCACATGTTTGGCAAGAAAATATTCATTAATACATGTCCACCTCCATATTGAGATCAAGGTTAGTTTCCATGACGACAATGTTAAACTGATCACACAGGCTTTCAGTCAACTTTCTCATATGGTTTAAAAAATAATAGAACAAGAATGGATAAATGTTTATGCAAGTCAAACTGTTTTGATTACCAATGCAGATGGAAAACTGCTAGTAATAAAGGTATGGATAACTTGAGCATGCTGAATACTTGCGTGAAAATTACTAAAACCATTGATAATGCACATGTGTAGTGTGCATCAAGTATGCTATGGTGCTGGCAAGAACATCAGTGTAAGGCTATAACGATGAAGAAGCATGTTTCCCAGGCACTGCTGCAATAACAAAATCACAGAGGCATATCAGTTCTGTTTTCACACAAAAACAAAAAAATTATCCATTTCTCCCCAACCCCCGAAATAAAATCTCAAATGCCAACATCACCAGTTCAGCAACAGTCAATGCCTGAGAAGCAATTTTTCAGCCTAGTATCTTTCCAGCCAAATTTTACTGCTTCTTTACTCCATTTGGTCGTGTTTCTGGCTATTACCAACAGTCTTTGCTGAGACTGTATGAAGTCTTTTAGCACAAACAGATGGAAACTCTCACAGAGCTGTTCAGCTACACACATTACACCTCCACTACTTCAAGGCTGGTCAGGGCTGTCCCATATTTCTTGTACACAATTCACCTCAACTGCTTCATAGTCTTTCAGACCTGTAAATCATTGCTCTATTTCCTGAAACATGTTCAGATACATATCTTTGTTCATCACAACACATAACCATGTGTACACAAGTGTTCCTGTTGAAAGTGAAAGAACTGTCCATATTGCTCCATAGATGCATTGTGTGTCTATTGTTGAAAGAGGTCAACAACCTCTGAAAGGTCCAATCCCTCGTCATCGCCGGTGTTGGGTGGTGCTGAGGTGATGCTGATCGTGTTGGTGGCTGCTGGGACAAAGCCGTGCGGCAAGTTCATCGACTGCACCATCTCCAGGTGATGCGCGCGCTTGATGTGCGTCTTTAAGTTGCCCTTTTGTGTGAAGGACAGGGAACAGTAGCTACAAAGATGAGGTCGCTCACCGCTGTGCTTCTTCAGATGTACCTGAAGTGCGTTCTTCTGGTTGAACGCTTTTTCACACAGATTGCATACGTATGGCCTTTCACCTGGGGAGTTACACAAAATGTAAGTTAAACTCTATATACGACTTGGACATAATTCCATTTCATACAAGTTAATGAAAACCAATGAATATTTGTTTCCAGATAAGCAAATTTAAGGTAAATCTGGTTGCCCAAGGAATTATGACTTCATAGTTTACGTAACATCAGTTGCTTTCTTTGAAAGAGCCTGATCCTAAAGGAGATACACACAGCTGCTACCAGCCTCTTACCTGTGTGTATGCGTTCATGCCTCATCAGCTGGCTGGGTTTCTGGAAGGCCTTGTCGCAAGTCTGACATCTATGTGGAGTAGGCTTCACTTTCTTGGGTATAGAACCAGGGGCATGAGTGGTCAGATGCTCCTTCAGGTGGCTGGACCGCTTGAATGCCTTATGGCATACCTGCGATTCAGGGACAATATGTTGTAAGTGAGTGAGTTGGGTTTCATGCCACTTTACACAGTATTTCAGCTATATCACTGCTTATAGTGGGAGGAAAGGACAAAGTGGTGCATGTCATAGATATTTACCACTTTGATGAATTCCATGAGCTCAGGGAAGTTGCTGACAAACTAAGGATATCATAATCAGGGCAAATATTGCATTCAAACTCACGATGATGATTCTGGCATGCTCAAAGGATGCAACTCTGTTTGACAGATAGTACAGATAGTTGGTTGATGCATGTCATCGGTCCCAATTGTGTGGATTGATGCTCATGATTTCACTCACAGGATTGTCTGATCCAGACTCGATTATTTACAGACCGCCATCATATAGCTGGAATATTGCTGAGTGCAGCGTAAAACAACAAAGCAAAACCAAAAACCATGTGACCACTGAGATACCATGCCAACATAACATAGATACCCACTCAGACACATCATATTGACTAAGCCGACCAGTTTAATACCCTTATGGTCTCCAGACAGGGTGACTGCAAGTAAACAGCTTTTGGCCAGGGGATTGAACCACCCACCTTCAGCTCTCTCCGGGCAGACACTCTATCCGCTACACCACATATGCACTAGGTTGTATGATAGAGCCGTACTGGCTTTTGGATATGTTCTTACCCCACATATATGGTTCCTCTGTAGGGAGTACTTCTCATCATGTATGGGCATGGCTTGGGGGAAGTCTAGTGATGTGTCATCATCATGGACAATGGTTGAGTTGTGGTCGTCTAGCGGCACCTCGTCATCATCGTCATTGTAGTCATCATCATCATCGTCCTCATCGTCATCATTGTTGTCACTCAGCAGAGATTGGTCCTGGTCAACAACCATATGAGACACTTCCGAAACCTGGATACAAAACAGAAAATAGTGGTTCAAAAGTTTAGTTCCTCCGAAAATACAAAACTATTCTTAAAAACTGCAAATTTCTCAGTCATTTATAATGTGTGCAGTTCTGTTTCATTATCCATGAATCCAGCAGATGTTGGCCTCACTGGTTTGTCAATATTTCATACAGACATCAGGATCTGCGTGTAATAGAGCTGATCATTACTGAAGAAGCCGATCAGGGCTGGTTTGCATAAAGCAAAGTAAACACTAAAACTTCACTCACACACTTAACCATAGACTACAACAGAGGAAGAACAAATATCTCTTTGTTCATGTGGTCACTAATTTCTATTTATTAATAGAAGGAATATCTGCCCTGCCAATATCACTATTTGAACAATTGGAGGATACAGCAGTTATCAACACGTGAAGGGAGTAAGTGTTATTTTATGCCACAGTCAGCAATCAGGGATCTTGGCCTGCTCAGAGAATGTTTTCTAGATAAAAAGTTCCAAATTAGAATCTAAACATTTCCCAAATCATGTTATAGTTCTAACAGGCTATTTTACATGGGTTTATAAATAATTGAATCTGGACAAGACAAATAAGCAAATCACTTTAGTTGCCTCTTACAACAAAGGTTACTGAAGACCAATTCTACCCACAAATCATACCTGCACATCCATATGGTCGGGCACAACAAACCCGGCCATATCTGGCCTAGCTTGTAGGGTGATGTTCTGAGCTTGTAGAGCTTGCTGTTGTGCGTCTACTTGTGTGACCGCCACACTGGACATGGGCTGGACAATCACATTGGGGTTGACCGTGTCCTGCAGCGAAGACACTGGCTGTATCTGGATATTCTGCATGAGGTTGGGATCATGAACGGTCTGCGTGATGATGTTAGGGTCAGCCTGCTGCAGGACTGTCCCATCAGCCTGAACGGTCTGTGTTAACAGACCCTGATCTGTGGCCTGCACGGTCTGTGTAATGACATTGGGATCCTGAGCTTGCACCTGTTGTGTGATGACGTTGGGGTTGATGGTGATGTTGATGTTACCCTGTTGTTGTAGCTGCTGCAGTAGACTAGCATCGATCTGCACAGTTTGAGACAAAATGTTGGGATCCAGACCAGCAATCTGAATACCCTGTCCGAGCCCTGAGGTGAAATGAAGCTGGATACCTTCCAGACCTTGTAATACTTGCGTAGCAAGCTGACTCTCATTGAGTGATGTCAGATTGTCCGGGACTGTGAATGAGATGGGCATGATGCTCTGTGTCTGAAGTAGGGATGGGTCAACACTGACCACTTGGCTAGACATTGCTTGATGAGGAACCCCGGCTTGCACTGGTACCTCTGAAGTACTGACCATCGTGACGGGGAAGTTATGGGACGTGTCCACACTGCGTGAAACTTTTCGTTTCTTTGGTAAGTCTTGCTTGAAATGGGACAGGATGTGACTCTTGCGGTGTCCGGAGGTTCGAAACCTGCCCTGACAGTGTGGACATTTGAATGGTTTGGCTCCTGTATGAAGCCGCATGTGAACTTTTAAACTGCCTTTTGTGGAAAACAAGGAACTGCAGACATGACACTTAAACTTCTTGTCACCTGGAAGTCAAATGATAACGTTATGATTATACAACTGAGGGCAATATGATCCATGGTTAATATTCACCATTAAGTAAGTTCTCCCACTACCCATGAGATCAATACCCTCCAAATCTAGCCGGTTACCTCTTATATTACTATACATATTTAATACCAGTGAGTTAACTCACCCAACAATGGTAAAGCCCTTTAACCTACACTTCACAGCGGGAAAACAGCAAAACCAAAACTTTCAGAGGGTACAGGGAGCAGACATCTTGCAATGCTGTAATGCAAGTGTATGTGACCTGCGTACATGTGCCACCATGTTTCTACCTCCTCTGAATCTTGGCTCGAGCTGAACAGATGTTTTCTCTAGCTCTCGCCAGTAATCTGCTCACTAGTTAATCTACGTCCTAACATATTCATCAATATTTCAATACAGGTGCATTACCTTATTCCTTGACATAACTCGTATTTCATAACAGCAACTGTGATTTATATTTCACTGAATCTGATTACTGCAAAGCAATGTGTTGAACATGCTGAACATAGGTTGGGAACATAGGTGATGAGAACCAGTTGACATGTCATAATCCACTATCAGAAATGATCAACTGATTATCAACTACAGCTGTTCAGCAACTTAGTCAATTTCTCTTAATTCATTTTGGTTCTGCTTATTTTCAAAAGTTACATGGATTCCTCTGTCAAGACAATGAATATATTAGTTATTACCAAGCTTGCTGGGCTGGGTAAGGCTAGATACCTGTATACAAATTTTCAATGCACTGTACTTTGTGGAAAGTTTATTAATATATTATTATATTAATATTATAATATAATATAATAATATAATATTATTGACTTAAATGAGCAATGTTTATTTGTGAAGTAATTTTGTACCCTTTTTAGTAATGTTTTCTATTTTCATTATCAATAATTGTCAAACGAAATTTTATGATTGGTTAGTTGTGTAACAGAGCATCTATCAACTATTAGTCAATAGTCAGACTATCACTCAGTTAGACTATCATGTCAGGTATAGCCAAAGTGTAATTCTCACTTCTAAAAATACACCATTTGACCCAAACCTACAGTGTCCAGCAACCATTAATGATAAACTAGAATGAGCAACAGGCTGCCTCTCACCTTGTGCTGGTCCGTGCGTCTTCATGTGACTGTCTAGTGTAGACTTGACAGTGAAGGAGCGGCCACATTTGTCGCAGTGGAAGGGCTTCTCTCCTGTGTGTATGCGAATGTGTCGCATCAAGTCACTGGGCTTCTTGAAACTCTTGGGACAGTGGTTACACTGGTGGGGGTGCTTGCAGTGGTGCATTGTGGGAATTGGTTTCTCTTGCTGAAATGGGGAGATAATTCGTTTTTTTGTGTTGATCATTGATTAATTATTGTTTAACTCTGCATTGGCAATTGGTAATTGGTAGTCTTAAATGTTGCTGAAGTGTTACCATCATGGTATACAGGCATATGGTTGACTGTTCAGTGCCGCATGTCATGAATACACAACATAAAACAGGTTCTTATCATGTTATAGCATTCTGTTGGCTCAATTCAAGGCTATCAGTTTGTTTGTTTGTTTGTTGTTTTATGACGCACTTAGCAATATGCACAGCCCTTCCAGACAACAGTTTGAAAATAATTGAGTCTGGACCAGACAATCCAGTGATTGACATCATGAACATCGATCAATGCAATTGCGATGACATGCATCAAGCAAAAATGAAGTGTGTCTGACTACCAAATCTTGTTAGCCTCCTCTTATGACAACCATGGCACGTTGAAGACTAATTCTAACCCGGATCTTGATAGGCTCTAGGCTTTCAATGTGTTTGAATTTTCTCATGCAAAATCTAAATGACAGAAGGTTTGCTTAGCATTTAATGTGACAATGTGAAGCTCACTGCTTTTAGTCTTGAAAGGAATATATCCTCTAATTGTGCAAAATGTTTTTCTCTTGTGTAAAGCTTCAAAAAGGGACATATGCAGACATGGAGGGATTATAAAGACAACTAAAGGCTGCAAATATTGAAGCTATTACCTCACTAACTCGGTCCTTTTCTGAAGCAGACTCTAAAAGTATTTTTTCCGACACAGACAACTCATCCTCAGGATTTTTGGACAGTTCCTCCGTGTGGTCCTCGGTGATCTGGATGCTGGCCTTGGTGCGGCGGATGGCAGGGGCCTGGTTCTCCTCATCACCTGGCACACCTTACATACAGCATACACTTTGATCATACCTCATACATTTGTGCAGCATCAAAGTATCAAAAGTCACATCAACAATCGTTGTCTCCAAAAGGTGAGCACTTGCTAAGTAGGAGTTTACACCGCTTTAGTGAAAGTCCAGCAATATGACCATTTGGGACTCCAGAAATGGGCTGCACACATTCTACACGTGGGGCAGAAAACCTCAGTCCCAAGCAACATCCTGAATAATTTCTAACATGGAGTAGCATATTTGCCGTATAAACATGATTAAGAAACCTGTTCAAATAGGCACCCCCTGAAGTACACTGAGACCAATTTAGAAAGAAATCTTTATAAGCGACCCCGACTTAAGACTGGAAAGTTACATGACAGTCCATATTTTCTTCATATTTTATAGATTTTTTGCAGCAGCACAAAAGGGGTACATAATTGCCTAGTAACTATCATACAAGTTAGAACACTACCATTCAAGTTCTGAAAACAATTGTAATGCATTGTGTATGGTTTTGATAAAGGCCCCCCTTTGTCAATTTTCTAAACAACTGGGGCAATATTACGGCGAATATGACATGCAAGTTGTTGATCAGTAGATTCCAAAATACTGGTCAGCAAGTAATTTGGCTGAACAATTCACAGGGCTTGATGACAAGATCTCTCCTCTATCATGGCCACCTGGTGTGTGTGTGTACAGGAGGAAGAAAGGGACTACAGCGGTAGACCAATTCTCGATAGCAAGACACACAATGGCTGTCTAAATAGGGCACCAAGTCCAAAAGTGGAGCCCTTTTCGAAACATTTTCTGACATTTCTTTCATTTTTCTATCCTTAAACACACGCAGTAGCATTTGGGAATTATTGTTACACAAAAAAAAGAAATACAGAATGAAGAGTTGCAACTGTACTCACTATCTGGTGGCACTGCTCCTGAACCATCTCGATGTACCCTCATATGTCTCTTGCAGTGGACAGCAGTGCGGAATGTCTCATTACAGAAGGGGCAGCGGAAGGGCCGGAGACTGCTGTGGATCATCATGTGACGAGTGAGAGAACCATTGGTGGTGAATGTTGCTTGGCAGATGTGACACTTGTAGTCCTTGATACCCAGGTGGGTCTTCATGTGTGCCTTCAACACTCCCGTCGATACAAACATTCGGTTACATTCTGGACACTTGAATGGCTTCTCACCTATACACAGACAAAAGGTATTATAGGGGGGATTCTTTAAGAAAAAATATTAGAGTATTTTCACATTACGTCAAAAACAACATAATTCTAATCCTGATTTAATCATCATCAGCAGCAGCAGCAGCAGCATCTATATCAAGCATAATGAATCTTTCATGCAGTCAGCTTGAAAAACAATATACATCCTTGAAATCATCACTTTTCCAGTAATAACCCCATTATCATCACCCACTCACCTGTGTGAGATCGAACATGCTGCTTGAGGTGACTTGACTTTTTAAATGACTTGTCACACATTTCACACATGTACAGCCTCTTGCCATCTGAGTGTTCGTCCTGGCCAATGATTACCTCCCCTTCATCTGTCTCCTCCACCAACTGGTCTTCTGAGGTGTCCTCAACCTCCCTGCAATTATGATTCAAATAACCACCTCAACCTCAGTGCAAATAAAAGTTATGGGTGATTGAATGTTGATTAACATCGCAATATTTAGCCTTAACTTGGCGGTCTGTAAATAATCAAGTCTGGTCCAGGTAAACCAGGGACACCAAGGGCAATGATCCATGCAATTGGGTTTAGAGGCACATTAAAGATTTGTGCACTTCCATAGCTGCATCCATGCTTGTAGTAGTCCGGACTGCCTGTTTAATATAGCTAGCCCATTGAGATACCATGCCACAGTTTAACATGGATACCCAACTCAGGACGCAATATATACCAAGCCGGTCAGTCCTTTTTAATCCCATAATGCAGTGTGGGAGGCAGGGTAACAAGTTCCATCTCTTAACGTCTTTAAGTATAACATGGCCAGCGCATCGAACCAATGACCTTCCACTCTCCAGGCATACACTCTTTCCAGTAGACTGTAGGCAGTCCAACGCCATCAGAATACGATAACAAGCAGTCGACCAAGTAACAGAGTTCTACCAGTTTTAGTCAACTCTTAAGTCAAGAGTAAGGTACCATGGGCCTATTCTCACCAATACTTTGGAAATATGCTTACATAGGAGACAGTTTAATTTGAAGATAACTCCTATACATACTGCATTCCACCCTATCCAACCACTGAATGCCTTGAGTAACAAAATTGTAAAATTTTTAGTTGTTGTTTTTAATGAGTTTGGTGCAATAAATCAGCAGCCCATATTGTAAAATTAAACCAAATCATTTTACACTGCCAGTAATATGTATATATGGCTAGATCTTCCTGTAACTTAGAAGTCCAAAGATCACTCAGTGTTATCAGACATGCCAATCTCCAACACAATGGAGCAACACTGAGTTCCCTACCTTGTCTCTAGCATGTTAGGATCGCGTAGAGTGAAGTTAGCAACACTCTGTCCTAGACTGCCAACAAAGGAGCAACACTGAGTTCCCTACCTTGTCTCCAGGATGTTCTGCATGCTGGTGCTAGGCATGGTGGTGGACATTGAGGGGGTGGCCACGGAGAACGCTGTGCTGACCTGCTGTATTTCCATCTGATTGGACAGACTCTGGGGCTGCATCATCAGCTGGTTGCTGGTCAAGGACGTCATCTGACCACTCAGCTGGCTGTTGAGTGTATTGGTCACTTGGGTTCCCAGTGGTGTCGTCAATTGGCCTGTGAGCTGACCACCGAGGCTGTTCAGAGAGGTGGTGACAGTTTGGCCAAGCTGACCAAAGCCCTGCTGACCATTAAGGAAAGCCTGGCCAAAGTTCTGCTGCTGACCAAACACCTATAGGAAAAGGTTATGATAAACATTACACATGTATTTTGTCTTACCATACACAAAGGATAAAGATGAATAAGAAAATGGCACTGAAAACAGATGGCTTACCATCAAGAGAAAATGAAAGAGGCCTTGTTTCTTTGAAGTAGTATTCCAGGCTGGTATCCCAACAGGTGTGTTAGTTTTTTATTGTTTTTTAAAGCTGCACTCAGCAATATTCTAGATATGTTGACAGCAGTCATTAAATATCTAAATCTGGACCAGACAATCAAGGGATTGACATCACAAGCTTTGATCTATGCAGATAGGATAAAATGACAGGCATCAACCATCCGGACCACCCCATTCCTCAGTTGCTGAAGATCAATTCTAACTCGGATCATCACAGGGCAACATGGGGATGGTTGAAAACAAGCTGTTGCAAACACATCCAGAGGACATGGTGAACTAACCTGCTGACTGAGTGTCTGCTGTAACTGATGATCGATGACTGTCCCAGTGAGATCCTGCAATGTGGCCTGACTGAGCACGGCTCCAGGGTCCTGTGAGATGCTGGTGACCGGGACGAACTCCTGCTGTGTGATGGTGGTAGTGTGGCCTATGTCATCCTGCTGCAGAGCTGACAGGTCAGCAGTTGTCTGTGGCTGCGTCAGGTCATCTGTGTTGACCACGGTGTCCCCGACACACTGGGTCTCCCCGTCAGTGACAGTCTGCTCCTCATTCTGCAGAGCCTGCAGGGCCAGCTCATGTCTGAAGATGACAAATTACAATAAACTTTTATATAGAGCTAAATATAGTTTTCAAATCAATGAATTGTTACACTTTATTTTTTTATACTTAATAAGTTTTTTTAGGCTGAACCAGACAAATCAGTGATCAAGAGTGTCAGCAACAGTTCATGTTGGCTTACAATGGCAGACCACCAGCCAAGCTACATCAGAGAGTGTGTATTTCCCATTGGTCACCCATGCTTTGTAACCATGCTCAGCATACTGTGTGTGAGTTTGGTTTTATGCCTACAAACATTTAATTACAAGCTTAATACATGATAAATGAGGTTCCATGAGTTTTAAACTTGATATGTCTTTCTTACCATAAACTACCCAAGCAACATTTGTAAGGTTTATTTGTTAAAATCCAAAGTCCAATTAGATGAAAACAAAATCCATACATCAAACATAAAAATATAAGATACATATTTTGAACTAAATGAGTTTTGCCCTATAAAATACATAAAACTAAAACAACTTGAAAACAAACTTGATTTTTTTTTTCAGGTTTGCTGTTTGGCATAAGAAAAACATGTATTTTTCTAGGTCCAAGGGCCATAACTCTAGACAATAGGATCCCTCAAGTAGGGCATTTGTGTCCATCACCTAATAATGAAGTCACTAACCTGTGAGTCTTCATGTGTTTCTTGCAGTTGACTGATGTCTTAAAAGTTTTCTGGCAGTACGGACACATGAAGGGGCGGACTTCGCTGTGGGTGGACATGTGCCGCTTCAGGCTACCATTAGTGGTGAATGTGGTGTCACAGATAAGACATTTGTATGCTTTAACACCTGAGTGAGTTCGAGAGTGCGCCTTTAACACCCCACTGGAGACAAATGATCGGAAACATGTGTTACATCGGTATGGCTTCTCTCCTGAAAAGAGAACATTTCACAGATGACATTTGCCACATTAAACATGGTTGTCTGCCATTTGTTGGTTGTTTGTTTCACTCTAAAATCTTCTACAGATTTTTGTTTAAGATATTGTCTCAATTTGGAAATTGACACGTAACAAGTGAAACTCCATTTATCTCAACACTGCTGTCCCTACTGAAAGATTCCTGATTTCAGGATTAACTAATCACTGGTAAAGGAGAAATTTCCAAAGCAGGGTTGATACAGATTTGTCCTACACAAATCAAAAGCCTTTTCAAGGCTGTTTCATGGCACATTTAGTCAAATTCAAGGCAAATAATTAACACAAACAAGATTCAAACATTCAGTGCTATGTATTAATAAAGGGAAGTAATTCTTCCCAGATTGCAAACGCATTCATTCAGCAGAACACTAGTAATTCAAGCAATCATCATGGAAACAAGGTATGCAAAATCAGTAACGAACATTAAATTGCACGTTACTATGCAGCATTATTTCATATGTTCGCAGACATTCACAAGCACATTTGTATTTCATACAGAAATAGAATAAAAGAAATTGTACTTAGGGTGTAATTCAAGGTCTTTTCACTTATCACTTAGTTCTTAAAGGTACATATATATGTTCTCTCCCTCACAGAATTTATTCACCTGATGAAGGAGTAAGCATATACTCCGAAACACTGTGTTCCTCATACTAAAAAAGTTGACATCTATAAATTCTCTTCATAATGCTAATCGCTTCTAAATGCCTTTCAAAGATTATTCAAGCCATGTTGTTTATTTTCAAGTAAAATGATGATTTAACGCCTTTTCAAGACAAACTTTAAAATTCCAGGCCTTTTCAAGCGTGCAATGAACCCCACATTGGCAATTCCACAGGCTTAAGCAACTCCAATCATCAAACGGTTTTCCAGCCTCGGGATCCCTGATCACGGATCTTACTGTAATCTAGCAGTGTGAGTAGCCACTATCCACGCCCCTTATTGTTTCCATTGGAATGTTACCTCTGTTGTATTTCAAGGAAAACACAAACATGTGCGCCAGACAGGTAACAACATACCTATATAAGATTTGCTGTTTGTGTTACAGTACCTGTAGGAGATGTGCCTACATTGTGTTACCTGTATATGTTTTGAGCATGCTGTGGGTTGTGTTACCTGTATGAGATCGGATGTGTTGTTTGAGGTGACTGGATTTCTTGAAGCAGCGCCGACAGTAATGACACTTGTAAGGTCTGTCCACAGACCCGGACTCCCCCAAGTATTGGTTAAACACATTGTTGTTTCGAGGCGGCTGCTGAATTAAACCTGTAAGGTAAGAAACAACAGATACAGTTGGATATAGATGCATGAAGGAGCACAGGCAGAATTCAAGAATACTGTATCAAGAGACAAAATTAATCATACTTTAGAGTACTTGGATTCACTGGACATTTTCCTCTACCTACATGATACCACAACAGCAATGTAGACGTGTATCAAGTCAGTAATAACTGTAAACTGTGAGTGAGTGAGTATGGTGTTCTGCCACTTTTAGCAATATTCCAGCAATATCACACAGGGGACACTAGAAATGGGCTTCACACATTGTACCCATGTGGGGAATCGACCTGGGTCTTCTGCGTGATAGGCGAACGCTTTAACCACTAGGCTACCCCACTGACCCCTGTAAACTGTGAACGCCAGATTCTCCCACATATTATTGATAGAACATGAAGGCAGGTTATTCTGTATTAAAAAGACATTAGATGTATACATTGATTTGAAGAGAAAAGTAAACAAACATTTTGAACAGTTATATTAGTTTCAATACAATAATCTTGTGATAAGGTTCTGGAAGTAAGTGAGTGAGTGAGTGAGTGAGTGGGTGAGTGGGTGGGTGGGTGGGTGGGTGAGTGAGTGAGTGAGTGAGTGAGTGAGTGAGTGAGTGAGTGAGTGGGGGAGGGAAGGAGGGAGGGAGTGGGAGGGAGGTAGTGGGAGGGAGTGAGTGAGTCGGTGGGCGTAGGGTTATTCTTAAACCAGGCATAAGTTGCTGGAAGTAGGATCAAGAGTCACCATGATCACAAAAGAGTCCTGTTAGTTTTATTGCTATAATCAGTGTGCATTATCTACAGCTTCTGTGATTCTCAAAGTTTCTTTTAATCATTCCTGGCAATACACCCACCTGTGTCTGTTATGAGTATTGGTTCTTGTAGAGGTATTTCAGGTAAAGATACATCCTGTCGCGCTCGTCGTAACGACCTTGATCGTGGACGTCGGTCAGGATTATCACGAAAGTGCGAATGGATGTGGGATTTCCGATGAGCTGAGGTCCGGAATTTCTTGTCACAATGAGGGCAGTCAAAAGGCTTAGCCCCTGGAAGTAACAAATATTCAATAACTCTCATGTCCACGTCACTTGGGAGATAAAACATGGTGTTTCCTGATTTAAGAGTGTTTAGGTTAATTTTATTCTTTGCTCCAAAATTTCAGGATAAATTTTTGTTGATCTGATTATTGACATGGGACTCTCTTTCAACTTGCACTATAATACTGTGAGACATACATGGGGTCAGTCTTGAATCCTGTCCTGATACATTGTATGATGCCATATGTATCCATAACATTTGAATTCCCTGGTTTGCAGAATACAGAGACAATTCAACCAAGTATAAGATTAAGGGCCCTAAGGACTAAGGTAAATAGGGTAACAAATACTTATTTTGTTCAAATTTCTAATTTACGCAAATTCTGAGGTATTTTAACATTTCATTCAGTATAGGGAGCACTAACCGGTATATTGGTCAATTGAGGTTCACTCTTTCCAAGATATATATCATAATATCATTTATTAATGCTTGGTATATCGGTAGATTCAAACAGCTATTTTTATCTAGTGTTTAATGTTAGACACTTGCCAAATACCTGGAGTCCTTATAATGATAACATATAGCAAAACCCTTTAAAAGGGCAAATTTCTACTAGTCCTTATGATACCTTAACTATAGGGCAGCTTGGCAAGGACTACAAGACTAGTGCCAATTTCTAACGCTGCATTACGTTGTACCAGCATCTTATTTTGTTCCATTCATAAACTTCAATTCATATACAGGTGTTTGAAATTACTTCCGAATTTAATATTTAGCATCAAACACTATATAATGATACATATTGAAAAATGGCCGTGAGCATCGTAACATATTGTGATACACTTCAAACCTCCAATACCCACCCCATATTCAGTGAAATAATGTAACACTAAGCATTAAACCCCTTACATTTTGTGGGTCCAATTATCATGATACACAAGTTACCTCTACAAAGCCTATCAATTATTTATATCCTACTCAAAAGAAGTTCAGGACCACCCGATTCTCTTCATATTACTTTAGTAAATCTGTCAAGAGCCATGTCTAATTCCATGTTTTGCTGAAACAGAACATTATTCACAAGGTTCATATACGTCAAAAGTCTTCCTGGCTTTCAATCCCTTTCTAAAGCAATTCCATTGAGGCACACAGTCTCATTTGTTTGGGAAATCCCAATGAACTCAACGTAAACAAGAAACTTAAACTGTAAAGAGATAATGCATATTTCATCCACATTATTTACATACCCGTGTGTAGGCGTACATGGACTTTGAGGCTCCCTTGGGTTGAAAAGAGTTTGTTGCACACGTTACACACATAATCTTTGATCCCTGAGTGTGTTTTGATGTGTGCTGTTAGAGTGCTCTTAACAGCAAATGCCCGGAAACACTGTGTACACTTGTAGGGCTTCTCATGGGTGTGGATACGAATATGGCGGACAAGATCGCTGGGCTTCTTGAATTCCTTGGAACAGTATGTGCACTGGTGCCATCGTACACCATTTACCTGGAGACATACATATATGGTATGAACTCTCACAAAGACGTAAAGCAACAGGAATACTAGTATGGCACAACAGTGCAGGTTTCTGCCCTGTTGGGTATAAGGGTGCATATATTTCAGTTTGTTGCTGGTTCTTTTTGAGAGTTGCAATTTTGATACATAAGTTTTCCACAAAATAGTTTTTATTGTTAAATGTTTTGTGAGGACTATGTTTTTCATTTTCACTGACGAGGACTTTGACATCATTCTCATCAACATCAAAGTTGTTTTCAGGGATGCAACAACACCTCAGGGATATTAAACATAATCATAGGGTGAACAGAGATTATTGCACTTATATAGCGAAGTACATGCATTATAGGGCGAGATACCATGCGACTGTAAACATGAATACCCCACTCAGACACAGTAAACTGACTACGAGCCCTCCAGTCCTTGTTTTAGCCCCTGAATGCGGAGTGCCATGCAGGGTAACAAAAAGTACCATCTTTAACGTCTTGTGGTATGATGCGGCCGGGGATACCAGACCTTCCACTCTCTGGACAGATGTTCAACCACTAAACCACTGAGGCGGTCAAACCCAATCATGTTACACAATACACTTCATTCTGTATCAATATATATTGTTTCATTATTTGTTCAAATCATCTCCATATAAGACTGGTATCATATGTAATCAAATATTCTCATTCTCATCCAATATTGTGGTTCTCTAAATTATTTTTTATGAACATAAGTAAATAATAATGAATTCCGGACACAAATGATGATTCAGAGTCACCCGATACACTCAAATTCTTGTATGATGTTTATTGTTATATACTTTATCTTCCAACATACATGCACTTTTTCAGGTAAAGTTGTGAAATCTGACATATAAAAGAATGCGTGAGAGAATTGGGTATAATACCACTTTTAACAGTATTCCATTTATATCACGGCGTGTCAGCTTGATGTGGGAGGAAAGCCCGAAGTGATGCAGGTCTCAGACGTTTACCACTTCGGTGAAACCCACGAGCACGGGTATTGTGCTGACAAACCTAGAAACATAATTGGGGCGAACCAGGATTCGAACCCACAATCATAGGTTTCTGGCGTGCCCAAGGGACGTAACTCTGCACAGCGAATTGTGGCACCTTAGACGACTGGGCCACCCGTGCCCCACATATAAGAGAAAAATCAAAGATGTCTTATCTTTAGGAAACCACTTTTTGTGTCGAATGTTATTGTTTCTTACAAGTGGGAGTTCAAACTTAACATCACAACAGCAATATCATATAGCAGCATTTTAAAAAGAATCAGTACACTTACTTTGCGGATGACATGTTTCTTGATAGTCCCTGTAGATGAGTCATGAACGGTGATGGTGGAAATTGCGGGGTTGATGATGGAAGACGGCATGGAGGTGACCACTGAAGTAGGCTGACCATTGGTCAGGCCACTGTTCTCCAGGGCCTGTTGGAGGATGTCAGACGCACCTCCTGCAGCTAGTGCAGCCTGTGACACAAATACAATAGGCTTCTACTAGATATACCTCACTCAAAAAATAACACTGCATGAATTTTGCGCAGCCATGGGATTTGAATGGTTGGTAGCCTTATTGCACAAAGTAATTTTGGCCAATCTCTTTAAAATCAGATCTTAGTTCTCGCTACTGCTACACATAGACCTGATGACATCCTATTATGGGTCAGGTCAGAACAACTTTTCATCCGACCAATCTGAACGTCACATACCAGATCAAGAAAGATCAGTTTTCAAATTATGCACCTTCAAAAAGGTTAACACAAGGTACTCCAAGAGACAGTTATGGGCTTGACGTCTGATTCAGTCAAAATCGTCTCTCGCTTCAATGGGTTAAAAATTTGATACAATTTCGGCCATCTATTAGTCATACGAGAATGTTGTTTTGTTCAGTTATCAAACTTTGAATCAAGAACTTTGTCAAATTATTTTTCAAAGCGTAGTCTGGAATGGAAGTTAGCCAGTTTGAAACTAGTACCATACAGCCCAGAGTCTAACCAACCGATTTATTAGGGAGCCTCTTACAACCAACACAGGTTACTGGGGACCCATTCTAACCCAGAAAGCCCACGGGAGGACCTGGTCAAGGATCCAGTTATATCAGTCAGGTGCATGTCCACACTTCTCACCTGGTCCTGGTCAAGCACCTGCTTCTGTCGGATGTCCTGGTCCTGGACTTGCTCATCATCGGTGCCGTCCATGACGGCGGCCTGGTCTGACAGCTCCAAGAGTTGTTGTATAACAGTTTCATTGAGACTCTTGGCTTCTTCTGCACCAACTCGTCTCACTTCTACCTGAGTTGGCAAATCCTAAACAGAAGAGGGTTTGTGTAATGTATGTATATCATAACTTGGAAATTCAGGTTTAGCTCAATCATTCCAATTACTAGACATTTGGTACAGACAGATCTGTTTTTGTTTCATCTTAGAATCCTGTAAAAGCAATTTGCAATCGGAATCTTGAGTACCCCCAATAATGTACCCCCAATAATGTCCTGGACAACAGAGGAAACATCTCACCCAAATGCACCTCCGCTCCACACAGGCGCACGAAGCACATGACCAAACCGGTAACTCGTCACTCTCTCTTTTTCTCCTATCTAACAATCCAAAAACACATCAGTGGATCGGATTTCCAGAAACATCCTTCCATAATTGAGTGAGTGAGTTGGGTTTAACGCGGCTTTGAACAGTATTCCAGTTATATCACGGCGTGTCAGCTTAATGTTTACCACTTCGGTGAAACCCACGAGCCTGGGTATGGTGCTGACAAACCTAGAAACACAATCGGGGCGAACTGGAATTCGAACCCACAATCATAGGTTTCTTGCGTGCCCCAGGGATGCAACTCTGCACAGCGAATCGCGACCCCTTAGACAACTGGGCCATCCGTGCCCCCCCCTTCCATAACTGCAGCCAAATGGATGTCAGTGGTGGGATAGTAAACAACCAATCAGGTTGTCCGGGAAGTTGATTTTAGGCAATGAAATCCCATCGCAAGCACAGGAAAGCTTTCTAGTGCAGAGTACATTCGAAGTGGAATCTGTTTACTTCTAATTCATGAATCTATCTCACTCGAACAGCTGTCATGAGAGCGAAAAGAAAGTCAGTTTTAAACATGATGCGTTCAAACTCCTTCTCGGGAAGTGGCTCATAATCAGACAAAGTTAGATAAGTAGCTAAGGTAGAACCCTAAGCTTACGTGGCAACTGGAGATGGTAGGTATTCAGCAATTTGTTATGGAGAAGCAGTAGCAGGTTTAGAAATATCATGTGTTCAACAGTAGGCCTCAAAAGCCTTCCACTTTCGGTCAGACAGGGACTTGGTTGAAGATCTATGAGCCTGGAAAATGATCTTGGCTACCTTTCTGGAGTAACCCTTGCAACAAGGGATTTCTGTGAATGAGCCAGATGCACAGATTGAGGCTTGCCGGCGACGAGTGGAGCAACGGGGAGTGAGGTTGAAGAAGGTCGTCCCTTAGTGGTAGATGATGAAATCTTCTGTCTGCAAGTTGGATGAGTGTGGCCAATGGGCAGTGTGAGGTGACTGGTGGATGTTATCTCCTGCAGGACCCATGGTAGAACACCGGTCGGGGAACGGCATAAGCGTGTAGGCCCTCACACGAGATTGCTCATGTGTCATGGTCCCAAGCCTGAGGTTGGGGGATATGAGATATGAACCGGGAAAGCTGAGTATTGAAGCGGGCTGCAAAAAGATCGACGTTGGGACACGGAAATAACAAGCAAATACCTTGAAAGATCCTTGGATGTTGGCACCATACCGTGGGAGACGGTTTGTCGGGTCAGGACAGGTAGGCGGCTAAGATGTTGGGGATATGTTTCGCCCTAAACTTGAATATTGTGAGTCGATGAATTGAAAAAAGTCAAGTGCCAGAGACACTAGTAACATCAAGTTGGAGGAGCCCATCTTGTTTACGTACCAGACAACGGATAGGTTGTCTGACTGGATCATCAGACTGGGGGCACAAATTAGTGTTGCCCAATGTGACACTGCTTTGAACTCTAAGTTATTTCTTTGAGAGACAACCGCCCTGTCACTTGTAGTTCCTGACAAAGAGCTCCCCATCCCTTGGAAGAGTAGATGTAGTGTCAGGATAAACAGCCACATGGAGACTCATTTGCAGACGTTCGACGGTACAAGCAGCCATTGGAGATGTGGCCGTGGGTGATTCGTCATGGAGCTTAGAACCTGACAATCGTCATTCTGAAGGTAGGGCTTGAGAAAACACGGAATTGGTCGCTGGAATTGTCTCTCCTGTTGAAAGTCTGTGCAGACGTCAGGAGACCACGAAGTTGTTGCCCTAGACACGGAATGAGTAACTGAGTGCCAATGGAACAAGGTGTTGAATCGATCGCAACAATCCTGGGGCAGGAACTTCTTGCCTTGCAAGTGTCGAACGGGGCTCCGATAAACTGAAGACGTTGATTGGGAATCCTTTATGATTTTTTTGCGTTGACCAGCCAGCCGAGTGGATGAAAAAGAAATTGAGATGCAGAAGAATAACCAGATCTTCACTGGCCTGAATGCCGTCGTCGATGTTGCATTCGAAGATGATGCCTGGAATGTGTAGGAATTGGACGATGGGCTTGGTGAGGTGCGTAAATAGCCACGGGGCCAAAGAAATTCCAAATGGGAGAACCTTCCATTAGCAATGGCGGACGAGGAAAATAAACCTGACGAAGGGAAAATTAAACAGGAAAACAGCATTATCAGTACCCCGCCATGGAGCACATTACACTTTTGTTTGTTCATATAGTAGTGAATATAACTTATAAACAAGAGTCCAATAAAGGCTAAAGAAGAGACTGGCACTTGGGCCACTTTATGTCATCAGAAAAAATAATTAAATGTGAAATTAATATACACAAAAATTGTCAATGCAAGAGAATAACCACTCTATATTATCCACCTGATTATCCGAAAGATTCTACTTGGTGTAAAGGGCAAAAGAGCTGTGAAAATAATATGAATGGACCACTGAAAATCAGTTGTGACACCAGGTATTCGCAAAAAGGGTAAAGGAAATGTAACAACCAAACAACAATGTCATACCAACTCATCAACGACAATTTTGACACTGGTAGGTGGGTCAACCTGTAAATTAACCAAAGATCATGTAACTATAACAAACGACCTGAAAGAAGAACACACTTAAGTACCTTTCATAAATTTTTTTATTTTACATTATTTTTGTAATGATTTCAAAGTGTAAGCACTTGCTTTTTGTGCTACATGGTAGCTACGCCACTAATAAGCATGAAAACTATCATTCATGTAACTTCAGTAGTTCTGAGAAAACTTGTCCCAATTTCAGGCAGTATGCATTAACTGAAAAGCACAGAGCAAGGGCCATAACTCTGTAGAAACTCATTTGAGATCATGACCAGTAACATCAGTGTGTATAATCTCTTTCCTCTGACTTACACAGGTTTTGATAAAATTTGTCCCCGTTGAGAAGCAGCCGGTCAGACGGATGAACTCCATCCCATAATAATCATTAGATATGATGTTTAGAATAGTAAAGAATACAATCCAAGCAAACATCTTTATTGAAAAAAAGGTTAATTTTGAACGGATGGCTTGGATTATGAAGCCCAGAAAAAAATTCCCAACTAGACAGATGGCGAGTTACGAATTGCCGGCCTTGATCACGTGGCTCTGGTACACCTCTGCGGATCAGGGGCAATTGGGTGAGATGTTTTCTCTGTTCTCTGGGAAAACAGGACAAGAAGTTTCCACTACCTTTCGAAAATGAGAGGCGATAAGCAATTCGTATGAGTCAGGATAAGTTAAATTGAAAGTTCAACCCTGAATCCAAAATATATATCTACAATTTATGAATTAAATGAATCACATGTGTTCATGAAAAACAAAGAAGGTAAAATTAATTGGCAAAATATTACAGTTACATAACTGAACAAAGTATTCATTGAAGTTTGCTATTTCAAGGAACATGAATGACATTACACATTAAAGCATAACTTCTGTGAACATATGAGGCTTGTGACTTACTGATGAATACTGATCACTGGAATCAACAATATTGATACAATGGATTCTCAACATATATAGATAAGGAAAATTATTGCCAGCATCTCACAAACAACACACAGCAATGGCAGTGAAATAGGTTCTTGTAGGACATACCGATGTGTCGGAGTGCGCCCTGCTAATGTGGGCGTTTAGGCTCCCCAGTTTCTTGAAGACACAGCTGCACTCTTCACACTCAAAAGTTGGTCGACTTCCATCTTTGGCAATATTGTGCACACGCTGAAATAAGGAAAAAACTCTTGATTTGATCTTGCTACAATTCAACTGTTCAATAATTTTACATTAACTTGTATATCTATATACTTATCCTATCTCACACTATGCATTTTCTTCCTTCTTCTTTCGATCATTATGAGGAAACGTGCTTGAACAAAGTTTCCAGCTTCTGAAAACATTTTACCTGAACACATCCCAGCATCACCATGGTCACCACCTAAACATACTGTAATCCTGTGCATGTGATGTTACATGACTTGATCACATGACTATCTCTGCCACATCATTCTCTTCCTTAGAGCTGACAGGCAAGAGGAGCTGTGATGCGGGATGGTTGGGAGGGCAAATAGCGTGTGAGATAGGATAAGTTTAAAAACTATATTTTAAACTTATCCTATCTCACACTGTGCATTTATCCCAAGGTTTGACAGGGGGCGCAGGTGTCCAAGACTGTATTAGACCACAACTGTGGGACATACATGAGAAAGCTGGTGCTGAACAGTGACGCAAACATTAAGCTATATAACTGCATAATAAGATATCATGAGTGGGTAAAAACACTATAACAGGCAATGTGACCACTTTATGCTTGTAGGAGGTAACATCATGAAATCAGGTATAATGTGTTATATGTTTTCATTTAGGACATTGTTTCATGAACGAACATTAACTGGGAAGCAAAGACTGTGCCGGAGTTCCAAAATAAGCCTCCACGATGGCGGACAGGGTGCAGCTGCTGTGCAAGGCCATAGTAGAGGCGATGGCTCTAGTCTCATGTGGATTGGATATGTCACAGGAGGAGGCAATCAAGCAAAGGCGTAGGCATGAAGGATGGTCGAGTGGAGCTACAGTTGAGACTGTGGTATGGGAAACTTTAGTGGTGGTCACCGTGGAAAGTGGGATGAAGAGTCTCCCTTCTAACCGGTGCCGCTGCATGGAGGTAGATGCAGAGAGCTCTAACCGGGGCATAAGGAGATGACTTCATGGTTATCTGGGTTCAGGATGGATGTCAGTGAAGGAATGGTAAACAACCGGCCTGGCTGAACCCGATGCCGATTCTTTGCAATGAAGTTGCAGCAAAGTAGATTTCTGACCAGTTGGACACAGCCAGAATGACCGCCAAGAATTGTAGGTTGTTGATATGAATTCTCATTTGGACCAGCGTCCTGCCATCTGTAGATCATGGAGGTGAGCCGCAATCCCACAGGCGAGGCGTCGATGAATAGGTGTTGGGTCGCAAACATTCGACTTCACTAGCCTCCACTGGAGATGCTGAAGTGATACCGGGAGGTTGATCGGGACCGGGCAGTTGTCATCCTGCAGGAAGGGCTTCAGGAAGCACTGGAATTGTTGGAACTGGAGTTGACCCCTTTCTGTGAGTGCTTGTGCCGACATCAGAAGACCTAGAAGCTGTTTGCCATTGGTGTAGAGGTAGCAACTGTCTGAGTGCCAATGGCACTAAACGTTGTATCTTCAACCACCTGTCTGGGTGAACAAACATCATGCCCTGTTTGGTTTTGAATAGAGCCCCGATGAACGGGAGACATTGAGTGGGAGTCATATTGGACTTCACGACATTCACAAGCCAGCCTAGCTAATGAAAAAGCTACTGTGTGAACTGTAGGTGTTGCACGAGGGTGTCTGGATCTGTGTGGGTTTGAATACAGTCGTCGATATATGCCTCGAGGATGATCTGTTGAACATGGAGGAACTTCATGATCGGAACTTTGATAATACAGGTAAAAAGCCAAGGGGCCTGAAGAAAAGCCGCTTCCATTGATAGTGGAGTGAACGGCCACAAAGAGACTCAGGCGCAAACATTCGAATTCACAAGCCACCACTGCAGATACGTGCAGATACGCATCATGCAGGAACAGACTGACCATGTGGTCCCTGGCGGGATAATTGTTTCAGTGTAGTGCGATGGATGTCAAGTGAAAACGTGGCAGGTACAGCACTTTGAACGTCTTCATGTTGAAGATCATATGGAGCTTCACACTGTCTTTCTTCGGGTCAAGAAAAATCGGTGAATAAAATTCTGGGGTACATGGGCTGGGACCAAGACAATCTATGGCTGGTTTTGGAAATCAACGTACAGGGAGCTGGCTGGCCGGATACTCCCTCTGACGGGGCGTGGAATCCCTGATAATGGCAATCGAAGGGGTCGGCCAGTATGGTCCAGTTTTCTGCCTACAGGAGTCTCTTCAATAGGCATGGCTGGGGACGGAAGGTCCCAGTTGTCCTGTAGCCGATGAGAGGAAGCCATGTTGTCCTTGGCGGCTGCAACCTCTGTTGCAAAAAGAACTGACACAATGATCTCATGGAGGTCATGCTGTGATGGGTTAAATTGAGGTCAATGGTGCTATTTATTTTGTTGTTCCTCGAGGTGCTTGCTCATCTCGGGTGATGTCATGGGCAACATATTGAATTCTGTTGGCGAACAGGTACGGGGTAGACCATGGCATTTGGTTCCCACTGGCAGTACTGGAGGAGACAGTACAGTGAAGAGGGGTGATGGTGCCAACATGATGAGAAATGAGATTCATGATGCCCAAAAATTTCTCGTGGATCAATGGGACGTACCTCTTATAAGGGTGTCTTGTCGTGAGGTTGACCTGTAGAACCTCAATCCTGTGAACGACAAGCCCGTGAATGTCAATCCATGGATCTGGAATGTTGATCCCTCATAGGCCATCCTTGGATGCTCGATCCCAAGAATGTTGTTCCTTCAAACAGCGATTCTTTGAATGACGATCCTTATCCAAGGTTTTTTCTTCCCACAGTTGGAGAGGGCGAATGTGCGGGATCGATCCCGGTGAAGAGAGTAATAGGGCAGGGGTAGTCAGGTGATCAAGTTGTGTAAGGTAACACACAGAGGAATACAGTGCACAACCCATTTGTTTGGGTGGTGACCATGGTGATGCTGGGATGTGTTCAGGTGAAATGATTTTAGAATCTGGAAACTTTGTTCAAGTACGTTTCCACATTAGGATCGAGAGAAGAAGGAAGCAATGCATGGTGTGAGATAGGATAAGTATAAAAATTATGGTTATTGAAAGTTTTCCTTGGCTTGTGACAAAACTAAGATGAGTGAATGGATGGTGCGAACAGTCAGCAATGTTCCTGCTATAGCACGTTGGCCTTTAAATAAAGAAATCTGGGACAGACAAATCAGTGGTGGTTGATATCACTATTACCAAACATGTTCCACCTACTTGACAACAGCCCGCATGTTTCCATACCTGTATATGTGCTCGCAGATTTCCTTTCTGAGCAAATGTCATGGGGCAGAATTCACACATGTGAGGTTTTTCTCCAGTGTGTTTGCTGGTGTGGATCTGTAGTGCTCCTTTCTGGTTGAAAGCCTTATTGCAGATCTTACATTTGAATGGACGCTCACCTAAAACAGTCCCATAGGAAAACATAAGTGCACACAGACTAAGCATTCTCCAACATCTCAATAACCTACCTGTGTATTCTCTCATGTGTCAGTAACCTACCTGTGAGTATTCTCCCATGTCTCAGTAACCTACCTGTGTTTATTCTCTCATGTCTCAGTAACCTACCTGTGTGTTTTCTCTCATGTCTTAGTAACCTACCTGTGTTTATTCTCTCATGTCTTAGTAACCTACCTGTGTTTATTCTCTCATGTCTCAGTAACCTACCTGTGTGTTTTCTCTCATGTCTTAGTAACCTACCTGTGTGTATTCTATCATGTCTCAGTAAACTACCTGTGTGTTTCTCTCATGTCTCAGTAACCTACCTGTGTGTTTTCTCTCATGTCTTAGTAACCTACCTGTGTGTATTCTATCATGTCTCAGTAACCTACCTGTGTGTTTCTCTCATGTCTCAGTAACCTACCTGTGTGTTTTCTCTCATGTCTTAGTAACCTACCTGTGTGTATTCTATCATGTCTCAGTAACCTACCTGTGTGTTTCTCTCATGTCTCAGTAACCTATATGTGTGTGTGTTTGTTTTGTTTGTTGTTTAACACCGCACTCAGCAATATTTCAGCTATATGAAGGCGGTCTGTAAATAATTGATTCTGGACCAGACAATCTAGTGATTGACAACATGAGCATCGATCCACACAATTGGGATCGATGACATGCATCAACCAAGTCAGTGAGTCTGACCACCCGATCCCATTAGTCGCCTCTTAAGACAAGCATAGTCACCTTTTACAGCAAGCATGGGATTCTACCCTGGATCTTCGCAGGCTTACCTGTGTGTATTCTATCATGTCTCAGTAGCCTACCTGTGTGTATTCTCTCATGTCTCAGCAGTTGACTGGGCTTCTGAAATGTCTTGGTGCAGTGTTTGCATTTATGATGGAAGGAAGAGCGATCGATGTTCCTCTTGTATGTTCGATGAGACAGAGACGCCCTGCAAACAATACCATCAAATAAACAACAAGTTAAATCACTGAGCTGGACAACCAATTTCATTTTTGTCACCTGAGTGAGTGAGTGAGTGAGTATGGTTTTACGCCTCTTTTAGCAATATTCCAGCAATATCACGGCGGGGGACACCAGAAATGGGCTTCACTCATAGTACCCATGTCAGGAATCAAACCCGGGTCTTCGGCGTGACAAGCCAACGCTTTAACCACTAGGCTACCCGACCGCCCTTGTCACCTGAAAAGCATTGGTTAATAGGGCTGATTCTAACACAGTATCCCAGTGGTGGATAAGATGTCGTGTAAACATGGTAAACAGCGGAATCAACTATAGAATTCATCGGATCATACTTGATTTTGTAATGCTGTTTCATGTGTTCCCTGAGCAGGGAGAGTTTGGAGAAGTCTTGGTTACACTGCCGACATGCATGCCGTCTTGCTCCCTCGTGTTCCTCTCGGTGTTCCTGCATGTGTCGATCCAGCTGACTCTGAAATCACATGGTGAGACAACACTACAGTACAACTACATGCTTTCCTACATCAGTGTATATTTACTGTATAAACAAATACCCCAACAATTGGTCTTCCCAGAGTTGAGTGGGTCAAGTTTAATGGGTATTTTAAATACACAGTATCATGTTGATGCAAGAGAAAGTCCACAATGTTGCAGGTTGTAGATGCAGCAGACAAACCATGGAGTATGATATGGGTGAATATGGGATACATTTCAACAATCATCTTCCCGAGGCAAGTGAGTTAACTGACTATGAAAGTCCAGTTTCCACCCTTGCCGAACTAGGCTGGTATTATGGAGTTACATTTTGGCTGGACTAACGAGTCTATGCATAGTCCAATCAAAATCGCGCACCGAAATCGAAATCCGGTTCGTAGAGTGTCATGCAGATTTCGGTCGACTGCAGGATTTGCAAAGCGTGTGCACCGCTAGCTCGTTGTCAACAGATATTTACTAAATCTTTTCATGTTTTTAATCAAGGTGCTCACGTGATTTGATGCACTTCGCGGTGTAAGACTCGTTTTATCACAATATAGATCTTGATTATCGATCAGATCGTCTTGACTGGGCGCCACCGTTTTGTTTGAAACAAATGCAAGTGATACGAGAGGTTGAATCTGATTGGTCAATAGGAGAGGCATAGCAAGGACATAACTCATAATAGCCACTGGTGGTGCTATGATCGAGCCCAGGATTTTCATTATTTGGAAAATATGGGATAACATGTTAAATAAATCTTTAGAGTAATAACCATATTTGAAGAAAACTCCATGGTAAGCATGCCAAGATTATTTTGTGGAACAGCACTGTGCATGAAAAGAATTGGCTTTATGGCTGCTTTGAACAATATTTTGTTGACATAAGAATGTACATGACATATATCCTGAAACCCAGGAGCTCTGATATGGGCATGACAAGCCAAGGGTCGCCATACAAGGCCAACTGAGGATTAAAACCTGTGATCAGCAGATCCTGGCAAAGGGACACAACTCTGCACAACTAATTGTAGAGCCTTTTAGCATATGTGTCCACTGTGGCCCGACAGATTGAAAACTGACAGTGGAAGGTGAATAAAGGTGGACAGTTTGTTCCAAACAGAAGCATGCATCACATAGAGGCAATGTTAATTTGGTTGTTTGTTGTTTAATGCTGCACTCAGGAATATTCTCATTCTGTAAATAATTAAGTCAGGACCAGACCATCCAGCGATTGACATGAGCCTTGATCTACACAATTAGGATACAATGACATGCATCAACCAAGTAAGCGAGCCTGACCATCTGATCCCGGTGGTCGCCTTTTACAACAATCATGGATTGTTGGAGACTAACTCTTACATAGATCTTCACATGGGGAACCAATGGTAGCCCTGCAATTTACCTGTACACTAAACTCGTCTCCACACTCCGGGCACATCAAGTTCTCCTCCTTCTCGTGCATCATAATGTGAGCTTTGAGACTGGCAACCCGCGAGAACTTCTTGTTGCACTCGGGACATGTGGGGACACTGTTCTCTGCCACGTGCGTGGCCTGGTGGAGGATGAGGTTGTCCTCCATGTTGAAGGACACAGGACACTGTAGACATCGAAATGGTTTGTCCTCATCGTGGGTTTTCATGTGACGCTGCAGCTGGTTCCATTTCTTGAAGATCTTGTCACACAGTTCACAGTTGAACGGGCCCTGTAATAGTTAAATTGGTTGCAGAAAACATCTGTATGTTTGGTCTGTGAATGTCACACTTACACTCTTTTTACAACATTCAAATTACTTTTCCATGACTTTTCCAGGGAATTATGCTAGTTTTTCCAGGATACTATATCAATAAAAATCACAACAAAAACTTGTAAACAAGTGAGGGAGTGAGTATGGTTTTATGTCGCTTTTAGCAATATTTCAGCAATATCATCCCAGGGGACACCAGAAAATGGGCTTGACACATTGTACCCATGTGGGGATTTGAACCAGGGTCTTCGGCGTGACAAGCCACCGTTTTAACCACTAGGCTACCCGACCGCCCCAGTGTAAACAAGGAAAAACGGACAATGGTTGAGTTTTATTTCTTTTTCTGTTGCTGATATATCACCAGAAACAAATTACACATACAAAAATATTATTTTTCTGACTTCATAACAATTTTCTATTTTCCAAAACTAGTCCAGGCTTGGAAAACTGAAACTCAAACTAAATGACTTTTCTGGGATTTCATGACCGGTAAGAAACCATGAAATGTTGCTGAATTAATACTGTGTATCAAAATATTTAAGATCATATTACCAATTGAAGGAATAATTATTTTTCGAGCTTAAACACAAATCCACAAGGTAAAAATATTTTGACATAAAAAAATAACTTTTCGAAATAATCTGCTTACCTTGCCAACAGGTGGTTTGATATCTGATTGCACATCAGCTGCACCGTTTGTTATCTGTGCAATGATTGGCTGTTCCAACACCACCTGTTCGAGGACACCCTGCTGAATGGCTTGGTAGACCTCGATGGTTTGGTGTGGCTCCAAGACCTGGTTGGCATCGAGCACTGTGTGCTCGATGAAAGTCATGGTGGCGCCCTCTGGGCCGCCATCTGTCATAACATGTACCGGCGTCGCATGGGTGATATACTGGGCATAATCTGCAACTGAAATTATAAAGGTTGAAAAAAACATACATGGTAAAACTGTTCATTTCTAAAAAGATTAAAACATTACCTAAAGCCTCAGAATTTATTCCTGAATTATGTTTTCATTGGGTGGTCTACTGTTGTGTAACTGTATATCATAATGCTAGTTTGTCATGTGGTGTTATGAGTGAGGTCAAATAGGGTTTGACGTCGCTTTAAAAATGATTGCACTTATTAGCAATGTGCATATATGTGTGTGTGTCTGCTTGTACAAGTCAGGACGAATGCCTGTTTTATGGTGCTAGCCCACTGAGATACCATGTCACTGTTTGTCATATCTTTCCACAGAAGAACAAACATTGCAAGAGAGCTTTTAGTATGGGCAGAGCAGAAAGTTTAAACAAAATAGAAAGAACTATTCGGCTTGGGTTGTTTCCTTGAAACGACAAATTAATGAGTTACTTGTCTGGCTACCGGTATATCACTGATTAACGGTAAAGTTCACTTATTACTGAAATGAAAACTCTTTTTCATAATTTTTTGGGAAAGAAATTGTGAGCTGCAAACAAAGAAATAAATTCAGAATTAAAAGGATAAATGCATTAGAGAGGCAGTGTAACAGATAAAGGGATGAAGTAACAATGTTATGAACTGCATTTAGGGGGAGCTTGGATCTCTTGGAAATCCATGTGCACCAACCATATCACTAAAACTAACAGAGGTATAAGCTGATTGACTTAACATACAGAGTTATCTCCCTTGTACAATTCATATCACAGATGCAAATATTTTTTAGGTCACATCTTGCATTCTGACAATATCGGGTGTGATTTACCAAGAATAAAGTGTTGCAGGTTGGGAACATTATTCTGAAAGTCCATCGATCGATTGCTTATAATTATCCACTGATTCGAGATCTACTGGTTGGTTGGTTGGTTTGTTGTTTAACGCCGCACTCAGCAATATTCCAACTATATAATGGTGGTCTGTAAATAATCGAGTCTCGGCCAGACAATCCAGTGATTAATGTCATGCGCATTGATCCACGCCATTGGTTTCGATGACATGCATCAACCAAGTCAGCGAGTCTGACCACCTGATCCCGTAAGTCGCTAGAGATCTACCGAGTCATTTTTGGTCACCTAGGCAGGGTTAGAAACTAACAGTTTTTGTCCACTAGTCCTTAAAATAATAACATATAGCAAAACCCTTAAAATGGGCCAATTTCTACTAGTCCTTAGGACACCTTTACTATTGGGCAGTTTGATAAGGACTACAGGACTAGTGCCAATTTCTAACGCTGCTAAGTCACTTTCATGTTGCTGATCCTTAATCCAAGTGATGGGGTTCAAATAATTCATAAAAACAACTAAAGTTGACACAAAAGTCGAACCTCCATAACTGAATGTCACAAATGTCAATTCAGAATTGCATCATTGCCTCATAGAAGTACTGTATGCCTGCTATTATGGTCTGTATTGAGGATTTGTTTAGTCACTATATGGCTGAAATAATGCTGATGCAACGTTAAATATTAACTCACTCACTAATAAGGATTTTCAACTTTTTACAAGACAAGTATCTTAAAGTTTGCAACTGTCATTCTCTTACGGTAATGGTAAATGGCATTTGTTTGCCAGTGTGTCCAGTACCTGTATGGAGGGAAGTCACTCAGTGTCAATATTTCCGTATAAAGGTACCATAAGTTTGACGTTTGGTGCTGCATTCAGCAATATTCCAGCTATACGATGGCAGGCTGTACATAATCAAGTATGGGCCAGACAATCCTGTGGTTGATATTGGAAGCAATGACCCACACCATCAGGGTACACTCACACACTAGCAACCAAGTCACCGAGTCTGACCACAGGATCCATTAAGTCGCCGCCTTGTGTGAGTGAGTGAGTGAGTGAGTGAGTGAGTGAGTTGGGTTTAACGCCGCTTTTAACAGTATTCCAGTTATATCACGGTGTGTCAGCTTCATGTGGGAGGAAAGCCCGAAGTGACACAGGTATCAGACGATTACCACTTCGGTGAAACCCACGAGCACGGGTATGGTGCTGACAAACCTAGAAACATAATCGGAGCGAACCGGGATTCGAACCCACGATCATAGGTTTCTGGCATGTCCAAGGGACGCAACTCTGCACAGCGAATCGCGGCGCTTTAGACGACTGGGCAACCCGTGCCCCCATGCCTTGTAAGACATGAATAGGCTGAATTTTGTATTATATACTTATACAAATACATGCATTAACATTCTATTATCAATTGATAATTTATTTGAATCTAATTTAATTGTCACACTTCAAATATATCTAGTAAGAATACTGATTTATTCATATTGTATACCCTTACAGGGGTAGAAACTAACATTTAGTTCACTAGTCCTTATAATAACATATAGCAAAACCCTTAAAAATGGTAAATTTCTACTAGTCCTTATGATACCTTAACTATTGGGCAGTGATTGAATTGACATGCAACATAGAGTTAATATTGTAATGTGGTTTGAGCATAGCCCTCTTTGATGTGCTTTATAATTCACTGATTTTACTAGAGAAAAACAGATTAGCACATTTTCAAGATTTTATCAATTTTTTACTTAGAAACTTAAGCATCATGCTTACATAAGGTATTTTTTTTTCTGGTAGTTTTATTTCCATCAATTGTAGTATTTATACAAAGTACTGAATAAAACATACCATAGGGAATTTAAAATATGTGTTAAAACAGATAAAGAAACATATGCAAAAAGACCCAGTGACTTGTAACAGTAAAATCACGTGAGAGCATTGTTTGACGACAGTCAGCGGTCTGTTCCACAAAGCAATCGTAGCACGTCAGTCATAAGTCTATGTTCAAGTATGGGAGTTACAATCATTAACACTACGCTACAATAGCTTTGAGGAATAGACCCCAGAACTGTGTCCGGTCAGTCAGGTCAGTCTGGAAATGATACTAAAAATGTTTGATGATGTGTTTTCAGTCAAATTTCAAAAACCAATTGGAAACTCTTTGATAAAACAATATTTTGTGGGCCTTTATCTTACAAAAATGTGTTGTGTCTTTTGTATAAACAGCTTCGCTAATATTAGCTAATGAATAAAGAGTGTGATAATATTCAACTTCAGATGACTTCAGAAAAGTCAAGATTTCATAACATTTTAGAGAAATGTGTGTATTTGCCTCTTTAGTGCATTTTCTCAGTCAGTCTGTTTACTTCTGTCTTAATGAATCTTTTTAATCATAACAGTTGGCTATAATCGAGACTGTGTACAATAACTGGCTACTATGATGGCACAAGTTTTATCAGTGATCACAAAACATTACGTTTCTTTGCAAAGGTGGCAACATTCTGCAAATCCAAGAATTCATTTCAATTCACTCAGTTGTTCAGAAGAGTACTGTATGTGAAATAATACAAAACAAAAATAGGAACAGGCTAAATGTGTTTCAAGTTTACAATGTTTGTGTGCTTTTGAAATTGTTTTATATGCTTGAAATAATGGTCCAAAGTGGTAAAAGCCAATCTTTCTGTCTCATCCACAGATGGTTAACACAATAACAAATAAATAAACACAAGGGATGTAAGGGGCATTTGGGTCTAGATATAGATCTAGCCAACATTGTACCATGTTTACCCTGACGAAGATTTTACTCCCCACCATGACTTCAACTCATGAACAATATATCTACCACTTCAAGACACACATTTCAGTAATGGCTCTGAGACAAATATGTGGGACAACCAATGCAACATGATATCTACGAAACATAGGAGTATTATGTGGGGAACTTTATTAACTTTTTCAATATGTCTTGTGTTCCGTGGGCAAAGCCGGCGCTTGAAGCAAGCACTTGAACGATCATACTCGATGTCCTCGGTTTGGGAGGAAAGAATATGGCCTCGGCAATGATATTAAAGTTTACACCATATTCTTGACTTTAAGGTAGATAACATTCACCACAGATCATTTCGCTAACATCCGCGGCGGTACAATGAGCCGAGGAACTAACTTAGGGAGTAGGAATACCTTCCCTCATGTATTGAAGCGTATTACTGCGCCAAGTATTTCGGGGCGAGTAAGAAGGTTGTGGAACTACACCCAAATTAACACGTTCTAACTAGGTCATCAACCATAGTTTGGATTACACTGTTCTTTACTTTAAGAAATGAAGTCTCATTGCGTCTGTTTAATCTTACCAGATACATTTTCAACCTGTATATGAGTTACAGGATGAGCTTCTATGGACATATTTTCGCCAAATTATAACCAAAATGGCGGTGATCAGTACGCTGACATCATAACGAGGCTCCATGGAGCTAGTGACCCGGATGTTGACAGATTGGTAATATTTGTCGGATCTTTTTCATTCAGTGCACGGTTCCTAAGCTTTGAGCTAATCCCATAGCATTGAAAGATTTGTAAAGACTAATTAACAGGAGGAGTAATTACAGCGGATACACAGAAGGCGTTTCTTTATGGAGGATTTTCTCCATCTCGAAGGACAAGAGGGTCATTATTACACGATAGGAACGACAAAATAGACACCCTACATGTTATATTCCGTTGTAATCACCACTTGGACTATTTTCACACCGGTGAACAGACAGCACAATAAGTGTGTGGGCGTCTTGTCAGGCAAATCTTTCTCGTGGGAAGCAAAATATAGTAAACACTTGTTTTGTATTGAACAAGTTGATTCTGTCGTAATGTTGAAGGTTCACTTGAAATCACATAGGCTAGATAAGCTTTTATGATATGTAATAGTTTATGCAGTAGATATGGTATAACGTTTTGTACACCGAAAAACAAGCAGGTGCTCATTTTTGGGTAATGTTCCATTTTACAGTGTCATTCGTTTCCGGCCTAATCTTCGAAGCTGTTGACAGTTATTACACAGCTGTCCTTTTTTTAAATATAATGCTTCATATCCTGAGGTCATATTTCTAATCAAATGACGAATTGTCTCCCCTGGAACGACCCGCCACGGGATTGAAGCAAAGGACGATGTAACTAATAATAATAACTCCCAGACTTTGGACTTAGCCGCTCTCTTGATTTTGTCGCCTGGGCGTACGTGGGGGAGAATATTTTATTTGTCATATTTATCTTATTTAAATGACACAAGGCACTGAAACATCACACAAACACAAAGAGATATATATCCATAAGGTTAAATGTGTGATAGAGGTGATAGGGAATATGTAGGTTCTAGGTAGCCTATTTGTTGCGATATGATTTTAAGGGAGAATTCCTTATTTTAGTGAACCGAGAAGTGAATTATTTATATTTGATATTCGATTGTTATAATTTAGCGCATAGATCTGGAATACCTCTCTGTGTTGCATTAAACAACAAATAAACGGTGCAAACAAACGAACTTGTTAGAAAGCAAATATTAGGACGCCAAGGAGCAGAAACCTCGCTATATATCATATTAACGCTAACCCATATTGTACTGTCGGAAAGTTGTTTGAGATGTTCAGCAATTTTCGCAACTACCCAACTGGTAAATATTCGTAAAACAGCATTCACTCATTGAATATCTGGACATTAAGTGCTATCGAACAACGTTCGACCCGTGAAGATCCGGGCTATAATAAGTCTGCAGCAACCCATGCTTGTTGTAAGAGGCGACTAACGGGATCGGGTGGTCAGGCTCGCCGACTTGGTTGAATGCATGTCATCGTATCCAAATTGCGTGGATCGATGCTCATGATGTCAATCACTGGATTGTCTGAATTATGCACAGACCGCCATCGTATGGCTGTAATAGTGCTGGTTGCGGCGTTAAACAACATACACTCTCTAACACCATTCACTCGCTGTTACTCTGTATCTGGGCAAAAAGCGCTGTCAAACAACATTCATCCACTTCTCTGGACAGAAATCAGTAGCTTTGATGCCGTTCCACGATATGCCCATAATGAGAATGTACTGAGAACGAATACATTTCTGCTCTGTTGGTGCATGTCTGCAACAACTCCAATTATATTCGTGTCGGTAGGGTTCTGTGATGCTTCTGATATCAATATGGTGTGACGTAAAATCACCCTGCTGGCTTGTCGTACAATTGAAGGGAGATAACCGGGACAAGCCATTGACGCTCGCTGACAAGATTATAAAGTACATTTCGATCAGTAATTATGAACTATTTTTCTTTTATTAAAAAGTCACATGTTTCGATAGGAAAGTCTAGTTTCCTTATATGAAAACAGCAGAAGAGGAAAAGTTCCTTTTAAAAAAAACACACACACACACACAAATAGTTTAACGACATGTTTTCATTGACTAAGTGTTAGTCTAGCACGAAGGAGACACGCCAGGGGTGGGTAAAGACTATCATTGACGGACCACACGGACGTTAGTGAATCGGAAACGGAGTGCTCGGACAGGAACGTTGCCAAAATGTTCAGAATTATAGGGAAGGAATTGAATTTTTTTAAACCGAAACGTTGATAAATTCACCCAAAGAAAGAACAGAAGGTGATACGAGAAGAAAATAATAAACTTAAATATAAAGTAGACTATCCAGACTATGTAGAAGCTCAGAGTAGGAGAAATACTCAGCTATTTCATGGCTTGGACGGGGCAAATGGAGAAACGTAGGACTTTAACCTAGATGAACTAGGATTGCAGGACTTCGACAGGTTTCCTATACAGAAAGAGTCCACCATTTGAGATGTAAAACTACATTATGGCCTCTCATTGTAAAGGTCAATTCTTTTAAAGACAAGGCATGTGTTCTATAGATGCTGCAAGGCTAAAATTGAATGTGAAAAGACTTCATTTGACGAACGACTTTACAGTGAGAGGAATATCAGGAAAGAACTCATCCGGGTTTTTTGTGTGTAGATGTACGATCAGCTGGAAAGAGCGCATTTATCATACGACAAACTTGTTATTTCCGACAAAGCTAATGTTTTAGCGGAGGTGGGAGACAGGCGTTTCAACTGTTTCGTGATATCCTCTAACAGGCTAGAAGGTGGAGCAGGTCGCCCGGCCAATTTCATCACGTGACGGGCAGTGCGACTGTTTGGGACTCGGCAGTGACCAATATGACTATACTATAACCTATATGTGTAACTTTAAAAGAAAGTTAGACTCAAATTTAAGCAAATCTCTGCCCCACTTTTAGTTGTTTAACGTTATTGTTCCTGCAAAAAAACAATATTGCCATCATTCCCGCTCTTTTTGGAACAATTTGATATATTATCTTCCTTGCTGAAACAATGCCACAAGAAATTGAAAAAAGTAAAATACCTATTTAAAGATTACACATGTCACGCTTCTCCAGCAAAACGGATGAAACGCTTTTGTCGTTTCAGGGAGAGTCGCTCCGTATGTGACTGCCTCCGTGGTCTAGTGGTAGAGCGTCCGCCCGGAGAGCGGAAGGTCCGGGGTTCGATCCCCGGCCGCGTCATACCAATAGACGTTAAAAGATGGTACTTGTTGTTACCCTGTCTGGCGCTCGGCATTAAGGGGTTAAAGCAAGGACTGGTCGGCTCGGAGTCAGTATACTGTGTCTGAGTGGGGTATTCATATTAAACTGCGGCATGGTATCTCAGTGTGCTAGCACTATAAATCGGCATCAGTCCGGCCTAGTACAAGCAGCCACACACACACACACACGTGCATCCACGTCGCTATATAAGTGCAATAATCTTGGACGCGACGTTAAACCCAATTTCACCCCACAGCTCTGTATGTGCGCACAACCTATGCCCAGCACACAATTTGGTTGATGCATGTCATCGTATCCCATACAATTGCTTGGATCGATGCTCATGAATTCAGTCACTGGATTGTCTAGTTGAGACACGATTATTTGCAGACTGCCGTCACATATCTGGAATATTGCAGAGTGCGGCGTTAAACAACGAACAAACAAACCTATGCTAAATGAAACGAAATTTTACTCTTGGCCACGAGGCCTTCAATACCGAATATGCTCTCTCTCTCCTACAGTTTCGCCGAACAGTTTATTCCTGGATTCGGGTTACGGAGAAACCTGTTTTAATATGGGCAATTACGACAAGTTGAGAGTGGGGTCAACACAACAGTCACGTGGTATATATGACATTCATTAAATGAGGTTAACTGAAGCAAGGATTTATACCAGGAAGAGAAACTGACCTTTATATGGTCACGATATAAAAGTTAGTTTTGTACCAGGTGGAGGGCCCGTGAAGATCCGGGGTAGAATAGATCTTCAGCAACCCACGCTTGCCATAAAAAGCGACTATGCTTGTCGTAAGAGGCGACTAACGGGATCGGGTGTTCAGACTCTCTGACTTGGTTGATGCATGTCATCGTATCCGAATTGCATGGATCGATGCTCATGATGTCAATCACTGGATTGTCTGTTCCAGACTCCATTATTTACAGATCGCCGTCATATAGCTGGGTCATAACTCGTCATATTGATGAGTGCAAACAAACAAACAGCGTACACCACACTGTAATACACAACACTGTAATGAACTTCACAGTCATACACCACACTGTAATACACCACACTGTAATGAACTTCACAGTAATACACCACAGTGTTATGCACTTCACAGTAATACACCACACTGTAATACACCACACTGTAATACACCATACTGTAATACACCACGCTGTAATGCACAACGCTGTAATGCACAACACTGTAATGCACCACACTGTAATGCACCACACTGTAATGCACCACACTGTAATGCACAACACTGTAATACACCACACTGTAATACACCACACTGTAATGCACCACACTGTAATGCACCACACTGTAATGCACAACACTGTAATACACAACACTGTAATACACAACGCTGTAATGCACCACATTGTAATACACCACACTGTTATACACCACACTGTTATACACCATACTGTAATGCACAACGCTGTAATATACAACGCCGTAATGCACCACATTGTAATACACAACACTGTAATGCACAACACTGTAATACACAACACCGTAATACACCACACTGTAATGCGCCACACTGTAATGCACCACACTGTAATACACCACACTGTAATACACAACACTGTAATACACAACACTGTAATGCACCACACTGTAATGCACCACACTGTTATACACCATACTGTAATGCACAACGCTGTAATGCACCACATTGTAATACACAACACTGTAATGCACCACATTATAATACACAACACTGTAATACACAACACTGTAATGCACAACACTGTAATACACAACACTGTAATACACCACACTGTAATGCACCACACTGTAATACACCACACTGTAATGCACCACACTGTAATGCACAACACTGTAATACACCACACTGTAATACACCACACTGTTATACACCACACTGTAATGCACCACACTGTAATACACCACACTGTAATGCACCACACTGTAATACACCATACTGTAATACACCACACTCTAATGCTCCACACTGTAATGCACCACACTGTAATGCACCACACTGTAATACACCACACTGTAATACACAACACTGTAATGCACCACACTGTAATACACAACACTGTAATGCACCACACTGTAATGCACCACACTGTAATACACCACACTGTAATGCACCACACTGTAATACACAACACTGTAATGCACCACACTGAAATGCACCACACTGTAATGCACCACACTGTAATGCACAACACTGTAATACACCACACTGTAATACACAACACTGTAATGCACAACACTGAAATGCACACAACACTGAAGTTCCAGATCTCTTTTGCCTGCCATCCTTTCGGTGAGTGTTGTTATATACAGATTTCTTTCCAGGATCCATGACTAGTACCGATGTGTTTTGCTTTGCATGAAGCAAAATACAGATTGCACATTTCGTTATCCTGGTAAAGCGCCAAGGCATAAGTAAAGGGGAAATGCCAAGAGGTTGTAATTTTTATGTCCAGATAAGGAAGATTCATGAAACGGAAACATTGCAATGTGGATATTATAGCTTCCCCTAGACTGATTGATTGCGGTAATTCATAGAGACGGTTTTCCTGAGGAAATGGGAAGGCTTTCTACTATTTTGCCATATAGTTATCTTGGACATCTAACTAGAAGGCAGCACTACAGCCTCTCACAACCACAGAAGAAAATGGAAAACCCTCATGTTTTATGCCTGTTGGTTACTGACGACATGGAAGAGATCATAGATGGTATATTTACATACTGTGGTTGGGAACTGAAACGTGCTGATCATGCTCGAGATCAAAACTGCTCATCATCTAATAACACACAAATGACATCAGAAGATATCAGAGACAACAGTGAAGAGAGTGATATCTGTGAAGGGGAGGATTCACATGCCCCTATCCCAGCTGACCAAGGAGGAGATACACGAATACCCCCCCCCTGTTTATGCAATCCATGCATTACACATGAACAGTACAGACAGTCGGGGAATGCCTTTCCTAGCGTTAAAAACCATCACTTCTGGAAGGGTACGGTATAAGAAATATTGGACATTACTCCGAAACAGGAATGTGTGGCGTGATCCACGATATATTGCCAGAAAATGTTCAGCTCCGAGACAAGACAGAAGGATCACTGAGGAACTGATATTCAGAAAACTAGACATGGATGCCTAAGACCGACAGGGAGAAGTATGTTGGATATCAGTGGGAGAATGTGTAGAACATTATTCTTTGGAAAGATTGGCTGATTCATAACTAGTACAGCATTTGTTCTATTTTGTTCATTTATATAAACAATGTATGATTGTTTTAATACTGCAATCTCGTCTCACATTAATATTCAGTATACATACAATATAAATAATAACAATGAAGAAATGGAAAGAATGAAGCAGAAGTTGAATAGATTCAACATGCCAATACTAGAATTCTAATGCAGATTTTCTATTGTAGTAGAAAAACATACACAAAAATATTTTGTATTTATTGACAAGAAAAACCTACTTAACATTTTTTTTCAACAATTGTTAGGAACATTTACTGTAGAATTTTATCATTTCTTTACTACACTAAATTAAAATTAAAATTAAAAATGTCAGACGGTGACATACGGCACACGCCTACCAGCCACATGACCAAAGCAGAGAACTCTATCAGGCTTATATTTCAGTCTCCTCCGCTTGGTGAGCATGGGCTAGGCTAATATTTTACTCCCACAGAATAAAATGAAAATGATGCTGATACCAATATAATATATCTCAGAATCTAACTCTTGCTTTGTTACCATTCTTGGTCAAGGATGAACAGGATAAACCTTAATGAACCACAATTCCAAATATATGTTTTGTGTTTTCAAAACTTGATTATCAAATGAGGCACAAAGTATGAGTGAGTGAGTGAGTGAGTTTGGTTTAACGCCGCTTTTAACAATATTCCAGTTATATCGCGGCGTGTCAGCTTAATGTGGGAGGAAAGCCCGAAGTGATGCAGGTCTCAGACGTTTACCACTTCGGTGAAACCCACGAGCACGGGTATGGTGCTGACAAACCTACAAACATAATTGGGGCGAACCGGGATTCGAACCCACAATCATAGGTTTCTGGCGTGTCCAAGGGACGCAACTCTGCACAGCGAATCGCGGCGCCTTAGACGACTGGGCCACCCGTGCCCCCTATGAGTGAGTGAGTGAGTGAGTTGCGTTTAACACCGCTTATAACAGTATTCCAGTTATATCGCGGCGTGTCAGCTAAATATGGGAGGAAAGCCCGAAGTGATGCAGGTCTTAGACGTTTACCTCTTCGGTGAAACCCACGAGCACGGGGATGGTGCTGACAAACCAAGAAACATAATCGGGGCGAACCGGGATTCGAACCCACAATCATAGGTTTCTGGCGTGCCCAAAGGACTGGGCCACCCGTGCCCCCCACAAAGTATAGCACTTCGTGTAGTCCATTCCAACTACAGTTTAGGGGTGTAGGGGTGCAATGTAGTACAATGAAGATTAACAAATCATGTGGATGTTTACTTGCAGTTAACGAACGGCTAGGGGAAGAAAATTAATGGATGTTCATTTAATGTCATAATGAGCTTGTCCGCTATTTTTAACCTATTGTTTGTGTAATACAGAGACCATTGTCTCTGTGGGCACTAGTAACGTGTGCAACGAAGGAAACACTTGACACTTTCCCTACTTCCCGTCTGGTGATAACGCAAACTGACAATGCACAGACGAGGAAGCCAGCTTGTAGATGTAGGTCAGACTTATACAGGATACTGATGATTTCAACAGGGACTTATCCCAGTCACAAGGGATTCTAGTATGCATTACTCTGGAAAATACACAATCAGAGGTTTCAAACCACAAAATAACTACTTCTGATGGAATCAGGTAATTTGATGACCGCATCACCGTGGAAGATATTATTTATAGCATGTTACTTCTTGTAGTTAACGTTTTACATTTCTGTCTCAATCATTGTCGCAGGACGTCATGCAATAATTATGTTTCACATGCTCATTACATAGTCAGAATCGTAGAATCGATGCTGCTTTATGCAGATATTTCTTTTGGATATAGAAAGGGTTTTGTCGCTTTATTACAATATATTGAAGGCAGAGAAATGTCCTAAAAGAATGTGGAGAGCCTGACAGGAAGAGATATATATGATGAGGTCTTTTTGTCCCGCTGGAAATGTCCAATGGAATACTTTGTACTACCCTTTTTAAAACATTATCAGACATGTTCAAATAAAGGATAAGTCCTTGTTCTTTATTACTGTTGCTAGGTGGTTTTTTTGGTTTCACTTCTTCTTGCTTGTTTAAGTACACAAGAATGCCTAAACTGTACGAAAAAGGACGATTTTACTACATTCATGAGAAATTATAACTGTGCATGTCTGTGACCCAAGATGACGTGTTTACCATGTATGTGCTGTCTTTATCTACGTTTCCTAAGAAAACCAGCCTGGTTTTAAGAACATATTTTATTTTGCTCCCTGAAAACCCCTTTTCGACACACTTATCCTTACATAGTGTTGTTTGAAGTCTAAAAGATGCACGTTTTGAAATAAACAAAGTCTTCATCTCTCATATATCACATCTGAAAACATTCATAACAATTTCATGCATGTTTTGCTCGTTTCTGTGAATGTGACGTTAAAAATCGTTTGACACAACCCATGCGTTTTATTTGATGTCCTTTGTCAATTTGTCTTGGTGGAATGGGGGCGGTCGGGTAGCCTAGTGGTTAAAGCGTTAGCTCGTCACGCCGAAGACCCGGGTTCGATTCCCGACGTGGGTACAATGTGTGAAGCCCATTTCTGGTGTCCCCCGCCGTGATATTGCTGGAATATTGCTAAAAGCGGCGTAAAACCAAACTCACTCACTCACTTGGTGGAATGGAGATACACAAACTGTGCTTTGTGACAAAGTAGGACAATGTTTCGTGTACATTTGACAAATCAATTGACCATAATTACAACATTTAAAACCTGATATTGCGCGTTCGGTTCCAAATTCAATTCATCACCGTCATCTCTTCAGGTAACATAGCTTCATTTTGAGGATGAGGATGCAAATTGACTTAATTGTTTACAACCCCGTGAAGATCCGGGTTAGAATTAGTTTTCAGCAACCCATGCTTGTGGTAAGATGCGTCTGACGGGATCGGGTGGCCAGGCTCGCTGACTTGTCATCGTATCCCAATTGCGTAGACCGAGGTTCTTGATGTCAATCACTGGATTGTCTGGTCCAGATTATTAACAGTCAACCGTCATGTGGCTGGAATATTGCTGAAGGATGCATTAAACAATAAACTACTGCTACTACTACTACTACTACTACTACTACTACTACTACTACTACCCCGTGAAGATCCAAGAGGGATGCGTTCAACAACAAAGAAACTACTACTACTACTACTACTACTACTACTACTACTACTACTACTACTACTACTACCACTACTACCACCACTACTACTACTACTACTACTACTACTGAAGATCCAAGAGGGCTGCGTTCAACAACAAAGAAACTACCACTACTACTACTACTACTACTTCTACCACTACTACGACTACTACCACTACTACTGCTACTACTACTACTACTACTACTACTACTACTACTACTACTACTACTACTACTACTACCTTCAAATACATTACATTTTAAAAAATAATAGTTTGCTTTGTTTAATCAGCATGGCTGGAATATTGCTGAAGGATGCATTAAACAATAAACTACTACTACTACTACTACTACTACTACTACTACTACTACCCCGTGAAGATCCAAGAGGGATGCGTTCAACAACAAAGAAACTACCACCACTACTACTACTACTACTACTACTACCACTACTACCACCACTACTACTACTACTACTACTACTACTACTACTACTACTACTGAAGATCCAAGAGGGCTGCGTTCAACAACAAAGAAACTACCACTACTACTACTACTACTACTACTACTACCACTACTACCACTACTACCACTACTACCACCACCACTACTACTACTACTACTACTACCTTCAAATACATTACATTTTTTAAAATAATAGTTTTAATAGCTTTTTTTAATCAGCATACAAACGGTTATCATTTCTTCCGTTGATTTCCTGAGGTGACAAAGCAGTGATTGATATTATGAGCAACGCCAGGCTGTCCACTTGCTCCTTTCCGTAACCTGCAAGAAGTCCCAAACGATGGACTGAAACTAATTAAATGAAGCATGCTCAGCTAACGCTGTTATTGTAATGGTGACCCATATTGCTCTCTATATTCTGGCTGTGTATATCCTGGCTCTTACACTGTTCACACAACACTGCAAAGTCGCTTTATTTCCAGGACAAGATGGAAACAAATTCTAACCCGCCCCAAGATGGTGCCATGTCCAGGAACTTTACAGGCGCTTCAACTGATGTACAGTCCAACGTGAACAATGGGAGACCACACGCAGCTTCGCCAACAGGTGATCACGCCTGACAATGAATAATGATATTAATCATTAATTAAACATGATATTAATCTCAGAGTATGGTGTGCTTGAAGTTGGTGATCTTCTCCTACAGCTACTCTTTGGGTCCCAAGATGGGGACCGTGAAGTGAACTAAATAGTGGATGAACCCCTATGCACTTTTTATATCTTAAGCAAATATTGGATAAAGGATATCTACCACATTTTGCAGCCTGAAAACGTTGATCTGTTGGCAACAATTCACTCTTGTGGATTCGTATCCTAGATTCGCCCTGGTGATGAGCCATTATTTGTAGCATTAATCTGCCAATGGGAAACATCTGTACGACCATGTCACTTTTCTCCCCCCTTATCCCGACACGTCCTGACATCATGTCGGTTTGCACCGCCTTTAGCAGTATTCCAGCAATTCACAGTGGGAACACAAGAAGTTCAACTTTTAAGCTTTAGGTATATGGGTGATTTGATATCGTTAGATAATGGTCAAATAGCAAATTCCCTCCACTGATTTAACCACCTGAGTTAGAAACAAAGACCAGTGAAACCGCCTCGTCTGTTTCATATGTGTGAACAAAAGCTCTCCACGAGATTGTACAACAAGAGGAATGACCTCAAGTTTCCAATGGTCAATTTTCCGTCTTTGTGGAGCAATATTCTATTCAGCTCCAGCCTTTGGTGTCTACATTTCACAACTTTTGAGGTACAATCCAGCACGCTCTTTCTCCAAAGATTTCAAAGAGCGTCATACAACTCTTGCTCAATCGTTGTTTGATCAATGTTCCAAGATCAAAGGCCCCAGTAAAGCTTATGGTAGACAAGACCTTTCCAAATTTGGCACATCTGTGTAAAAATGATGTCTGATGCAATTCCTATTTTGACTTTGTCATGTGTTCGCTTTTATTTAGATGTATAATTGACTTGCTTTTGCATATGTTTCGGGACGGGTGCCACTGATAGGACAGATTAACTCACCTTTTACCGAGCACCTGGCATCATCACTATTTGATAGTGATTCATAAACACATGCTAATGGTATCCGAGTGGTATCGGAATGGTACAAATGATTCTGTTGTAGGAGAGATTTCATATGGTTATGGAAAGATGTTTTTTTCACTTTTGTTTAACACATTGTAATCATGTGGGAATCGAACCTGGGCCTCATGCGTGGGGAGATAACGCTTGAACTACTAGGCGGCCACAACGCCCCCGATATAAAGGATAAATCTCAAACTCACTAGTGTACTGTTCTGTTGCAGCTCTTCTAACTGCATGCTATGACTTCTCCAACTCCCGTAACGTCTCACTCTCCTTTGGGGACGTTGAGTGTAAAGGTTGTGTCTCGCAAGGTAAGACATTTTTTTTACGAAGTATATATTATCAATCATAGAATGATTAAGAAACGAAATAGATATTGTGATCATTTTTATTTCTTAAGTAGCATGCAGTTTATATAACTAAGTTGGATTTGAAGCTTTCATCTGGCGTAAAGTTTAAAAAATATTGATTCACAGCTAAACAAAATGTTATAGTTGACCCCGATCTCCTAAAGGAACAACCACTTACTTTTAGGAAAGGGGTTGGGAGAGATGGTGGCTGGTCTGTTGTTTTCTTTTAAAATATTAATCATATATGCCCGAGTACTAAAATCTCGTTGGACAGACAGTATGTCCTGAAAAAAGGATGTGTTGTGAAAACAATTTCAGCACCTCCTGTCACACAAAACGTTGAAGAACACACGCTGCCAAAGTCCACCACCACCACCTACCATTCCGTCCCAACCCCACCCCATCCCCATATTCACATTAAATGGTTGGCCCCTAAACTGAAAATGATAGACTATCTATTCAGTACAATTTTACATTATGTTCATATTTGTAGAGAATTTCCGGAGTCGCGTGGAGGCACTGAAAGAAGTATTTGTAGGCGTCCATACACTCGGGGCAACAACACATCTCCTTGAGAAGCATGGCCACGTGAACATCTGTGGAGCCCCTGGAGACGGGAAAACTAGTATTGCAATGATGGTGTGTGATGAATATCGTAATCAAAACTATGAAACATTATTTGTAGAAAACATTGAACAATTTGAAGTTGATACCATCACGAAACGACGATCTAACATGTTAATCGTATTTGATGACATATTCGGCTGTGTCACTTTTCCATTAAACCTGGAGAAAATAAATAGTGTGTTGAGGGTCCTCGCTGATAGTTTGACTGGACCTGACGGGAAACAAGGCGAGAAGGGGAAGAAGAAGATGAAGAAGAAAGACCTAGAGGGAGGCACAGAATCAATGGATACGAGTTCAAGCCAGTCATTCAAACTTCGTTTCATTTTCACATCGAGAACATACAACTGGAATGAGGGGTGTTCAAGGTTGCATCAATACAAGATAAACCTCTTCAAAACAGAGACTGTTATGGACATGACTAAAGATTTTCTGACCCCTGATGAAAAGAGATTACTCTTATCATCATTTAAGGCGAAAGCTCAAATGTGTGATATGTCAGATGAGGATATCAAAACCATCATTCATTCACAATACAGTCAATTTGGGTTTCCTCTTATGTGCAGTCTGTTCTTCCCAAATCCTGTATTTCAGATGCACAATGTGGACTTCTTCCAGAACCCTGTGACCTACTTGAGAGGTGACCTTGACGCCATCATCCGAGAAAGCAGCACCAGATCAGCAGCCCTCATTCTCCTCATCCTGTGTGAGGGGAAGCTCAATCTTGTCACATTTCAGACAGGAACAGGAGGAAATAGTACAGACCTATTCCTAGTTGTGAAAGACATAGTACCCTCCTGTACTCGAACAAACATTTGTAAAGAGATTGTTAACTTTGCTGGAACATACTGTACAGTGGAGGACCACATCGCTTCCTTCTCTCACCCGTCGGTATATGATGCTGCAGCCTGTGCTCTAAGTCACCTGAATCTTGTGCTGTTGCTGCAGTACTGCTCTCTGAAGTTCTTGCATCAGCGGGTCAGACTGAAGAAGAAGCTTCAGACATCAACTACCGATGATGTCACAAATATGATTTACATCAGCCCTGCTCTACACCAACTTGTTGTGGACAGACTTTCAGAAGGCATCCGACAGAGATGTTTCCAATGGACAGTCACACATCCTGTACTCAGTGACGACACCATTGCCTCCTTACTTGTGACCCACTTAGGTGATGAGTTGACAACGATAGCACAACAGAGAGACAAAACGTTTGGGAAATGCTTCTTGTACTGGACATCATTGACGCATAATGAGGTACTGTTTGATAGCACTTTGAAAATCATGTGCAGAAAGAAAACGATCTTCTTAAATCGAATAAAGAATTTATTTAGAAAAGATTCAATAAAACGTGAACAAGATCTGTATTTCTGTGCAATAACGTGCATAGAATGTGGAGAACACAACAAACTACAACACATTACGTCTTTGCTAAAGAGAGAAGGGAAATTTGATGTCAACTTTAAATCAACCAAAAACAAAACACTTCTCTTAAATGCTGCTGAGACAGGACATCTCGATGTTTTTAAATTCCTGCTTCAAGAACAGGCTGATATTTCACTGACTGATTGTGATGGCATGACTTGTCTTCATTACGCCTGTAAATCAGGGAGCAAGGATATAACTGAAGTTATCCTGGGGGTATCTCCTGATATGATCAATGCCACTGACTGGATGGGAAATACAGCAGCAGGACTAAGTGCAGAGTCTGGTCATGATGGAATCTTGAAGCTGCTGGCGTCAAGAGGCGCAGACATGACTCTCAGTAATAGAAGTGGTTGGTGCAGTCTCCTCCTGGCTAGTCGTCATGGCCATGTGTCTGCCGTGAAATATTTGTTATCTCTGGACGTGTATGATATCAACAGAAGAGGTGGATCTTATAATCAATCACCAGTTATGGTTGCAGCTAAACATGGACAATTTGATGTATATAATCTTTATGTATCTAAGGGAGTTGATCTCTCGCTCATTGATAATGACAAAGCAGACTGTCTGATGTTGGCATGTGAAGGAGGTAATCAAGCCATTGTGAAACACCTCCTATCACTAAAACAGTTTGACATCAACAAGAGAGGGGGTCATAGCCAAACACCAGTTATGATTGCAGCCGAAAAAGGAAATTACGATGTTTTTAAACTTCTTGTGTCAGAAGGTGCTGATCTGTCATATTTACTCAGATACAACCTAGACTGTCTGATGCTGGCGTGCATTGGAGGTAATCTACAAATACTGAAACACCTTTTATCAATGGAAACATTTGACATCAACAGAAGAGGGGGATGGCATAGCCAAACATCCGTTATGATGGCAGCTGAAAGTGGACACTATGATGTCTATGCACTCCTTGTATCTGAAGGTGCTGATGTCTCACCCACTACTGGTGACCGGGGAGACTGTCTGATGCTGGCATGTTATGGGGGTAATGTGTCCATAGTGAAACATATCCTTTCGCTGAACACATTTAACATCAACAGAAGATCAGGGTGGAGTAATGAAACTCCACTTATGGTTGCAGTCATGGAAGGTCACTTCAGTATTTATACCCTTCTTGTGTCAGAGGGAGCTGATCTGACAGTTACAGATGACTTCAGGACAAACATGTTAATGTTAGCATGTGAGGGAGGTAACCTGTCCATTGTGAAGCATTTGCTTGCTATGAAAATCTTTGACATCAACAGCAGTGGAGGGCAAGATAACAAAAGTGCAGTAATGTTTGCAGTTGAAAGTGGACACTATGAAGTTTTTGACGTCCTTGTATCAGAGGGAGCTGAACTCTCAGGTACTCAACAATACAACAAAGACTGTTTGAAGTTGGCATGTGCTGGTGGCAGTGTAAATATAGTTAAATATCTTCTGTCCACCAAGTCATTTGACGTCAACAAAAAAGGTGGATGGAACAGCTCAACCCCAGTGATGATGGCAGCTAGGCGAGGGTACTATGATGTTTATCATCTCCTTGTGTCAGAAGGTGCTGACCTCTCCCTTGCTAACATTGACAATCAAGATATCCTCATGGCCGCATGTAAAGGTGGCAACCTATCTATCATTAAACATCTCCTTTCACTGAAAGGAGTAGATGTAAACAAACAGGGAGGACACAAACTTCAAACACCCGTCATGTTGGCTGCTGAAAATGGAAATGCTTCTGTTTTTGATCTTCTGGTGTCAGAAGGAGCTGATCTCACACTTTCTGATGTGGACAACAGAAACTGTTTGATTCTGGCATGCCTTGGAGGAAACATTTCCATTGTGAAACATCTTCTCTCGTTGAACATTTTTGATATCAACAGAAGAGGAGGGACGTACAATCAAACCCCACTTATGGTGGCAAGTGAAAAGCTACATCATCATGTTTATGATGTTCTTGTGTCGGAGGGAGCGGACCTGTCGTGTTTATCTGGGTACCTTGAGCATCACTGACTGAGTTATGGACATACAACTTGGAAACTTTTCTTGATTTCATCCTGTAAGCTATATCATAAATCTTTTTAACTGAAGCTGAGAGAGAAAAAGAACAAAAATGGCTTGGCAAATATTTATTACTGGTGAATATTTGACGGTAACGATACCCATATACATATATCTAGTCACGTTTCTGCGACATAATTTGACAATCGATTGATCATGATGAAGGTTGAATATATGTCTTTTTGTGTAGCCTTGAAATTTAGAAACATTTCAGTGATGTACACACTTCTACGAAATAGATTATATATTGTTAAACAAATCATGTTGTTGAGACTAGTGCAGCACAGCATGAGGAAATTCATTGTTACCCATTGGAATGACTGGTGCAACATATCATATGTCGACTGATTCTTATTAACAGGGCAGACATTGTGACGTCCTGATTTACAGCTATTATTGATAGACCTCTGTTCATCGTCCCAAGGCAAGAGAGTTAACTGACTTTATAAGTCCAGTTTCCACCCTTGCCGAACTAGGCTGGAATTCCTGGGCTCGATCGTAGTGCCACCAGTGGCTATAACCACTCTCCTTTGGACCAATTAGATGCTACCCCTCGTATCATTTGCATTTGCTTCAAACAAAATGGCAGTGCCCAGTCAAGACGATCTGATCCATAATCAGTATTTATATTGTGATAAAACGGGTCTTACATCTCAAAGTGCATCAAATCACGTGAGCAATTGATTAAAAACATGAAAAGATCTGGAAAATATCTGTTGACAAATCCCGCAATCGACTAAAATCTGCATGACAGTTTACGAACCGGATTTCGATTCTGTTGAGCGATTTCCATTGGTCTATGCCAAAACTCGTTAGTCCAGACAAAATGTAACTCCATAATACCAGCCTAGTTCGGCAAGGGTGGAAACTGGACTTTTATAGTCAGTTAACTCGGGAAGATGGGCGTAGTCATACACCCGATGTTTTATGATTATCGAAAGACTTTTGTTGCTTTTTTTCCTCTGGCCGCCTCCGTGGTCTAGGGGATAGAGCGTCTGCCCGGAGAGCGGAAGGTTAGTGGCTTGGCCCCGGGCGCATCATAGCAAAAGATGATAAAAAATGGTACTTGTTGTAACGCTGCCTGACGCTCGGTATCAAACAGGGACTGGTTGGCTTGGTGTCAGTATACTGTGTCTGGGTGGAATATCCGGGTTAAACTGCTGCATGATATCTCAGTTGACTAGCGCTATGATTAAAGCAGCAAAACCCTTTCCATATTCATAAAACATCTCTTTCCTCCCACATTAAGCTGACATGCCGCGATATAACTGTAATACTGTTAAAAGCAGCGTTAAACCCAACTCATGAAAGCAGTGTCGATGGTACGATTCGGACTATATCATGAGCAGGTGTTTATGAATCACCATCAAATAGTGATGACACCAGGTGTTCGCGAAAACGGCATTACTCCAGGTTAGTACAAGCGGCCACACACACGCACGCACGCACGCACGCACGCACGCACGCAAGCACGCACACACACACAAACACGTCGCTATAAAAGGTGCAATAATCTTGAACGGGACGTTAAACCCCATTTCAGGGGCGGTCGGGTAGCCTAGTGGTTAAAGCGTTCGCTCGTCACGCCGAAGACCCGGGTTCGATTCCCGACATGGGTACAATGTGTGAAGCCCATTTCTGGTGTCCCCCGTCGTGATATTGCTGGAATATTGCTAAAAGCAGCGTAAAACCATACTCACTCACTCACTTAAACCCCATTTCATCTCACCTCACCTGTATCTGGGGAGCGGTTTCAACAACAAACACACACACAAACGCAGCTTGGGTGATTTACTCTTCACACAATATGATGCTGATGTGAAGCTCTTCTCCAGTGGCGGTCTATGTACATACCTAAAGATCTCTCTGAATGGCCTAATATGTATAAATTTGAAAAAAAATATGTTTATCCGGCACTAGAAAACTGGAAAACTTGTCCAAATTCATCAATACCATCTTTAGAAATGTTGAAGCTGTTAAAATACGTGTATGAGATTATTGTCACTTTATTTTTGTCATATTTGTATTTGCATTTTACCCCTGTCATCTTGATTATTATTATATATGAATTTATATTATATATATACTCTCATGTACCAGACCGCCTCCGTGGTCTAGTGGTAGACCGTCCGCCCGGAGAGCGGAAGGTCCGGGGTTCAATCCCCAGCCGAAAATACGTTAAAAGATGGTACTTGTTGTTACCCTGTCTGGCGCTCGGCATTAAGGGGCTAAAACAAGGACTAATCGGCTCGGAGTCTCAGTGAGCTAGCACTATAAATCGGCATCAGTCAGGGCTAGTACAAGCAGCCACACACACACACACACACACACGTACATGCACGTCGGACCCGTTAAGATCCGGGGTAGAATAGGTCTTCAGCAACCCATGCTTGCCGTAAAAGGTGACTATGCTTGTCGTAAAAGGCGACTAACGGGATCGGGTGGTCAGGCTCGCTGACTTGGTTGATGCATGTCATCGTTCCCAATCGCGTGGATCGATACTCATGAAATCAATCACTGGATTGTCTGGTCCAGACTCGGTTATTTACAGATCGCCGTCATATAGCTGGAACATTGCTGAGTGTGGCGTTAAGCAACAAACCAACCACCCACCAGCATACACGTCGCTATATAAGTGCAATAATCTTGGACGCGACGTTAAACCCCATTTCACCTCACCTCTCATGTACCATCGTTGGTGATCTTTCTGAGAATAAACTGAACTGAACTGATGGTCTTGTATTTTATCAACCCACTATACAGGTATAATACAGGTACATAAGAATGAAACCCAAAGGGAGTTTTGCTTCATCTAATTTATTTGTAAACAAAAAAACAAAAAAACAAAAAAACAGGGTTTTATGTCGCATAATTTCCTTAGTTTCTTACTGAATGTCCACAGCCAATGTTTAGCATGGCATATTATGTGGGTTCGTAGACCCGTGAAGTCTTCAGCAACCCATGCTTGCCGTAAAAGGCGACTATGCTTATCGTAAGAGGCGACCAACGGGATCGTGAGTGAGTGAGTGAGTGAGTTGGGTTTAACGCCGCTTTTAACGTTATTCCAGTTATATCACGGCGTGTCAGCTTAATGTGGGAGGAAAGCCCGAAGTGATGCAGGTCTCAGACGTTTACCACTTAGATGAAACCCACGAGCACGGGTATGGTGCTGACAAACCTAGAAACATAATCGGGGCGAACCGGGATTCGAACCCACAATCATAGGTTTCTGGCGTGCCCAAGGGACGCAACTCTGCACAGCGAATCGCGGCGCATTAGACGACTGGGCCACCCGTGCTCATCTGTTGACCCTCAGGCACAACTTTGCACAGCGACAGACGACTGTGCCACCCGTGGCCCCCTAACAGGATCGGGTGGTCAGCCTCGAAGACTTGGTTAATGCATGTGCTCGTATCCCAGTTGCATGGATCGATGCTCATGTTGTCAATCACTTGATTGTCTGGTCCAGACTCGATTACTTACAGACCGCCGTCATATAGCTTGAACATTGTTGAGTGCGGCGTTTTACATTTGCTATATTAAAGTGAGTGAGTTAATGCTTTACGTCACATCGGCAATATTTCAGCCATATCGTGACGAGAAGTTATACATGAAATATACATATATTTAAACTTTATAAAAATCTGTCATCGAAGGACAGTATGATAACTAGAATATCACAGATAAGATTTAAAACTAGTTGCGGAACATTTAAAAGCGTTAAGTATTAAGGAACAACTCAATATAAAAATGGGCTAGAGATCGTCGCTATATTAAAGGAAAATCTGAATTCACTACTGAGTGAAGGGGATACAAAGTATTTGTTGTTACAGCTTATTGTTTTGCCTTTATCTTACTGTTTCAACATAAATCCGTTAGCTGTTCCAGGATTCGCAGACCCTGGGATCGAATCCCACATCCCGCAATTTTCGGTTTATCATCACTGTACCCCTGCTCGTGTGTTCGACCTGTCTCATCTTACATTTTCCTCCCACAGTAAGTGAGTGAGTATAGTTTTACGCCGCTTTTAGAAATATTCCAGCAATATCACGGCGGGGGACACCAGAAATTGGCTTCCCACATTGTGCCCATGTCGGGAATCGAACCCGGGTCTCCGTCATGACGAGCGACATGGCGCAACTCCTTCAACAGAAATTGATATTTATTATAGTCAATACTTTTTGCATCATGCGCAATTTTAACCAACGGCATGGGTTGTTTAATGGGACGAACCTGACATCAAGGTCATTGTGAAGAGGTAATCACTTCAACAGAAGAGAACGACCAGCGGCCATATGTTGTTTTTTTTTACAAAAGCCAACCGACATCGTCCATGTTAAACGCATACACTGATATGAGCAACTACTCGAGGTGACCTACTTTTGTAACAGTTAGTCAGTGGTTACTTTCATTTCACCACCAGAATGTCAACCTGACTTCAACAGCGTTTCGTCATAACACTGTCAGGTGGTTTTATCGCAATCGTTTATCACGTGTCCTATGTTAACCAATGAAAGAGGAAGACTGCAAAGAGGATCAAACCAAGGTGAAGTAGTCGGAAACCACCCTGGATATGACACAATGGTCGTGTTAGGGGAGTACAAGATCTCACAGATTTCCAGGCAGTTTCGACTGATCAAAGGTTACTATGTTGTTGTGCATGTGTTGAATGATCGAAACAGTGGGATGTAAACCACCAGCAACACCAACATTTGATGTGTCCAGATCTGAACCAAACCCCATAGATAAAGTTGATGAAAGGCGACACCCAATTCTTAAATACGACTAGAATACCGAGTACAGAAACTACAAAGTACAGAAACTACAAAGAACAGAAAAAATATGGGTTGTACTTGTACCGAGAGTGCGCTGTGTCACGGCCTACTATTAATAGTTAGGATTGTTTGCGAAATAGTAAAAAATAGCACGGTTTGGTTTACTTGAAAAATATAATATACATTTTAAGCAGTGAGTTGGGATTGTGCACACACACACACACACACACACACTGATGATATATTTATCACCGGCCCTGAGCGTCTGTCGACTATATATGAATATCTACCAGACCCGATAAAGACATACAGTGATTATTTAGCGTTATTGCAAATATCTATATTGTTACATAAGGAGAAAAAATGGTACTGGGCGCATGTCGCTCAATACACGAATACTTGCCGACCGTGGTTGCAATGCTCTGTCGTTTACCTTCAAGATGATTACTATTGCATGTAGCTTTGAAACAGTAAAACAGGAATGTTGAATATTTGAATATTTATTGGTTTACTCCCGCGCATAATCAGATACCTACATAAGCATGCACATTGTATTTATACGTTAACCTCACTGTACAGGCAGCTGTTGGGGATTTAGAGAAACCGTATTGATTGAAGAAAATGGGCCATATTACAAGTGGCTTGTCTGTGAGCCAACCCAGGCCCTCACCACCGAGCTCAACCGAAAACAGCTCATTGCCTATACCCACTGCAGTATTTAACAGTATTCCAGTTATATCACGGCGTGTCAGCTTAATGTGGGAGGAAAGTCCGAAGTGATGCAGGTCTCAGACGTTTACCACTTCGGTGAAACCCACGAGCACGGGTATGGAGCTGACAAACCTAGAAACATAATTGGGGCGAAACGGGATTCGAACCCACAATCATAGGTTTCTGGCGTACCCAAGGGACGCAACTCTGCACAGCGAATCGCGGCGCCTTAGACGACTGGGCCACCCGTGCCCCCTCAGTGAATATTGAGTTTGTTATGCTGGATAAGGTAAAATCGAGAAATCATCACTTAAACACATGTTCATGATATAGTTGCAATCGTACAATCCATTCTGCTTTTGGGAGATATTTCATGCTTGCCCTTTTCGGTAACACCTGATGCCACCATTTTTAGCAGTCCATCCATATCACTTTCACAGCTATTTTGCCCTTTACGCCACAGCTATTTTGCCCTTTACGCCAAGTGAGATCTCTTTCGGGGGATAATCAAGACTGGCTATTCTCTCGCATTGACGTTTTATATTACAGATATGTAAGGGCTTTTGACGCTTTTATCTTATGTTAATTGCGACCATGTCAGAGTGAAACTACAAACATTTCATGTTGGGCAGCCAGACTTTGGATAACAGCTGGCTCGGACAGAAAGTGTTCATTCCAATTCTGTTTCTCTCTTTTTTTTTCAGTCTGTGCAATCTACCAATGACAACGATACACTGATTTAACCCGTTCTGAAAGAAATCTAACAAGTTCATCCTCTCTTTTGACCTATGATTTGTCATATGTTTCGACAAGCATCCATACTGATGAAAAGTTATGATCCAAATTGGTAGGAGGCTTCTCTCGATAGTTTGGTCCATAATGAACTAAGCTTCACGAAATACCCGTTCATTTGCTGGAATAAATAGAGTGAGAGAGTTGGGTTTAACGCCGCTTTAAACAGTATTCCAGTTATATCGCGGCGTGTCAGCTTAATGTGGGAGGAAAGTCCGAAGTGATGCAGGTCTCAGACGTTTACCACTTCGGTGAAACCCACGAGCACGGGAATGGTGCTGACAAACCTAGCTGGAATGAATAAATCTAGGGAACAACGTTCCTTCGTGTTGTGTTGTGTGGCGTGGTTGGTTTTGGATGATGAACAATCGAAACAAAAGCAGCTGCCATGACAATTAAAAACAAATAGCAAAAACGCAAAATAATAATTACAAACAGAAACCTACAATATGACCCTAGATAAAAAGTAAAACATATTTGCCCGTGGCCATATGCAAATTAACAGCTTCATAAAGTAAGTTGTCAGTGTGTCGAAATCGCGTTACCACTATATTCAAGGGGAATACGAAAAGTAATTGCAGAAACTAACTATGCTAATGATGCATTTTATTTCAAAATAGTGTGCATACCAAAGGTATAATATAAGTGAAATGCCTAAGTGATATTTTGACACTTTGGCTATGGTTTCCGTGGATATGGATATGTTCAAGTCGGAGCAGATTTGAACAATGACCATAGTTACCACAAGATAATTGTTATGAATGTTTCAAGGTAAAGAACATTTTGCTTGAAGTTAAAGCCATAACTTAAGAGTGAAAGCCTGTGCAGGTCTCGTTCATAGGACAGTCAAAACCAGAAGCAGTTCTTCATACACTACAGTATTGCTTCGATAAATTACATGTTGTGGGTTTGAGGTGGGCATGTAGTGAGTACTAAGTATGTCATTTTAGTTTCTGTTTTTTTATTCATTTCGTTATGTCCTTTTTTCAGGACGTCATGTAAAGTAGTCTGGTTGGTTGGTTTGTTGTTTAACGCCGCACTCAGCAATATTCCAGCTATATGACGGCGGTCAGTAAATAGTCGAGTCTGGACCAGACAATCCAGTGATTAATATCATGAGCATCGATCCGCGCAATTTGGATTGATGACATGCATCAACCAAGTCTACCAGCCTGTCCACCCAATCCCGTTAGTCGCCTCTTATGACAAGCATGCGGGTTGCTGAAGACCCATTCTACCCCGGATCTTCACGGGCCTATATAGTTAGTGATAGTTTAACATATGTACTGTATGGATGTTATATCCACGGGAGTGAAAAATGGACGTGGGATAAAAGTAAACTGGTATTTACTATGACGCATTTTCACATGAATACCCCACTCAGACACAGTATACTGACTCCGAGCCGACTAGTCCTTGTTTCAGCCCCTTAATGCCGAGCACCAGACAGGGTAACAACAAGTACCATCTTTTAACGTCTTTTGGTATGACTCGGCTGGAACTCGCCTGGACCTTCCACTCTCCGGGCGGACGCTCTAGCACTAGACCACGGAGGCGGTCTCGATCAGAGAGAGTTGAATGGTCAGTCTATGGTGATGACAACTGAAATTGTGGAAACTACAAAACGTGTGAACTAGAGTGATGTTCTGATCACTGACGATAATGATGATAATTAAGTTGCTGCAGAAACATAAGCAGGTGATGTAGTGAATAAATGAACACTTATTTACAGGTAATATTAACAATGTCAGTACAATACACAAGAATTTTTTTTTAGCAAACTCTTTGTATATCAGATTAAATTTACAATAAAATGATTTCCCTGAAATATTTAATCAACACTGGCATGTTTAAAACAGTATGAACAATTTCCTTTCCCTGTATTACATATCAAACCATGTTTTTGACTACTATGCGATTAACCCCATACATGCTGAATTTCATAAACAATGTCTTTTCACAGTAAATAACACAGTAGCCTATTCAGGCCAAAGCTAGGTGAAGCCGCATTCCTTTGTGAAGAATCGACATGTAGGCAATGTCCCCTCTCTTTACTGACTTTCTAACAAAATGTCATGCATTGCAGGGTTTAAAGGCAAATAGAACTGAACAAGGAACAAACTGTTGAGAATTTTAAGAACTACAAGACCAATCGTGACATGTTATAAGCAATTGTTGACAAAATTAAAAATGTACATACTTTCGATTCAGTTACCTATAAGGCCATATTTATATTAACCACAAGTCCCATAGACCTTTCAGAAAACTATCTCAAACAGACCACTGCGGCCATGGCATTATGGAATAACAAATTATGAACCAGATCTGTAGACACAGGGAAGACTGAAGCCAGTTATACATATACAATATGTATGAATACATATACTAAAAAAAACAATTGAAGCAGGGATTGCAAAAATAGAAGAAAGTGGTTATGATTGTCTAACGAGTTCCTGGTAAGCTTTGGTAATGTGGCAAGGTAGCCTTGTAATAAGAAGTCTTATATCTTATATGATGAAATAACCAACAATTCCAACAAATAAATATTAGCTGTCGGATATTGGCATATGAAAGTTCAATATTAAAACACCTCTTTTTACTGAAGGGATAGCTTTAACAACATGAGGATAGCCAGTATTGAAGACATAAGATAAACATTTTGCCATATTTCTGTATATACATGTAGAAGCAAATAGTCCTCTTTGCTTGTACATGATTACATTCTCCAGATTTGACAAGCTTTAGATTGCTTTTTGTATTTCAAACTGACCTTCAGAATCAAAACAAGAGCTCTGTCAGTTGGGAAGTACTCAATGCAAGGAGATCATCTTCTAGCCAAACATTCTAAGAAAGTGTATGTGTGTCATTATATAAGCAATAAATGACTCATGGTCATTACTTATACCATAAAACACTGCAGGGAGAATAAACCATGAAGGGCGCAGCCCGTGTGCTTTTTTCTTCCTGCAGTGTTTTATGGTGCAATAAACAACGACCACGAGTCGTTTATTTCTTATATGAGACATCAACATTTTGTAGAGCCTTTTTAAGGATGTCAATAAATTGTACAAGCTTTAAAAACATTTACCCGTATTTAAAAAATGATGACTCACCGAATACAATCTGACCTTGGCAATGTTGGACAACTCCATCTTTGGGTGCAATCATCACTATGGGTGTCAATAGACACTTCCATCTAAAAAATATTGTCCTATTTACAACGTCATAAAGTTGCGAGTGTTGTTCCAATCTCCAGAAATGACGTAATGATAGAACAATGTTTTATCATGAAATATACCATGCTTCATTCTTCAATTTATAGCGTAGCTTTCTTATATTATGCAGTATGCTTAACCCCTGAGGTAACACAGTAACATACCAAAACAGATAACAATACTTGGACTACCAGATCAGTTCTCAAAACTTACATGGCTAATTAGAGTAAATGCGATCTGTGTACCGGGTATGTACTGAAACTCTCATCTGAACAGGCTGTGTACTTTGTTGTTACATCCATGCACTTTTCAATGAACGTCACAGATAGAGAAATCACATGTCTTGTTCTTATGACTCAGCTGTGTAGATCAGGTGAATCAATGCAATCACTTTCTGTTTTATACACCTTGAAAATCTTCAACAACAATTCTTGGAAATTTGAAAATCCAGCACAAAGAGCATTTCCATTTCGATGACAAACATTTGTCACAAAAACTTGAATAAGCCATTAATCTAACTATCTACTGCTAGGCTAGTGGACACTCTTGCCTCTGGAAAATGACAACTTCAGTTCATACAGTTTGTTGTACTTAATGTACACTCACTTATGTCAATACACAAATCCCTGGACCACAATCCAGTTCCCAGGGTGAAGAAGCTTGTCGGACGCCAAATGGTTATGGTATTGTTTAAATCCTGTAAACAAGAGCAATGTTTCAGGTGATGGTTTCCTGAAAACATGATTATATTTATTTGTAGTTTTACATATATGTAACATGTTTTTGTAACATATTTATCTCATCAATACGACTATACTTGTCGTAAGAGGCAACTAACGTGATCGTGTGGTCAGGTTCGCTGACTTGGTTGATGCATGTCATCGATCCCAATTGCGTGGATCAATGCTCACTGGATTGTCTGGTCTAGACTTGATTATTTACAGACCACCGTCATATAGCTTGAATATTGCTGAGTGCGGTGTTAAACAACAAACAAACAAACAGTAGATAATAGTGTTTTGATAAGTTAAGAGTTTTGACAAAGAAATGGGTGTGTTCATAGGCAAGCTATTGTTATCTCTATCTTACTGACAGCCAGTGAGCAAACCAATTCTACCCCAAACTGGAGCAACGTATGGTCAGACTCAAGGAACATCTACAGATCGGTGTAGTGAGCCCACTCCAGTTCCTTGATGATGCTGGGCGACTGCTAAAACTGGACTAAAAGGGAAGTGATCAATGTCTGCCAACTGTGTCTAATATTTATCACTGTTATTGTTAGTCTTTAAAAAATATCAAATCTTGTCATTCTGATAAAATGTCAATTATAAGGACTTTACATTAATAATATTTTTTTAATATGTTAGTATAAATACACAGTAAACTACAAGCATAATTTTTTTCCATGTTTGTTGACAATGGCATTGCATGGATTAGTTCATTACGGTGTAGGGATGAAGGTTATGCTACTGTGTGCCCTGAACCATGAAGTTGTTGAGTGACCCTTGACCCGGTGGGCAATTGGGAGGTGGGAATAGGCCAGGGGTGGGGGGTAGAAATAATCCTAGACCCCATTACTTATGGCAATACAACATTAGGGACTTATGGTATAGGCATGGAGTATTGCTTCACTTCTTGTGGTACATAATGAGAGCAAAACGATTTCATAACTTGTAATTTAGACTGTACAGTATGGATTGACATAAATCAAATCAGAATGCCACAATACACACACAATGTATTTTTCCTGACTTTTCAGTTACCAAAATAGTATGACTCAGATTCAACTCGGAACATATGAACATATTTTGAACATTTTTATTATTGATGGACTTGGTCCTTCCATGATACATCCACTACAGGCAACATACTGTACGTTCATATCCACACACTCCTGTTGAGAAATGGGATGGTAGAGATGGAAAGTTTGTTGTTCAAACAAGGGGCAGTCAGGCAGCCTACTGGTTAAAGCGTTCGGGCGTCACACCGACGACCCAGGTTCGATTCCCGACATGGGTACAATGTGTGAAGCCCATTTCTGGTGTCCCCCGCCGTGATATTGCTGGAATATTGCTAAAAGCGGCGTAAAACCATACTCACTCACTCACTCATTGTTCAAACGCTCCGGTCATGTGATCTGTTGCAGGAATATTTCTGTGTTGTCAGTTTCACTTGTGATGGACTTGACAATGCAGTGCAGTGGTCCCACTTCCTTGTTCAATATACTGTCAATATCACAGCCCTGAAAGTAGAGGGAACATGACATGAGGCCACATGGCGGTGTGTCGTGTATTATATAATGATAATATTTTATATTTCTGAGAAAAAAGTGAAACCTTGGGAGGTCGGAACTTCATTAAATGAATAATTATTTTCAATGTAACTTTAATGTCACTGCAGTATCTTCACTGGCACTACTGTCTTACATCGGCACTCCACTTGTCTCAAAATACAGGGAACTCGACAACACTCACACACAATGGCCCCAAGCAGTTGAAGTTAACAAGGTTTTACTGAAGATATACAGTGTTCTTTGTTTGGGTTTTCTTTGGCAAAAAACATTCCCTATGTAAAAAAACGTTGTACAGTACACATGACGACACAGGTTTCTGGCCCTGATCCTACCTCATCTGTGTGTCCCTCTGATGGCAGCAGCTTCTCTATGGTGGCCTGCTGGAGCTGAAACATAGAGACACTAGCATCACTACATGCCAAACACATAGTCACTACAATAAGGCCACACTTTAACATAGAGACACTAGCATCACTACACGCCAAACACATGGTCACTACAATAAGGCCACACTTTAACATAGAGACACTAGCATCACTACACGGCAAACACACGGTCACTACAATAAGGCCACACTTTAACATAGAGACACTAGCATCACTACACAGCAAACACATGGTCACTACAATAAGGCCACACTTTAACATAGAGACACTAGCATCACTACACAGCAAACACACGGTCACTACAATAAGGCCACACTTTAACATAGAGACACTAGCATCACTACACGGCAAACACATGGTCACTACATTAAGGCCACCCTTTAACATAGAGACACTAGCATCACTACACAGCAAACACATGGTCACTACAATAAGGCCACACTTTAACATAGAGACACTAGCATCACTACACGCCAAACACATGGTCACTACAATAAGGCCACACTTTAACATAGAGACACTAGCATCACTACACAGCAAACACACGGCCACTACAATAAGGCCACACTTTAACATAGAGACACTAGCATCACTACACAGCAAACACACGGTCACTACAATAAGGCCACACTTTAACATAGACACACTAGCATCACTACACAGCAAACACACGGTCACTACAATAAGGCCACACTTTAACATAGAGACACTAGCATCACTACACAGCAAACACACGGTCACTACATTAAGGCCACCCTTTAACATAGAGACACTAGCATCACTACACGGCAAACACACGGTCACTACAATAAACATAGAGACACTAGCATCACTACACTACACATGGTCACTACAATAAGTAAAATGAAGTGGATTGTGGTTCATGCTTTTGGTCATTGATTTGTCTGGTCAACACTGGACTATTTATAGGTCATTTTGATATAGCTGGGATATTACCAGCTGTGGCGTAACACAACATTCACTCATTGTTCATTCCAATCACAATTCAACCCTGAAAGCCACAGTGCAGACCCCATCCCCATTGAAAAGCATCAAACATACATACATCTACTCTGATGACAGATCCCTTGAAATTGTTGGAATGCAAGTACACCTCCAACTTCATTCTTGTGACAGGGGAGGTAACTTGTCTGTGACAGCTCACACATTTAGATGCTCTGCAATAAGCACATGCTCACATTCTGAACAAACATTGATCTACAAAAACGTTTGCATACTGCAGTGTAGATAAACAATATGTGTTTTCAGATTTGAGGTGTTACTGTGTATTCAATTTTTTTAACCTTTAATCATTAAAGTATTAATCAGTGTTATTCTGGTGACATGAGAGAGAGGGTTTTTGATCAAAATTGCAAAAATAACATCAACTATGTTAAACAATATGTGTATTTCACATTAATTCCAACTTTTTATTCCACCATGCAGCTTTAAAGGGCCTCTATGTACTCAGAGTTTAATTTCTGTCTAGGGAGCCAATTAATGTTATTTTCTTGACACTGATAGCTAAAGCAATAAGTAAGGAGCCCACACGAAGTCAATATTCAAAATAAAAAATAATAATTAAGGCTTCAAATGAGGTAAATTCTCCTTTAATTTATTGAAATATATAATCAACATCAAACCATGAGATGAAACAAGCTTTAATATTTTAATAATTATGATTTAAAGTTATCAAGAGGTTTTCACATGTGGTAACCACTTGCCACTATGCATTGGTGTCACATGTAGAGTATGATTGCACTGTTGACTAAATCGGCGTCATAGTGAAGGAGGATACACGTCACTGACCCTGGTCTCTCTCGGTCCTCCACAAGCCGGTCACTGCCACACCCATCACATTCCTCCCAGCTGTAGGCTGCATCCTCATCCACACTGCCTACTGTACCTGCAACCACAGTCAGGTCAGAAACACCAACGTCCAAGTCACACAGATTACACCTGAATTATCTATTATGCAGACACTTTTTTCGATAAATACAAAATAATTACATGTATCTTCCTTTATAAATCTGATGTACAGCTCCAGCTGTGATGCAGTTGGTACCTTGTTAAATGGCAACAACTTAATCCCACTGAATTAGATTTCATTGCACAGTCCCAGTGCCTTAACCACGGCAGTGAAACACTGGTAGTTGGGAAAACTGTTCCTGGGACAGCTACATAGCAGACAGTTAGCTGGTTGTCTGTTGGGCCATCTGAACCAAAGAAGAAAGTATTCCATACATTTTTGACAGAAGATATCTTCCTGATATCAGACTACAAAGTAGACTAGCTGTCTATTATGCACAAAAGACTCCCAGAATAGACTCTGAATATTTGTTTAATGATATGTAATATTTAATATCTAATTTAATGTTTCTCTTGTATTGGTCTTATTTTTGTGAGGGACACCTTGTACAGACACAAGGCTCCAAGGCCTAGTTCTGGGAGGGACACTGTTAGTGTGTTCACCTACCTTGTACAGACACATGGCTACATGGCCTAACTCTGTTACTTCTGGGAGGGACACTGTTAGTGTGTTCACCTACCTTGTACAGACACAAGGTTCCATGGCCTAACTCTGTTATTTCTGGGAGGGACACTGTTAGTGTGTTCACCTACCTTGTACAGACACAAGGTTCCATGGCCTAACTCTGTTATTTCTGGGAGGGACACTGTTAGTGTGTTCACCTACCTTGTACAGACACAAGGTTCCATGGCCTAACTCTGTTATTTCTGGGAGGGACACTGTTAGTGTGTTCACCTACCTTGTACAGACACAAGGTTCCATGGCCTAACTCTGTTATTTCTGGGAGGGACACTGTTAGTGTGTTCACCTACCTTGTACAGACACAAGGTTCCATGGCCTAACTCTGTTATTTCACGGAGGGACACTGTTAGTGTGTTCACCTACCTTGTACAGACACAAGGCTCCATGGCCTAACTCTGTTATTTCTGGGAGGGACACTGTTAGTGTGTTCACCTACCTTGTACAGACACAAGGTTCCATGGCCTAACTCTGTTATTTCTGGGAGGGACACTGTTAGTGTGTTCACCTACCTTGTACAGACACAAGGTTCAATGGCCTAACTCTGTTATTTCTGGGAGGGACACTGTTAGTGTGTTCACCTACCTTGTACAGACACAAGGTTCCATGGCCTAACTCTGTTATTTCTGGGAGGGACACTGTTAGTGTGTTCACCTACCTTGTACAGACACAAGGTTCCATGGCCTAACTCTGTTATTTCTGGGAGGGACACTGTTAGTGTGTTCACCTACCTTGTACAGACACAAGGCTCCATGGCCTAACTCTGTTATTTCTGGGAGGGACACTGTTAGTGTGTTCACCTACCTTGTACAGACACAAGGCTCCATGGCCTAACTCTGTTATTTCTGGGAGGGACACTGTTAGTGTGTTCACCTACCTTGTACAGACACAAGGTTCCATGGCCTAACTCTGTTATTTCTGGGAGGGACACTGTTAGTGTGTTCACCTACCTTGTACAGACACAAGGTTCCATGGCCTAACTCTGTTATTTCTGGGAGGGACAATGTTAGTGTGTTCACCTACCTTGTACAGACACAAGGCTCCATGGCCTAACTCTGGCTGTTATTTCTGGGAGGGACACTGTTAGTGTGTCCACCTACCTTGTACAGACACATGGCTCCATGGCCTAACTCTGTTATTTCTGGGAGGGACACTGTTAGTGTGTTCACCTACCTTGTACAGACACAAGGCTCCATGGCCTAACTCTGGCTGTTATTTCTGGGAGGGACACTGTTAGTGTGTTCACCTACCTTGTACAGACACAAGGCTCCATGGCCTAACTCTGGCTGTTATTTCTGGGAGGGACACTGATAGCGAGTCCAGCCTGCTGAGTGTTTCTCTGACCGAGCTGTCTTCAATCTGGACAGGCACTTCTTCCACTATCCGAGTGTAAGCATCACAGTGAAAACAACCTACAAAGAATGTTGTCCTTATTATTCAAGTAAGGTTGTATAAACTAAGGGGAAAATAATGGCTTGACTGTTTCAGAAGCCTGTGTTATTGCCAGTAGCTCCATTGGTATTCCAGGTACTTTATGCTGTCTTCAGAGCTGACTAATTGGGATCCTCTTGGCTGATTGTGCATATTGTACTCGAACAGCTAGCATTGATACTTATAACGAGTCTCCCAGGTCTATACTTGATCATTTACAGACTGCTGTGGTTTAGTTTTAACATAAATAAAATATTCACTCCGTGTTGCTCTCATGCCTTGACATCATAGCACCTTCTGGAGGCAAGAGTGTTACCACTACACTTTGATATAGGCTAGTGGATACACTTGCCTCGGGAAGAGTGAACCAGGTTTTGAACCCATGATCACAGAACTTTGGCTTGCCTAAGGGATGCAACTCTGCACAGCAAATTACCCCAAGACACAAATACTCACACTGGAAGCACAGGTATCACAACAAAAGACACAGGTACTCACCACTGGACACACAGGTACTCACCACTGGACACACACAGGTACTCACCACTGGACACACAGGTACTCACCACTGGACACACACAGGTACTCACCACTGGACACACAGGTACTCACCACTGGACACACAGGTACTCACCACTGGACACATTGGACACACAGGTACTCACCACTGGACACACAGGTATCTGTGAAGACAGCTGAACACCCTGCTAATGCTGGGATGTGACAGTCCGGTGACAATGTGAGCACAGCGTATGATGATGGTAGACTGCTGTCTGTCACATACCAGCTTTCATTTATGTCTGGTTTGGACGTGTCCTGAAAAATGTATTTTTTATGGTTAATATATCATTTATACTTATCCTGAGTCAGGATAAAGTCAAATATAACGCTGAAGTTAAGATAGTGACGCAAAATGCCTGTACCATTCAATCAAATAAGCATCCAGCACTCCAAGCTTAGACTTTTTCCTGGGAGACACATTGCTCCTGGAAATATTTTTCTTGGTGCAATTTCTTACTTTTAGGCGCCACATTGATTTAGGCTTACAAGGAATTTATTATTTTAGAAATTAAATACTAAGACAAGACAAGAAAACATTCCAATTGTTCTAATGCACAACAAACTTTGAAAATTTGCTGCAATAAAGATAAGTCATTGAACAATTACCCTTGTCAAATGGTGAGATGAAATTGGGTTCAATGTCGCGTCCAAGATTATTGCACTTATATAGCGACGTGTGTGTGCCTGTGTGTGTGGCTGCTTGTACTAGTCCGGACTGATGCCGATTCATAGTGCTAGCTCACTGAGATACCATGCCGCAATTTAACATGAATACCCCACTCAGACACAGTATACTGACCCTGAGCTGACCAGTCCTTATTTTAGCCCTTTAATGCCCTTTAGTGCTGGGCACCAGACAGGGTAACAACAAGTACCATCTTTGAACATTTCTTGGTATGGGGGCGGCCCAGGGATCGAACCCTGGACCTTCCACTCTCCAGGCGGACGCTCTATCACTAGACCACGGAATCGGTCCCCTTGTCGAAAGACCATCACTGGAATTTATTTAGCCAATTACCTGAAACAATACTGCTGCTGCTTTTTCACTCTATTCCAATGTTTGTTTTATGCAATCACTTGGATTTCTGATTCATATGTTACTATCAGACACATTCATTGTAGATGAAGTAATCCCGGGCATCTCGGATCCCAATGCTGAATTCCCTGATTCCATTGTGCCCACCCACATCTTCATCTAATAAAGGCCTTTTAGAACTGCTGGCAGTAGTAGCCACAGTGGACAGTTTGGCTTAGAGATGCCGCTTGAAAACATGTCGAAATAGTCTTCTAGGATTTGAACATCCCACCATTGTGAAAGTAAACTGAAAATGTGCACCTGACCAGAAATACATCAACTTGTAGCATTACATACGGTAGCATCAGAAGCAAGATAGGCTTCAGTGTCGCTGTAAGGGGTTACATTACACCCCTTAACAGTGAAGTCATGATGTTGATACAGGCAAGTGAAGTTCTACTATTTTTGTCGCCAAGCTAATTGTATTAATGGGAGCCGACTGGCAACCAAGCAATAACTACAGGTTACAAAATGGTACTTTAGGTCACAAACTTGGATGGCTGTGCTACCTTTTTCAAAAGCAGTGAGTGAGTTGGGTTTTTAATGCCGCTTTGAACAGTATTCTAGTTATATCACAGTGTGTCAACTTAACGCTGGAGGAAAGCACAAAGTGAAACAGGTTTTAGACGTTTGCCACTTTGGTGAAAGCTACGAGCACAGTAATGGTATTGATAAACCTAGGAACATAATCGAGGCACACAATCATAGACGTCGGGCATATCCAAGGGACACAACTCTGCACAAAGAATTGCGGTGCCTTAGATGACTGGGCACCTGTGCCCCCTCAGTTACCAAAGCAGAGTGATTTGGCTCACCTGTAACTGTCTCCTGTGAATTACTCTGGCAACGAATGACACTCTCTTGTCCATGGCCATCTACAGGAAACAGCATAAAGTGGGGAGAGTTTATTTTGACAATTATTACACATGCATTCATTGCAGAATATAATTTGGTTTTATTTATTGTTTATTGAAAAATTTATCATCAGCCGTTCACTAGAGTTTTCTCAGTATTATGACAGATGCTCAGTCTGTGACTTAAGTCGCTACTTCAAAGTCTCAGTCTAGTAAAAGTCAGAGTAAATATCCCACAAGTGAAGATGTATTATCCTAATACAGTGTTCCCTCGCTATTGCACCCTTCTATATAGCACTAACTTGGTTATAGCATGGGGTAAAGCATGGCTTATATTTTTTAAAAACTCAAGTTTTAAACAGACACAATGTTTTTCCTCATCTCAATAAACATTATCAGCTGATCACCACGAGCATACACCGGAAATACCAACAAATCTGAACTGAAGTACGCAATTTAATCCCATTATTATACTATCTGGTTATAAAATCGTCTTCATTGTATATCTGGACTTGTGTTTGTAATATATTTTATTAATTATATTCAATATTGTTCACATTAATTTTGGCAAAATCCTATGTGAAGTGTTTTGGTAGATTGCACAACTCGCTGTTATTTACAGCGGTCAGATTACCGCTATTGACGCCTTGAAATAGCAGAGATTAGATAGATATATCATAAATGCCATACTTTGACTTGTTTAAAGTCCTATATGTGGCAATTTGACTTTTATATGTCAACATAACGTTTTTGCAATCGAAATACATATAGCTTGTGAAGTGCCAACGGTGACTGGTCAAATTGTTCAATACATGAAATATCTTGTACAAGCAAGCCTGAGTTCCCTGACCTGACACGCTCCAGCCAGTGTGTGGTAGTGTGGTTCTGTGTAGCTGGGTGCCAGCTGTGGGGACACAGTGATGGAGAGCGGGGATTCCTCGGACAGGGACAGGATGTAGCAGAACCCAGGGCTAGTCACGTGTCTCGTCTGGGGTATAATGTCACAGGAGTTACAAGAATATGTCACATTGGCGTGAGTGAGTGATTTGGGTTTCAACAGTGTTCTAGTTACATCACGTTGTATCAGCTTAATGTGGGAGGAACATCCAAAGTGATGCAGGTCTCGCGTGCCCATCGAATTGTGGAACAAGAGACACCTGGGCTGCCTGTGCTCCCTCAGTTGCAAGAATATCTCAAATAAAAACTCAAGGAATAAACAACTTCTCCGATTTTTCTTTGTCACATTTAATTGTATTGAAGTTGTCAAAACGCAAATGAACTGAAAAAAATGCTTCACCTTAGTCATCATACATCATCATTTGGTTTTGCTAGTTCATTGCTTCCTTCAGTCTGGCCCTGATCTTTATCCAGGAAGTAGTGGGAGACACATGCAGTAAACACTCACAGTGCTGCTTGTCTGTTCTTCCTCATGACTTTCCTGGCTAGAGACAGTGGTCCTGTGACCTGACCACGCACCTTCCAGCACACTGAACAGTGCCGCATTCCTGCAACAAGTCCACTCATACCTAGACAGCTGAATTCTGATTCAGGATAAGATATTTCACAGAATTATACTTCTTAAAGGAAACCTGAATCTTAAAAGTGTACTGAAAATAAATTGGTTATGAATGAACTGAGATGCATCTTTCCGAGGCAAGGTAGTTAACTGTCTGTTAAAGTCAAGTTTCCACCCTTGCCAAACTAGGCTTGAATTTTGTGGCTTGATCATAGAATGATAGAGCCACCAGTGACACTTACGAGTTGTGTCTCTTCTATGTCCATCCTACTGACCAATTAGATTTCACCTCTCATCACTTCAATAAAAATGGCAGCAACCAGTCATGACAATCTGATCGATAATCAAGATCTTTATCGTGATAAAATGGGTCTTCCATCGCAAAGTGCATCAAACTGTATGGAAACTGGATTTTATAGTAAGTTAACTCCCTTCGAGTCGGAAAAATGATTGAGATACTGAACAAAACCAAATATTCATTCTTTCATTTCAGTCTAAACCAAACAAACATGTTTGTCATAAAATGATCTACATACATTAAGGCAAGCAAAAAAACAAAACATGAAAGGTTCCACTTTGATGCTTCTTCTGTGCATAAGTATTTTAATCAAAAGTCAATCCTATCTATCCTTTTCCTAAGTTTCATTCATATAAAAGGGGGACTATGTTTGGGTCTTCTAAGTGAATTTTATACACGTCTATTAAAAAACACTTCAAATTTAATGATGTATATGTAGACAAGATGGAGAATCTCACCCAAGAGTAAATTTGAATAGTCTCCCCTGAACTACCTTACTGTATTTGCCATATTAAGCGCCCTGCTCCAATCAGTACCCCCAACAAACTTGTAGACCAAACTGTCAGTAACCTTTAATAAGAGCCCCTATAATAGGACCGAAAATTGACTTGACAGTCTGTAATCTCTCAGCCATATGACAGACAATTCACAGAAAACAGTAGCGTAAAAGGGGAATATAACTGCCTCATTAGCATTATTGAAATGTTTTACTTCATCAACGTTTGAACTATGTTTGTTCACTATCTCTCAATCTCTGGGAACAATTTTAACTCAACAGCGTACAGTCTTAATAAGTGCTCCTTTTTTCAACTTTATAAGCATGTAGAGGCTTCTTTCACCAAATACATTACCATATGATATCAAGCAAAATAATGCACAAAAGTGTCACCTCTCTTTGTTGGATCTGGTAAGAACCCTGAGCCCTGTGAAACTACATGCATGACCCTCGGCTTGAGTCACCTCATCCTGACCAGAGTTGTCTCCCATCTGTACGACGGCCATTGTGCCATGACTGTCCTCCACTAACAAGGAACATCTGCAACAATGCCCAAAGTCAGCAGGTCTTAGACATCAGACAGGTCTTGTGGAACCAGCAAGCACAGGTATGGTGCTACCAAATAAAGAATCCTAATCAGCTTATTTTGCAATCTCATTAAAACCAGATCTGAGTTCTAGCTGCCGCTAAACAAAGATCTGAGGACATCCCACTACGGGTCACGTCAGACCGACCTTGTGCAAACTTTGACCGACCTTTTGAAGGATTGACAAGAAGCCGACATTAGCCAATCAGAAGGCAGCTTTCTCATGCTTTACGGCACTAATTTGAAATTGGCGGCTACGCTTCGAAACATATTTTGACAAATTCTCGATTCAAAATTTGAAACCTGAACAAAAGAACATTCTGGAATGCCTATAAGATGGTCTAGATTGTATGGATTCAGTCGTTAAACCCGTAACTATCGTTCGGAATACCCCGTGTTAAAGTTTTCAAGGTTGCAAGATTGAAAATCACATTCCGACTGTCACTTTCATGATCTGGTAAGCGACGCTCTGATTGGTCGGATGAAAGGTCGTTCTGACATGACCCCTAATGGAATGTCCTCAGATCTTCGTTTAGCAGTAGCTAAATAAGATCTGATTTTAATGAGATTGCTTATTTTGGCATTTGAACCCATGATCATCAGATTCTGGGACAACACAGGGGCAAGACTCCCTTTGACAGTGCAGACAGAAAGACTGGCCAGGCTGCCCTTTGATATCTTACCTGGCTGTTGATGTGAAAAACACCCTCTGTATGACAGCACGGAAGGTGAGGCTGTGGCCAGGCCCCGTCCTCTGAATGCTCTCTAACAGAGAGTCACACACCGGGACAACCGGCAACCGGGACCTCGTCACCGTCTGGAGGAAACCAGGCTGGCTAACAGGATGACCTGTGTTCTGTGTGCCGCTCACATCAGTCTGACAAACAGAACAGTTACAATTACACAGGTCCTGTTGGAGAAACAGTTGAATGTATCACATGAGGTCCAGGGCCTTGTTCCACAAAGCTGTCATAACAATCTATATCCTTACTAAACACAGATTTCTGACATTCATAGCCTTACGATCACTTGGTGGAACATGGCTGTGGGATTTATCTGGGTCCATCTAGATTTGAGTCCAGGGGTCTCTCATTAATACATATTGGGGGATGAAGGCGTGAACATGGGGTTTGCGGATGTGAACACGTGGCACACTTGATCTGAAACCTTAATCCTATTATAGAGTTTTTTCAAAGTCAGACTGAAGAAGTTCAACCATCATCCTCTATATCTCCATGGGTAGCCTTTTGGTTAACCTACACTAACCCCTGGGCCCACTTGCACAAAGCGATCTTAGCGCTAAGATGATCTTAGTCCCCATACTTTAACATAGGCTTACGATAGTCTTTGCGCCAAGATTGCTTTGTGCAAGTGGGCCCTGGACCCATCCATGTGGTTCTTGCCAAAGGCACTTACTGCAGTTGAAATTGCTAACAATGGTAAAATACTCACGGCCTGTAGTGATGAAGGCAGGTATGGGAACTGCTTCACAGGGCAACTAGCAGGAGACACACTGGCATCTGGAGACCACACACACTTGTCAGGCATGATCAGTGAGTGAGATGGAATTGACAAAGCTTTGAACAGTACAACATTTACATCAAGCTTGTCATATTGTGATCAAGACACTTTGAAATCTCTGATGATATAGTGTGGGGAAATCATGGAAAATAATCAGTTCGAACGTGGGTGATTAAGCATGAACAATGTGTCGCTTTCAACAGCATTGAACATTGGGCATTATCTCGAATTCGAGACATAAATACATGGTGCTATCTCGAAATCTTGGACTCAACTTTGACATTATTACAGAATTTTGTACCTTAATCTTGAAGTTGGCATTTGCCACATTAACAGTTTTGAGAAGTACCTAGTACCTTTCCCGAAACATCTAGCATCACTGTAAAAGTACAGTGCAGTTTAAACCACAAAAAACCTATGTACCTCTCATGATCCTGCTACCATGAATTTATCTTGCCAACATGTTTAAATCTGCTATTGTGAAAGAATAATAACAATTTCAAAATTGATTTGAATTTAGGTTAACCTGTTCTCAGTCACCTGACTTTCATTGACACGGAAATGCGTGGGGCTTTTTTTTGGCTTTGTAGCAAGGTATGATGCATTTATTCTCCCGCTGAGAAATCAATATGACCTTCACTGTGACCTTGACCTAATATGTAGGAAATTAAACTTTAATGCATCCCCATTTACAGCTAATCAACTCTTGGAGAAAGGATTAATAAAAAATAAAACAAACCATTGGTGCATGGGCAATCCCATGTAGCTATCACATCTGTTTTAATCAGATTTGAGGGCTTTCCCTGCCATTTTTGTTGACCAGCAGGGGAGACAACTCTTGTGTAATGAGTGCACAGAAGGACTGTCTGGTTCTGACTGGCTAACTGTAGTTGTTGCCTGGAAACAGAGATACAAAACATTACAGATTTGTTGTCTGGGTGTAGCAAGATTTAGTCTCACTGCAGATCCAGGGAGGGGGTCACCCCACAACTTTTTTTATCAGACAATTCACAAGTTAACAGATACTCGGATACTTGGGCATTGTGTGCACCCCCCTTTTTCAAAATATTGAATCTGCCTCTGTATTCTGATAAAGATTTTAAATGGGTTTTTTCTTATCAAATTCCAATTTCTCCCAGCACTACACTGTACATCTGCAGCATTGTGAAGCTATATGGACATTTTAAATAGTGGAATCAAATCTGTCATCAAAAGGTGAGGTGAGGTGAAATGGGGATTAACGCCATTCAAGATTACTGCACTCATAGAGCGATATGCATCCATGTGTGTGTGTGTCATGTTTTTGAGTGTATATGGCTGCTTGCACAAGTCCAGATTAATGTCATACACTATAGTTAGTGAGAGAATGTAGCAAAGTTCAGCAGTTTCCCAACAATGATCCACCCTGTTCGTGACACACAATCAGTCGGCTACACATTGTGATCATCCGATCCTCAGTGTTCATACATCATGAGTACAGAAAGTGCTACAAGGTCATGAACACACAATCCCACTTTAGAAAGTGGTCAAATGTAACAAATGTTATATTTGGGATAAGGCTTTCTTAGTAAAGTACAGATTCTAGTACTTTTGGGGGGTGGGGGTGTGTCCCATCTGGGAATCAAACCCACACTGGCAGAGTGAGGCACTTAATCGCCAGCACACAAAGTCAGCGATCTAACCCACTCAGCCACCGAGGCTTCCACAAAATTAGTCTTATAGTGAGTGAGTGAGTGAGTATGGTTTTATGCTGCTTTTAGCAACATTCCAGCAATATCACGGCGGGGGACACCAGAAATGGGCTTCACACATTGTACTCATGTCGGGGATCGAACCCGGGTCTTCGGCTTGACGAGCGAACGCTTTAACCACTAGGCTACCCGACCGCCCCTATAGTCTTATAACTGGTAGTCCAGATCCCATACTTAGTGTACCCCTCTGACAAGTGTAAATTGGCACATCTCCCATGGCCAAAAGCTAAGACCATGCAATGCCATTTAGAAAGTGGTCAAATGTAACAAATGTTATATTTGGGATAACATTTTACTTAGTAAAGTACAGATTCTTGTACTTTTTTTTGCTACAAGGTTGTACTCCTTTTGAACCTTTTACTGTCCCTTTTACAATTATTAAGGGGTTAAGGAAGTCAAAATACCATGGAGGGTGTATTGTGACCATTGACCCAGCATCTATCTGCAGCTTATCCATCATCTGCTTGGAGAACAGGATCAACTGGCTCTTCCATCTATTGTCATTACCATCTGGGCTGCTACTTTCACCTCCCTCATCAACAATATCAGCCACTTCACAACGAGCAAGTTGCAGGGAGAAGAGAACTTCAAAGCTCAAAACCCGCACCAGGAGAGCTTTGGATGGATCTGGAAACCAGTAAACAGGTTTGGTTTGTTTCGATATTTTTACATGCAGCAATAACAATGACAAACAACAATTCTTTTGACAAGCTGGTGTTCCAGAGGCCAAGGACAGATACAATTCATTAGCCTCTCAAATCTGAAAAACTTCAAGTGCCTGTGGAAAATAGTTACTTCACTGAAGTTGTGATGAACATCATCGACAAATATGTTACACTAACTTGTCAGGTGCAGAAACCTTTTCCATGCAGTGACAAAGTAGAGATAATTTATGGACAACAACTTAGTGTAAAGGCAACGTTTCGGTATAGATCCTTATACCGTTGTCAAGCAAGGCTGAATAATGAGCATGGTACAGAAAATATATGGTAGGTGGATGACAAACAGTAACAACAATTGCATATATCAGAGAGATTAACATGAGTAGAGTTTGATAGACATTACTTAGAAGTTGACGGATGAGAAAGTAGACACAACTTCTTTAATTTCTGTGAAGGCGACTTTGCTTGACAACTTGAATATTCTAACCAAGATGCAAAGTCATCTGGAAAACTATTTCAGCTGCACTGAGTGAGTGAGTGAGTGAGTGAGTGAGTGAGTGAGTGAGTGAGTGAGTGAGTGAGTGAGTGAGTGAGTGAGTGAGTGAGTGAGTGAGTGAGTGAGTGAGTGAGTGAGTGAGTGAGTGAGTGAGTGAGTGAGTGAGTGAGTGAGTGAGTGAGTGAGTGAGTGAGTGAGTGAGTGAGTGAGTGAGTGAGTGAGTGAGTGAGTGAGTGAGTGAGTGAGTGAGTGAGTGAGTGAGTGAGTGAGTGAGTGAGTGAGTGAGTGAGTGAGTGAGTGAGTGAGTGAGTGAGTGAGTGAGTGAGTGAGTGAGTGAGTGAGTGAGTGAGTGAGTGAGTGAGTGAGTGAGTGAGTGAGTGAGTGAGTGAGTGAGTGAGTGAGTGAGTGAGTGAGTGAGTGAGTGAGTGAGTGAGTGAGTGAGTGAGTGAGTGAGTGAGTGAGTGAGTGAGTGAGTGAGTGAGTGAGTGAGTGAGTGAGTGAGTGAGTAGCATGGGCACACAGCAGAAAAAATACTGAAGAGCCAGGATCAGGATCAAACATCAGGTGCTACTATAGTTTCATTCTTGCTATGTTAATAAAATAATCAAAACAAAATAACATAAGTGTTAAAACATAGGTGAGGTGAAATAGGGTTTAACGTTGTATTCAAGATTATTGCACTCATATTGCGTGCGTGCGTGTGTGTGTGAGACAGCGTGTACCAGTCCGGACTAATGCCTGTTTTATAGTGCTAGCCCACTGAGATACCATGCCGCAGTTTAACATGAATACCTCACTAAGACACAGCATACTGACGCCGAGTGACCAGTCCTTGTTTTAGCCCCTTAATGCCGAGCACCAGGAAGGGCAACAACAAGTACCATTTCTTAACATCTTTTCGCATGATGCACCCGGAGATTGAATCCCTGACATTTCCTCTCTCCTGGCAAACGCTCTATCCACTGTCAAAACATAAGAGGTCTCATTGGGCCCTTGAGCTTTGCTGCTTTAGTATATTAATCTAATCTTTAACTTTAACAGAGTTATGATCAGGTAAGAACCCCATAACCATCATTTTCAAATTGATGACTGTACAAGCAATTTCATTCCCATTGAATATCAAACCAAAGCAAACTGTCTTGCTAAAAGAAAGTTGTTAAAAAAGAAGTTGAGTTTGTGATACTGAAAGCATGAATAGTGTTGCCCTCACCTGTGTGGTCAGCATGTTGATGTTCCCACATCCTGACTGCTGACCTCTCCCTCGCCTGGACCCGTGCCAGCTGCTCTGCCAGGCCACCTCTAGCCAAGGGGAGATAAACATGTTGTTACATCAGGCTTCAAAGTTTAAACATATTTTACAAGAAGTTGAAAGTTTCCTATGTCAATATTAAAAGATTTGTGTAAAAGTACATGAATATATATAGTATATTTGGCTCTCTTGACAAAAAACAAACATGTGTATCTCATCATATATCATGGCTGACATTTTAAGTGGAGTGAGTAAGGTTTTACGCCGCTTTTAGCAATATTCCAGCAATATCACGGCGGGGGACACTAGAAATGGGCTTCACACATTGTACCCATGTCGGGAATCGAACCTGGGTCTTCGGCATGACGAGCGAACGCTTTAACCACTAGGCTACCCGACCGCCCCTGACATTTTTAAACCAAAATAAGGAATAATACAGGAACTCAACTCTAAACCAATTTGAATACCGATATGTTTTCATTTCACAAGTTCATATTATAACCTTATCATATTAAATCAAAAGTAAGACTTTCTAATAAATATTATCAATATAAGTAAAAAATGGACACTGATAAAGCAAGTGAAAGGAGTGTATAGAGATTATTATACAGAATGTTTGTCATACTGATTTTAAGAAACGAGTGTCAGAATTCTTGTATTTCTAGAGTGAGAGTGAGGGTGATACACGCATTCTTGCACAAGTTTTGTAGAGTCAGTGTGACACACATGCGAGGGTAATCATTTCTTTATTACCCATTATGTCTTAATTCTTTTCAGCTCCCCTTTAGAAAAATGCACTGATTACCACTGCTTTCCCAGAAAACTACAATTTGTCGAATGGCGTCAACAATCTTCAGCTATGACGTCATTTCTAGTGTGACATCATTCTGACCTTACGTCACAATAAGATTCGAATGACGTCAACAATGACGTCCAGATGACGGAAACAATACACTATTGCGCAAGAAGTGATGTTTGCGCCAGTGCACATACAATATTTATGAACTTGGTTATTTCTAACCTTATGGGTATTAATCATAAGTGTTATTCATCCCAGTTATTTTTCACTAAATACAGTAATTCATCACTAAATACACAATAAAGCCATATTCTTACAGTGCAAAGTTCAAATCTCAAATGGTCAAAACAATCACAGACTTTCCAGATGAGTTGCCTATTCCTGCCTCAAGTAAATCATTACCATGGTTAAAGGAGATGGTTCGAGTTTCAGAAATATGGAATGTTGTTATAAAATGTCTATGATCCCAGTTTGGTAATCATCAAAATTTGTTTTCTTTACAAAAGACTCCTTCCTTTAATAAAAAAGGTGATACTAAGGTGTCAATTACTCCCTTTCAATACACAAGTAATGATAAACATGATAAAAATAAAGACATGCTTTTCATCATGAAAAACTGCTGTCATTGGCTTCACGCTACCCAGTGTCATTAAGGCGAATAATCTTTTGCAGTTAATTTACAGAATTTCATTTTTATAATACAATTTTGCCAGTTGAAACAAAATAAATATAATACAATTGTCTTAAAAAACATTTACTATGATGTCGCCAGGCATTTCACTGTGGTCACAAGTTATGCCCCTCAACTGGACTTATGAGATACATGACTCACGCAACCGGATATGTCACATCGAGGGGTTATAACACTTATCAGTCTGCATCACTTCAAACTTTGCGGTAAACACTTTACTATGTATTTCGTATTTCACAATGAATCCTCTTTTCAACACAAACTAATTTGAGTCATATTTCATGCAAACATTTTGTTTTTACTATTATAGTCGGCGGTATCAGACACCATTATTGTCTCCGGCGGTATTAAAAAATATATCAGAAAAGTCATTTTACTTTTTTTTGTAATTTGTTATGTTTCATTTCGGCGGATATGTAAACCAAGAAAAGTAAATTTAATCACCTAACAGATGGTCTGACACTGAGCCAGTGAGAAGCATTTGTCTAATCTACATACTTGTGATATTTTTTCTTCTTCTTGGCAGAGTCTGGGTCTGGCTGGTGTTCCTCATCCTCCTGGCTGCTGCTGGCCTTGACCGGAGTCTGCCAGTCCATGGCCTTCACCCAGTCACTGGCCTTCAGCCCCGAGGTGGTGGTGGGGGAGGTGGAGCTGGAGGCCTGGCTGGACTGGTATGTCAGGATCGCTGGAGAGTCGGGGAGTGCCTGTAACATGACACAATAGATGAGTTGTGGTGGAGTGCCTGCAACATTACGCAATAGTGCCTGCAACATTACACAGCAGATGAGTTGTCGTGGAGTGCCTGCAACATTACACAAAAGTGCCTGAAACATTACACAACAGATGAGTTGTCATAGAGTGCCTGTAACAGTACACAATAGTGCCAGCAACATAACACAACAGATGGGTTTTGGTGGAGTGCCTGCAATAGTACACAATAGTGCCTGCTACATTACACAACAGATGGGTTGTCGTGGGGTGCCTTTAACATTACACACCAGATGAGTTTTGGTGGAGTACCTGCAACAGTACACAATAGTGCCTGCTAAATTACACAACAGATGAGTTGTCATGGAGTGCCTGCAACAGTACACAACAGCTGAGTTGTTGTGGAGTACCTGCAACAGTACACAACAGCTGGGAGTGCCTGCAACAGTACACTACAGCTGGGTGTGCCTGCAACAGTACACAACAGCTGGGATTGCCAGCAGCAGTACACTACAGCTGGGAGTGCCTGCAACAGTACACTACAGCTAGGGGTGCCTGCAACAGTACACAACAGCTGGGAGTGCCTGCAACAGTACACAACAGCTGGGAGTGCCTGCAACAGTACACAACAGCTGGGAGTGCCTGCAACAGTACACAACAGCTGGGAGTGCCTGCAACAGTACACTACAGCTGGGAGAGCCTGCAACAGTACACAACAGCTGGGAGTCCCTGCAACAGTACACAACAGCTGGGAGTGCCTGCAACAGTACACAACAGCTGGGAGTGCCTGCAACAGTACACTACAGCTGGGAGAGCCTGCAACAGTACACAACAGCTGGGAGTCCCTGCAACAGTACACAACAGCTGGGAGTGCCTGCAACAGTACACTACAGCTGGGATTGCCTGCAACAGCTGGGAGGACCTGAAACAGATGGGAGGGACTACAAGACTTCAGGGACAACCCTAAGTTGCATTAATTTTCATTAGTTATGGAGGAAGCTATTCTGTACTCAACATCCCATGTTCCATCCTGTTTCACACAAATTTGATGCCAAGCTACCGGAACACTTTCTGATTGTAGCCATGTGAGACTTCCTTACACACTCTATTGGACTGTTATCACATCTCCACAAGGCAAAGGCATTAACTGACTGTAGAAGTCCAGTTATACCCTTGCTGAACTAGTATTGAATTTCCAGGCTCAATCGTTGCGCCACTAGTGGCTATTACAAGCTATGTCCTTTTTATGTTCTTCCTATTGACCAATCAGATTCTATCTCTCATATCACTTGCATTTTCTTCAAACAAAATGGCGGCACCCAGTCAAGACGATCTGATCGATAATCGAGATCTATATTGTAAAAATAAACGGGTCTTACCCCGCGAAGTGCATCAAATCACTTGAGCACCTTGATTAAAAACATGTAAGATTTGCAAAGAGTCCTTAGACGCCCGGTATATGGTACACATGCTTTGTAAACCCTTCAGACGACCAAAATCTGCACCGTGAAAGCCACGTTTTTTATGAACCGTATGTCTAGTTCGTTGCGCGATTTTGACTGGACTATGCACAGACTCATTAGTCCAACCAAAACTCTGCAATTTCAGTCTAGTTTTTGTCAGGAAGATGCTATTATCACTGTAACCATAGTAACCTCATCCTCTACATCTCCATAGGATGCTCTAACAAGTGCAGCGATGACATTTTATTATGTTGAGGTAAGACCACCTCTTGAAGCCTCAAGTTTGAAATTACTTATTGAATTAGACAAAGGCAGCTGATAATAATACTGCTTATTTTACGTTTATTATTCAAGTAGCCACAAGCTACTTGTCAAGTATTCTCATTGTCACCCATCCACCCTATCAAACATTCTCCCTATCAAACATTCTCCCTGACAAACAATCTCCCTATCAAACAATCTCCCTATCAAACATTCTCCCTATCAAACATTCTCCCTGACAAACAATCTCCCTATCAAACAATTTCCCTGACCAACATTCTCCCTGTCACACATCCAACCTGTCACACATTCCACCCGTCAAACATTCATCCTGTCAACATTCTGTCACACATCCAACCCGTCAAAAATCCAACATTCTCCTTGTCCACATTCAACCTGTCACCCATTCAACCTGTTAAACATTCAACCTGTCAAACATTCATCATGTCAAACATTTAACCTGTCAGCCATTGAACCTGTCACCCATTTAACCTGTCAGTCATTCAACCTGTCAAACATTCATCCTGTCACACATCCAACCTTTTAAATTCTCCCTGTAACACATTCTCCATGTGCAAGGTATATCCTTTCTGAACATCTTTGTAAGTTTACTTTAGTTAAGAGTTTACTTTATCATTTTCTGATCATGATTAACACTTGATTACGTTTGACTAGACATGACAAAAGCCTAATTCACTTCTTTCTTATAACTGCAGAGTTGAAGAGAAAGAATACACATACAATAGTGTCACAGCACTGTAGCTCACCTTGACATGTAGTCAACAGTTTGAAATTGTCAACAAAGACAGCCATGTAACAAAAGTCGGCATTGATATTCAAATATTTTCTAAAGAAACATTGAAACCGGATAACGAACAGTAAAATTAATAGCTTGAACAAGAAATAATGTCATCATCATGATCATAGGGAGAAAAATACTGCCAAAGTTCAGTCCCCTCAGTCTTGCTATTTCAGGCGAGAAGTATTTACAGAGCCAAATACTGTAAATCGTGAAATTAACGCAAGCGTGAATTAAATGCGAAAAATGCGAGTGGACTTTGCTTATATTAATAAACATCGCATTTATATCAACAATAAAACATTTTGGTTAGCAGAAATACCAACTTAGACATAAGCTAAAGACAAACAACTATGTATTCCACATCACTGTTTATTGAGCAGCACTTGTAACAAATATATAAACAATGTCATTCAAGCACTAATTACATCCTGTGAATTGTCAGTGCTGGGGCCAAGACAAGAGTTCTTCTCAGATTAAACACAAAAGTATATGTTGTTTTTAGGAAAACACTATGTATTGTTTTAGCGGAAGTACTCTACTCAGCGCTAATAAGCGGTTCTATTTGGTGTGTGATTGGATTAAGGTCAGGTTGGATTAAGGTGAGGATTCTCCTGTAAACCTGACTGAAGACATTTTCTTTACATAAGGATCCACAGATTCTTGAGAGGGAGGGGGCATGTCGCATTCATATTGAGTCACATTTTTGGCTAGAGGTCAGTGGTCGCATTCTTTTGGAGAGTAATTCATTTCACGATTTACAGTATGCATTTTGAGAGAAATTTAGCAAACATTTAAGGACATGGTCAAAATCAAGGTCAATATTTTGAATGCCACAACCAACTAAACAATTAACAAATCTAATAACATTTTGAAATAGAAATGGCACAGCAATGGCATTAAATACATTTTGTAATATGGCTGATGCGGTGGCCATGTTGAAAGTCAGATTTAACATCCATTGTATTCTGAAAATAGTATGTACAGTACAGAGAAACGCATTTTGAGAGAATTTAAGAGAATGGTCAAAATGCAAACGTTAAAAAATGGTCAAAATGGGAAAAATGGACCAAATGTATTAGACCCCACTAATATCTTGTTTGTTTGTTGTTTAACACTGCACTCAGCAATACTCCAGCTATATGACGGCAGTGTATGAATAATCGACTCTGGACCAGACAATCCTGTGATTGACATCATGGGCATCGATCCATGCAATTTTGATTCAATGAAATGCATCAACCAAGTCAGCAAGTCTGACCACCCAATCCCGTTAGTCGCCTCTAACAACAAGCATAGTTTCCTTTTACGGCAAGCATGGGTTGCTGAAGACCTTTTCTACCCTGGATCTTCACAGGTCCCAATACTATCTACACATGGCTGAGTAATGGACATAATTAAGAAGTTTCAGGTTTCATATTGGTTCCATGCATTGCATTCAAACCTCATAAACAAATTGGTGGAAACAAGATCGTGAAGTTTTAGCTTTATTTGTTTAGTAGTTTCTGAGATGTTTACAATAGACAACACAAGATGTTTGACACACACTTGATAAACAGGCTATGACACACCAGCCCTCTAAGTAGCAACCATTTATCTACTGCTTGCCACTTGGCTTCCTAAAAGTAAACATAACTGGCAACAATAACGATTTAAACTTGAGATATAACAAACACTTTCTGAGCAGAGTACAGATTCTCATACTTTTTTGGGTTGAGTCCTGTCTGGAATTCGAACCCACACTGCCAGAGTGAGGCACCTAATCACCAGCACACAAAGTCAGCGATCTAACCCACTCAGCCACTGAGGCTTCAACAAAAATGAAAGTCTGACAAGAGATAGTAATTGAAGATCCTGATTACTAACTCTTGTTTGCAAGGCCAATGTCGTACACAAAATGAATTATAAATGTGTCATATCATGATATTTATTTATGTACAGTTAATACAATTACAGGGGTTTCCTAAATAGCCAGAGTATTTTGTACCCTGTTGCATTTGCATGAACATAAGTGATAAGTGACAATAATAATAAGGACATTTATACTGCGCCAGATTCCATTCACCAAGTTAATGCTCATGGCACTACTTAGTTTTAGCAAATGATGATAATTATTAGCTAATGAAAGGTGAGTAGAGTTGATAGTGTTGTCTGAAAGGTGTGTTTTCCGATGAGCCTTAAAGAATGAAAGTGATGGCGACAGCTTAAGATCAGATGGTAGTTTTTTGCACAGCGAGGAAGCGCAGAACTGGAAAGATCTCTGACCAAAGGTTTTGAGACGGGTTTCCAGGACTTGTAACAGGTGGTTATTCTGAGAACGGAGAGATCTGGGAGGCTTGTATTTAGGCAGTAGTTCAGTGAGATATAATGGGGGTGTTTCCATGTAGCATTTGTAGGCCAGGGTTAGAATTTTGAATTCAATTCTGGCTGCGACATCAGAGCAGGTGTTACTGGAGTCCATTTTGATGTCTTT